CACTTCCCACCAGGGAATCGTATAAACTCGTTTATACGATTCCCTGCTTCCCACAACAGAGGTTTAGGCTTTCCCCAAATCGACCGGCCGAAAAAAACCAAACCCGCCCTCGCACGACGCTTTTGTCGATCCTGCATGCCGACTGTGAGCCCTGAAATTAGCCGAGAACGAGACTTATCGAAAAATCGCTAAGCTTTTCGCCGATTTTGGAGGGTTCCTTTGAGAATCGCCGAAAATCCACCAAGTGTTGTTGCAAAGGGTGTCCCGACATCCTGACCGCTCGAGCTCTCTACTTTTTTTATTTTATTTTTTAACAATGCAACACAATATTGTGGAAAGGTCACAACAATAAGAGACAAGATCAAAAGGAAAGCTTTACAATAATAATAATAATAATAATATAGAAAGGAAAAGGACATAAGGAAAGGAGTTAAGAGTAACTCTCCATCACTGTAACTGGATACTATATACAGTCAGAAAGTGCAATAACTAGGCACACAACTGACAAGAGTACTGAGACATTCGACGTCCTGACACCTAGCTTCAACACATCTCAACACATCTCCGTAGCGTTTTCGCAAAGCTTCCCCTTTCTTTACTTATCTTTGATATTAATTTTATGACCCACCCAAGTTGGGTGGTGTGCTGCTTTGCTGCTTCGAATTGTAGTTAGACCCTCAGTCTCAGGTGCTCTCACATTTGTGCAATTGTTGATTTTGGTCCTGAATTGTCCTCCCTGTTGCTTTGCTACCGTCCTCCTCCTTCCTCCACCTTTTTTTTCTTAATTGGCCTCATTATGGCATTCGCTTCCATGTAATTGGGCTTGTAGCCCGTGTGTACTTGCGAATTCAAATAAAAATATACATACATACATACATACAGACCGCTTTGTCAAATATCGTACTGGTCTCGTCATCGTCCAGTAAGTACTAACAATCGACATTCTTTGTTCCGTTGGGACTGTAGCTTTTGCTCGTTTTCGTTGCGCTTGCCTTCCCCTCTTTGGTCTTTCCATAACCTTGAACCTTCCAAGTTGGAAGGCTGTCGGTTAGCGCTACGGAGATGTGTTGAAGCTAGGTGTCAGGACGTCGAATGTCTCAGTACTCTTGTCAGTTGTGTGCCTAGTTATTGCACTTTCTGACTGTATATAGTATCCAGTTACAGTGATGGAGAGTTACTCTTAACTCGTATCCTTATGTCCTTTTCCTTTCTACATTTATTTATGGCTCAACATCCGAGTTTCAAATAATAATAATAATAATAATAATGTCTCTTTCCCTCAAACCAGTTAATAATAATAATAATAATAATCTTCACTAGCCTGAGGGAAAGAGACAAACAATAATAATAATAAGAAAACGTAGCCTGTATAATGTAAAGAGTCACTGAGTACAGTTTAAATCAATATCCATGTCCAGTAAAGTAAAGTAAAAGTAAATTATCGTGTCCGTTCCCGAAGGGAACTCATGTCCAGTATTTATAATAAAAATAATCTGCTGCAATTTATAGATTCTCAATCTCACATGCGAGCAACCTGGGCCTCAGCAACAACCAGCTCAGCAGACTCCGGATGCCGAACCGATCGTTCACGGAAAAGACCCCGTGAACCCCGCAAACACATGATGCATGATCACAACAGGGCAAATGAGAGACGGCATCTGATGTAAGATATTACGTGGGAGTACTGCTCCTTCCTCCTTTCCGCTCTCGATTCGGCGATAGAGTGATGTCGCCGCTCTTCCCATGCCACCACTTGCCGACAGCACAACAGGCATGAACGTCGCATGCTCCACCTCTCTCACTCTCTCTTCATAGCATCGTCGCTTTTCTTTTTCATGGCGCCGATAGACAGTGGTGTGTGTTGCAGATCGATTTGAGCGTGCATGAGGATTAAAAACCCGTATATCAAGTGAAGTACGCTCAAAACGACTGCTCCACAAACCACTGACCGCTACATCAAGCCGCGCATGCTCCTCCACAATAGCAGACCTGTATCTCATTCTCTCTCCAGTGAGTGGCTGCAGCAGTGGCTCGATGGAGACATTGTGACAAGTCTCTTGAAGGAGAGAGGCTGTCACATCCCGGATCTCATTATGGCGGATAATGGTAAAACCACCAAGGGGACATGACAAGGCATGGTCAATACCATTGTCCCGTCCACAAGAGCAATGAGTTGGTAACCTCGGCGGCATCAAACCATAACGGAGGCACAAGCCGTCCATGAACTCAGCTTTGCTCAGTGAAAAGCCATACTTTTTCAATGGACGGCAAGTGAAAATGGACGGCAAGTCAGCCAATTCGAGCTCTCTACTTCACTATACTTGTAGTACTACAATGTAGTGCGTTGAGATCGTGTGACTCGTGTCCTTTGACCTCCTCCCAAACAAACATTAGCCATTAGGAAGATCGTTGCTAGTAAAATCTCCAAATCGGCCGGCGAAAAATTCGCTGAAAACGAGACTTCTCGAAAAATCGCTAAAACTTTTCGCCGATTTTGGAGGGTTCCTTTGAGAATCACCGAAAAATCTACCAAATCTTCAAATATTTCACCAAATTTGAAGCAGTAACATGCCAACAATTCTTTTAGCCGATTTTCCAATACATGTATACATGTGTGTACATGTATATCAAGTATACAAGTACATGTATTCCAATTTTGCAGCCGATTGTCGAACAATCAACTCACTTTGCAGCCGAATCTGATGTATTTTTGAGTGGAGCGAAAAGCCGAACAGGCGAAAAACGGGCCGATTTGAGAGAAACTTACAGAGCTCTAGATATAGAGGTTCGTTCCTTCTGAGTACATGATTGTACTGAAATATTTTCTCCTGAAAGCTAGTAGATCTACTAGTAGTATAGCTGTTTCGATCATTTTTGCTGTACTTCCGGTGCCGAGAGGCGGGCTCACACCCCAGTAAGGCAGTATGGCAACTAACACCCCCAAGACGAAGTGAATACAGTACTCAGTAGTCATATACATGTACAGTAGGTATCGGTTATAGCGTGGGTGTTTGAAAAACGACTTTCTATTCGTATTTCCGCTATTTCTTACACACGATAAATCAAGTGTGACATATCATGTGCATGTGCGCAGAGGCAGGAAGATCATCGTACATACAAGGTAGTGCTACTGTGCATGCGGCTGGTCACAGTCACATAGGCTTACCATGTGGCTATGCAACATGAGTTACATGACCACAATAGTTGAACCTGCAGCACTAGGACCCAACGCGAGTCAGATCAGAACTGCTTTGGACAGATGTTATTACTACAGGCGATATACTTTGTACTGATCTGGCATATTTAGCTACACAAAGTCCATTCTTAGGACCGATATATTCTACTGTACGATAAAATTCTTGCTTTACGTTAATGACCTACCTTCAGTTGTCCCCGATGTTAGTTTGTATGCGGATGACACTGGCCTTATCTGTTCTGATTCCTCCCCTGCACAATTACTCCTTACCATGCAGCATCGCATCAACAGCACTGTCATGTGGATGCAAACGTGGAAACTCCAGCCCAATTTAGACAAGACAGAAGCCATGTATATTTCTTCATCCCCTCCTGATCAACCATTATACTTCCCTGACTCGACTATGCCTATCCGTGTTGTTACTCAGCACAAACATCTAGGTGTGATGTTTGACTGCAAACTCTCTTGGGCTGCACATGTCAACTGTGTATGCAAGCGAACCAGTTCAGCATTAGGGGTACTACAACCACATTCCACTCATTTGCCCATCCAGTGTAAACTGTTATTTTATCAGTGCTATATTCTCCCTATATTCGACTATTGCGATACCGCTTGGTGTGGCCTTTCTGACACAACTCTGAACCAATTAGAAGTCCACCATAGATTTATACTTAAAATTCTTTACAACAAGGATCGATGTTTTCCTTCGGATGCCCTTTATCGACTTGCACACACTTCTCCTCTCTCCGTTCGTCATAAGCACCATCTCTGTACACTGGTTCATAAAATATTTCTTCATAAAACCCCATCACACATGATGAAGTACAATTGGTTTTCGACAAGCTCAACCCGTAACGCGCTCAGCCTGCCTCTTGTTAAGTCAGCCCAGTATCTAAAGTCCCCTTTGTTTTCCGGCTACTCTCATTGGTTATCATTAACATACGGTCTGAAAACTTGTTCTTCTATTGGTCAGTTTAAAGATCTACTATCACAACTGAACTAGACGAAATAATTATCATCGAAGAACATTCTCGAATACCTGGGTGATGCACGAATTTTGATAGTGCTCGCTTCCGTTAATCGTTTTTCTTTGTAATTTTCCATTCATTTTCTGCTTTAATTCATATTTGCTTTGTTTTCCTAGCTTACTATTGCCGTGGCTGGCTCAACGCCCTTGTCTCAGGGGATTCTGTCCCTGCATTAGCTATGCTTGTCACATGCTATGAGATTGTGTCTAATAATAATAATAATAAATTGCTTGTAAGAATAAATGTGCACATGAAATCCATGTTATGATTATGAAAACATGAGAGTTCATTCTTGTAGGCAGTATATTCTTTTACACGACCACGCTATAACCGATACGCACTGTACATGTATATGACTGTAAAGAACTTTATTGAAAATCCATGATAATGTGATCGGAAAGATGATTGAATACTCTGATCGTGATAGTAATAGTTGTCATACTGGCCGAAGAAAATATAGAAATGCGGCAATTCTGCTGCTTCACCTCCGTTTACATGATGTAGATGTTTGTACAGTCATGTACAATGTCATAATTATTTTGTAGTCAAATAATGCAATCAGGGAGTTGTCACGACTCCCTCACTGCTCGAATACAGGGGAGATCAGTAGGGTAAAATTAACACTGTTGAAAAGGTCTAAAAATGAAAAGAGATGTAGACTCAGTGAAGATGATCGCAATCTGCGACCACTGACCAAGGTTGTAAAGTAGCGCGTTACGACGCAGTTAGCTGGAGGCCTCCGCTGTCACTTCTGCGTTGCATGCTGTCGTCGTGTCAAACCCGCTGACGGGCGCCTGGCAAGGACAAGCAATGACGGACCGCAGAAAGCCGCGAGTTCGAGTACAGGGACCAGCAGGTGAATGAGAAGAAAAATTAACTGCAAGTTAGTTGAGGAGGGCAGAAAGAACGCTGAATCCGCGGTGAATGGTTGGCGTTCCATGTTGCAGCCGGTCTCCTGCATCGTTTGAAATTTCGACAGCAAGGTCTCGCACAGACCTATCTATCATCTATCATGGTATGGCAATTACCTGGAACCGTGCGGCTGCCGCTTCGTCTGGAAGCGCGAACAGATTGTTAGACCTGTTTAGATATCGAGCATGATGGACGTAGATCTGATAAGAATTCTTATTGTAGCTGGCATCTCGTTACTGCTGGCGAAAGTGCTCCATATCGTCGCGAAATGGTGGCTCCATCACTGTTATTTGAGGCAACGAGTACCCGAACCATGCAAGGCGCACTGGCTTCGGGGACACTTGGCCGCGGACAACCGTCGTGCAAAGGAGACATACCTCGGATATGCTCGTAAACTCCCACGAATGTTCCGACGGCAGATGGGGCTGTTTAGCACATCAGTCTCAGTATCTCATCCGGAGACCATTGCGGATGCCATGAGAGCGAATCCCGGGAAGAATGAACTTATTTGCAAGCTGTTTCGGGCCTGGTTGGGAAACGGGCTACTGATCTCCAAGGGAGAACGCTGGGCCCGTGATCACAAGCTGCTAACTAATGTATTTTCACTTGACATGCGCCGTGAGTACGTCGGTTTCTACAAGGAAGCAACGAGTATCATGCTTGATCTCTGGGAAGGACAGCCGGAAAGGTGGGTGGATGCATCTCAGTATTTTCCCAACCTTACGTTTGATATCATCCTGCGCTGTGCCATGGGTGCGGAGACAAACTGTCAAACGGAAAGAAGTCCTAATTCCCCTGCTGTGCGATATGAAACTGCTTTGAAAGACATCCTGTTGATAGTCTTCCAACGTCTCTACAAGCCCTGGCTTCTCTCCAATTTCATTTTCTATCACCTTCCAATAGGCCGTCGCTTCCAAAAACTTCTTGCAGAAACACACGAGTTCAGTGAGCAATTGATCAGCGAACGACGTACACTCCTGCAGAAGTGTTCAGACAAGAATGATGAAGAAAACCGACGCCGTGATATGCTGGATGTTCTACTAACAGCCAGAGATGAGGAGGGTGTGGGCTACAGCGACACTGAGGTGCGCGAGCATGTCGAAACATTCCTCTTTGCTGGCCACGACACGACATCATCGGCCTTTCAGTGGGCAATCCACTATCTGAGCCTGAACACTGATGTTCAAGAGCGCTGCCGTCAGGAGGTGCTGGCTGTGTTGGAAAAGTGCAGCGGTCTGGACAACTTTGCCCATGAGAACCTGGCTGAGCTGGAGTATCTCACACAAACCATTCAGGAGGTACTGCGCATAGCAAATATTGTACCGTACATTGCGAAGACCAGCAAGAAGCCCACCCAAGTGGATGGCATATCGTTCCCCACCGGCACAAATTTCCAAATTAACATCATGGGTGTTCACCACAGCAAGGAAGTCTGGTCTGACCCCGACACATTCAACCCTGACAGGTTTTCGCCGGACAAGGTGAGCCGCTCATCGTACGCGTTCATTCCATTCAGCTGCGGCCCTCGCGCCTGCCTTGGCAAGCACTTTGCCATGGACGAGATGAAAGTGGTGCTAAGCATGATTCTGTCCAAGTTCCGCTTTGTGCCGGATCCTCTCGCCGAGAAGCCTGCATGGCGAATGGGCCTGATCGTGAAGCCCGATCCCGGAGTATCCGTGTGCTTGGAGCTGGTGTAAGCATGAAGTCGCATGTGTGTATGTGTGTCTGTGTGTCTGTGTGTTTCACGGTATGCGTATGTGTTTTGTCATACTGTGGACCTTGCCATCAGGTGAGCTACTGCCACACACATATTCTTATGTTCTGTTGCATTGGCATATTCTTCATCCCGTGCATGCCTCAACTGTTACCCATGTTGTCATGGATTGCAAGGATATTGACCGCAACTGCAACTTGACATAATGAAAGTGTCCTTCAATTCGATATCACTGAGAAACAGAAATGAGCAGTGCTGGTCACAGTCGGCAGCTGTCCACCTTGTTGAATTGCGCCTTGAGGACCTGTCTCCTTGAATTCCTTGAGCAGATATGCAGAAATGATGTTATGGCTTTTCGAGCCACTTTACTTGCTAGCTCCGCTATGTGGGTATGTGTGTGTGCATGCACTATTATGTATGATTGTGTGTGTGTGTGTATATCAACTTGCTGAGATCGCATGTAAGTACAGTTGAACATCGATTATCCGACCACCTCTGGGCAGACAACTGTCAGGCGGTGTTCAGATAAGGCAAATGTTCGGGATAAGAAAACACACTGTAAATACATGTACATGTACATTGTAAATAGAATAGAGTGCTACTTTTCAAAAATTTTGAATGGCTCACTACATGCACAGTGCATACTCTACGGCACGTGCCCAAAGAAACTGTTACGGATAATCGAATGGTCGGATAGTCGATGTGCGGATAATCGATGTTCAACTGTAAGTCGTTTAGTACAGTCATGTACATGACCTCAGATGAACATTGATTGTGATCTCTAGTTTAGTTCAACTCTCCATAGCCATGTTTTTCTTCTTTTGAAATTCCAACTCATAATATTACTATCCGATCAACATGCCAGTCAATAAGATAACGTGTGCAGTCATTCTATGCTATCATGCATCTACTAGTACAAACATCATCAAGGAGCGATTGGTTGTCTTTAGCTAAGAACGTTTTGTTGCGATGGTCATCAGTTGGAGTGCATCACTGAGTGGTGAGACAAAGAATGCTCAAGGTATCAAGCGCACAATATAGCTACAGTGCTAAGGAAAGAGTGTGAGTTTTGTGACATAATCTTTTTGAATGCATATGCGCATAGGTCTGGCCGGTAGTTTGTGTTTGTAAACCCCACAGCATCATCCTCATCCTCGTCACCCTCATCTTCATCACGTGCGCATCCAACTCTTCGACTCCGAATCAATCCCACGTTCCTTGTCTGGGTAGCTTTCTCTCTTCCCGCGCTAATCTGTCTGTCACTGATGCCACTGCTCCTCCCATAATTGGCTGTAGTTCTGCGCAGTCGGTTACCGGTTAGGCGGCGGTGCTGGCTCCTCTCTTCCTCGGCATTAATCGCATTCTAATCTTTCCTGGCTAGCCTCCCTTACTCCTTCCCAGCTTCTCAGCGTTTGTCGTGGATTGTGGTGTTGCTCCGAGTGTAGTGTCCAGGTTGTTGTTGTTGTTGTTGTTTTTTATTTCCAGGTCAGTCGCATCACAACCCTGCGAAGGTGCCGTAGATACATGTTCATGCACATTATTGTATCTGTGTTCGAGGTCTGCCTCCTCTAGGTCTCATACACTTTAGTGGAATCAGACAACATCCAAAGCGGAACGTGTTGTTTGATACTTACGCCCAGGTGCTGAACAATTCTACCAACGTATGACAGACCATCACAAGAAATCGTTCTTGGAGACAACCAATCGTTCCTTGATGATGTTTGTACTAGTAGATTCATATTAAAAATAACAAAGAACGACTGCGCACTTCATCTTATCCATTGCAGTTTTTAACTTGTGTCTCCTCGTCACCTCTTTACAATTTTAAAAACTGACAGTCGTTAATTTTTTTATCGATATGATATTAGCCAGCGTTACTGAACACTCGGAAAATAGTTTTACTTGTACAAACTTCAAAGTATTCCCTGGCCCTGGGTCTTCCCTTACCTCCGCACTTTTTGTAGATTGCTTCTCCGATCGCAGCTTAATTTTGTACATCGTTGCGGCTCGCCCCTCTACCCATCTATTATGCCTAGGGCTGCAAGGAATATTCGAATATTCGATTGATATTCGTTAGGAACCCGATGGAAGGAATATTTTCCCCTTTAGAATATTCGTTCGTTTTGACACGTGCGCACACTCTGCTCCTGTCGATCTATTTGTAGTAAATCTTGAACGAATGGAGTGATATGTACATGTACATGTGTTATGTGTTGAGAAAGGGGACTATGACTCACAGGAGTAGTGGACATGACTCCACTAGACATCTACTTGGTCTAGAACAACTGGGGGCTAGCCAAACTCTTTCTAAGATTCTTTTGGTATAGATGATTCGATTCATTTACAAAAAAATTCGATTTAGCTCCTATTTAAATAATTGTTTCGACCTTAGAAATAATCGGGAAAAGTCTGAAGAAAAAATGGGATGACGACTACACCATAGCTCAGTGGTTAGAGCATCGCTGGCTACAAGCGAGGGTCCCTGGTTCGAGTCCTGGTGGTGACAGTCGATTTTTTTTTCAGACTTTTCCCGTTTGTCTCTTTCCCTCAAACCAGTTAATACCTTAGAAATAATTCAGCATTAGTGAGGTTTTGCATTCCGAATTTCGGTACAGCGTTGTTCGGTCATTTGTCGAACATCAAAATATCGAATTTTCGCACCAACGTTTGTTTTGCAAGTCGAAAATGATGTGTTTTCATTTCGTGAGCCCCAGCATCAGCAACGTCCTGTCCCGTGCTCCTTTTCTTGCTGATTCCAACGAACTTTGATCGCCCAAAGAGTCGAGGGCCAAACCTGCCTCCTCAGTCGCCTCAGAAAAACCAACTCCATGGCCAAGTCAAATTCTATGCGTGGTCGCCATAGTCTTTTCAGCCACACAGATGACGGTGAGGACACTCCAGGCGAAAGAGAGTCGACAGGCAGTGGAGAGGAGCAATCAGAGGTAGCTGACGATGCTATGTCGCCAAAGACGCCTGCCAAGCGATGCCGAGATAAGAAACCAGTTACGTCTTTGAATAAATCACGCGCTAGCGCTAGCGCTCTTCTACAAGAAAATGCATCGGAAAAATATTTTCGGCAAAGTGAGCTTTTTCCGAACAAACACTCCGAATCTTCGTGTGCATTTTCGACCTCGCTCCCGCGTGCCGAATCTTTTTGCCGAATTTCGGAATGCAAAACCTCGCTACTGTGAGAGAATATTCGTTATTCCTTCGTTATCAGTCGGGGAGATGTCCTATCTAGGACATCGCACTCTGAATGAGTCTGATTGGTTACCTGTCCCAGAGTTGTCATGGAAGCGTCGGTCGCGCACACGCGATGAAAAGAAGTGCTGCGTGAGCATTTCTGAATGTATGTGGAGGATGCACAATCGTAATGGCGATGGATTTCTTTCCGAATTGGTCAAGTTTGAGGGAATAGGCGGAGAATATCAGACATCGGCGGGGATTGAGGTAGTGTATATTCGATTCTCCATCGAATACCCGACCGAATGGCCGTTTTCGTTTGGGGATTTCATGTGGGGTTTCTCTTAGCCACGCGGCGGTTCTTTGGAAACGATTGGTTCTATTTTGAATATTTTGCCTTTGGAATGTTTCTTCACCATGTTCACGCCCCGTGCGTTCATTTCGCCCCAAACCTGGCCATGTAGAGGAGGAAGACGAGCCAGCAGGCGCTAGGCCCGTAAATTACTGCCTGGAAGATATTATTTGGCCAAAGCTTGCTGTTGGCGTTTTTGATTTCTTGGATACGACAGCTCTTGGCTAAAACTGGACCTTGGACGGTCTTTCTTGGATATCAACCCAGGACGTGGTGGTCATGGACGTATCGCCATCGCTTTCAGCCAGATCCTTCTGCTGCCTGAAGCCAATGGCGAAAGTAAAAACTTTATCGCAGCAGCAGCTACTGCTCTGCTGAAAGTGCGAACACAAATTGCTTCGCCAATCCTCAGGCTTGTGCACTTGCAATTTTCAATGTGACCAAAACGATTCGCTTGCCAGTTACTTTGTCCAGGCGTACTCCACAACGAGGAAAATGAAATTCGTGAAGGCAAGAGGCAAGATACGAATCTCGACTCGCTTGAGGCAAGCCGCCAGGAGAACGACAACTAATAATTACTTTTGAGACGAAAGGCCTTCGTTGCGTTTGTTTTGAGTGCGACATGTTCATCTTCCTCGGGCGCGACACAAAGTTTTGAGTCACGTGTCACGATTTCTATGGGAACAGCATAGTATGTATGCTGGGGCTTGCTGGGTTCCGTGATGTCCTATCTAGGACATCACCAGGACTGGTTATGGATGAGTATTCGTTCGTTTGTGAAATAAGAATATTCGTTGCAGCCCTAATTATGCCAAGTAAGGATGGCAATGCAAATTTTTTTTTTTTTTTTTACGGGGTAACGGCCTCTTTTACGGGCAAAATAAAGTCATGTAGACGTGAAAAAAATTGAGATACCATGAAAGTTAAAAAAGAATTTTATTCAAGTACAATACATTGGGAAACTCCAAGAAATTCCACGTAAAACAGACGGAATTCAGGCAATGCAAATAGGTACATGTACATGTATGTACATGCACAATGTACAATGTACATGTATGTACATGCACAATGTACAATGTACGTACATGTACAGATGAAACCTCTTGGTGGCACTGACTCGCAATGCTGCTTGGTGTTTTTGTCTGGCATAAGGATCACGCTGGAGACGGAGCGTCTCTGTAGTTTTGTATCTCTGGTGATGTTTGGGCATGGAATCTTGGAGATCTAGAGCACTAAAATAGGCTCGGGCACAAACGTTACTTCCTCGACATACTCACTTTACTCTTTTTTTCTTTGTCAGCTCTCCTTGTGGTTATGTGCTCTTCAAGTTTAAAAAAAAGATAAAGACTCGGCCCTGATGTTGAGATGTAAAGAGAAAAGGACCTACTAGTATAAGTATTTAATAGTTACTACATGTAGTTATGACTAACAGTCCACCAAGGTAACGAGATAATACACACTCAGATAGTGCGACAACGAGGCACAAAACTGACAAGGACATTGAGAAAGTCGACGACCTGACACCTACAATGTAGCTCCAAAACATCTACGAAGCGCAAACCAACAACCGTCCAACTCAGAAGGCTCAGGTGAGGAAAGTTCCAATGAGGGGAAGGGATGCCGCACCACGAAGATGTGCACAAGCTACAGGTATGTCCCTTGGCAACAAAGAATGTCGAACGTTACGGGATGATGATGACGAGACTACAAAGACCATTGGACAAAAAAACTGTTGCTTGAAATCTTTAAAGGGGAAGTTATGGCAAAAATTAAAATTTCACCAGTTGTAGTCTTCGGGGTGCTGAGTCGAATGGTCTTGATCCGAGAAAGCTGAGACGCTCCCTTCCTACTTGAATCCCAATCGAACTCGCGCACTTCCACCGAAACTGGGTGACTGCGCCCTACTAGATGGGGATTTGTATGCAAAATGTCACTAAAAGCGCCATTTCGTTCTTATAAAAGCACGGATGACCGCGATTGGCCCATATGTTGTAGTCTTTTGGACGCTGAGTCGATTGGTTTTGGTCCGAAAAGGCTGCGATGCAGCGTTCCTCCTTTATTCCCAATCGAACATGGTTGAACAAGCGGTCACGTGCTCCTGCGTACACCAGTCACCTGGTCACCGTGCCTGCAGGGTACAACTTACTAGCCTGTTTGACCTTTTTTGGGTGCAGTCCTGTCACTCGAGTTGAACTCGAGTTGAACCTTGGTGTGAAAGTTGTCGCCTGCTGGCGTGGTGACCAGGTGATTTTGGCACCCAGGAGCACGTGACCGCTTGTTCAACCATGTTCGATTGGGAATAAAGGAGGAACACTGCATCGCAGCCTTTTCGGACCAAAACCAATCGACTCAGCGTCCAAAAGACTACAACATATGGGCCAATCGCGGTCATCCGTGCTTTTATAAGAACGAAATGGCGCTTTTAGTGACATTTTGCATACAAATCCCCATCTAGTAGGGCGCAGTCACCCAGTTTCGGTGGAAGTGCGCGAGTTCGATTGGGATTCAAGTAGGAAGGGAGCGTCTCAGCTTTCTCGGACCAAGACCATTCGACTCAGCACCCCGAAGACTACAACTGGTGAAATTTTAATTTTTGCCTTAACTTCCCCTTTAATTAATCTGACGGTAATTGCGGCGTTGTTGTTGTTCTCAATTTTTTATTCTCACGATAGCCAGTGGCCAATAAGAGATATTATGTTGTTGTTGTTGTTGTTGTTGTTGTTGTTGTTGTTGTTGTTGTTGTTGCTGCTGTTCTTGTTGTTGTTGTTGTTGTTGTTGTTGTTGTTGTTGCTGCTGCTGTATTTTTGGAATTTTTTGTATTTTATTATATTTAAGGATTTTCCAAAGGCTTTGGGCCTGTCGAGGGGATCTCCTGCAAGAAGAATGAAAATGACAATTTTATGTAGAGGGAGCAGTTAATCGAGGATAGGCTAAGGAAATAGATCGAGGCATACAAAATCTGGTAATTAAGGAGTTGGGATACCGTCAGTGTAATGAATATATCGGCGAAAATGCTGATAGAGAGAATGCTTGAATTCGGGGAGGCTGGTTATAGAGGTAAGAGAAGGCGGTAGGCAATTCCATAGCATTGCAGCTTTGTTGGAAAAGAGGGAAGAAAAACGCACACCGTGATAATTGATGTTTTAAAAGTTTGTCTGGTCTTCTTGGACTTGAAAAACTGTTGCTGCTGTTGCTGTTGTTGTTGTATAGTATAGTATAGTATTTATTCATATTAATTTTCTCTAGGGCAGTCCCCACAGACCTATGGTCTCCTTACGGGGTGTTGTCGTCGTAGGCTCGTAGCAAAACATGTCCCACTAGCGGAAAGCACAATTCATTTTTACGGCGTCACTCTAACGTTAGTGCTAAACCTAGCGTTAGTACCTTAGCATTCTGTTTCGTCTTCTCGTGTTGTCTCTATTTCTCATCCGAGAGAACTCGTCATGATAATTATATTCCCCAACAGCTAGCGATAAGGCGCACCCCTGGTTGCTTGTCCAGTGGGATGAGGCGGGCTGCAGTGAACGAACTTAGCTCTAGCATGTCCGATTGTCGTCAAATGCTTTTCTCTCTTCTCCTTCTTGAGCATGAGGATGGAGTTTTGGATGAAGGGCATCTGATTCCCGACTGGCCACCTTCGAGTCCTTTGTTGCCTTTGCGGCTTACTGCTTGGCACCAGACGGTGCAGCCCAGGGAGTACTCCCTGGTGCAGCCTCCTTTCTTCTTCGCAAAGCACCGCCAGTCTTGAAAGGATAAGGGTTCCGCCACTTCATCCAACACAGACACCCAGCGCATGAAACAGAAAGGATTGCCCGCTCCCCGGACCAGAACCAGAACCAGGACTAAGTCCATGCCCGACTGTCCGACAGATGAGATCTCCGATGTGCCAACTGATGCCATTCTGCGTTCAAAACTACCGCGCCGGCATTATGCTTCGGCAAGCCAATGTAACAGGTGAAGGAGGAGCAGATGCAGACGCTTTCATATCCATTCATGATTGTGCACGATAGAGCTGAGAAAGAACTACAAAAAGGTGGAGGGAGAGGACATTCTGAAAATAATTCTGAATGAGGAAGCTTCGAAGCCCGCCAAACTGTGCAAATGAAACTAATAATAATGATTCCATTCAAAGTGGGGTTTCCGGCGCCGAGGTCTTGATTTTGGTATTCCTTCCGTAAAAAATGATGAGATCCGTGCGGCTATGTATGAGACAGCTAGCAGGGCACATTACTATTATAAAAGTACTTGGTAACCCTGTTACTGTAGTGTAGTCTGTAGTGTAGATCTACCAGTCACGAGCATGATGAGGTGTCCCTGTCAGTAGTACTAGTAGATCTACTAATGGTAAAAAGTGACTGTATCGCGCCTGTGTGTGTTTGCGAAGACGTTCATACGGTTGAAGGCGATCCTGACACCTCGCCCTCGAGAGCTCAAGGCCTCCCTGACCAAGGTTGTAAAGTAGCAAGTATCGGCGTTACGTTACGACGCAGGTGGAGTCTACTAGTACTACTGTAGTAGGTATCAGTCAGATCTCCGGCGTGACTAAACTGACGATGGCATTCTGCCGGACCGCTGGTGCACGGATATCGGATAAGGAAGAGAAAGGGAAGAAAAAATACTGGCACAGCATGTTGAGGAAGCCAGATGAATGGTTGACGTTCTATGTTGCAGCCCGTCTCTTGCCTCATTTTGATATTTCAACAGCGAGGTCTCATACAGCCCTATCATGGGCGGTGCTGCTTCGTCTGGAAGCGCGACAGATTGTTAGACCTGTTTAGATATCGAGCATGATGGACGTAAATCTTATAAGAATTCTCATTGTAGCTGGCATCTCGTTACTGCTGGCGAAAGTGCTCCATGTCGTCGCGAAATGGTGGCTCCATCGCCGTTATTTGAGACAACGATTGCCCGAACCATGCAAGGCGCACTGGCTTCGGGGACACTTGGCTGCGGACGACCGTCGTGCAAAGGAGACATACATCGGATATGCTCGTAAACTCCCACGAATGTTCCGACGGCAGATGGGGCCGTTTAGCACATCGGTCTCTGTAGCTCATCCGGAGACCATTGCGGATGCCATGAGAACAAATCCAGGGAAGAGTGAACTTGTTGGCAAGCTGTTCCGGGCCTGGTTGGGAAACGGGCTCTTGTTCACCAAGGGAGAACGCTGGGCCCGTGATCACAAGCTGCTAACTAATGTATTTTCACTTGACATGCGCCGTGAGTACGTCAGCTTCTACAAGGAAGCAACGAGTATCATGCTTGATCTCTGGGAAGGACAGCTTGAAAAGAGTGTGGATGTATCAGATTATTTACCCAACCTTACGTTTGATATCATCCTGCGCTGTGCCATGGGTGCGGAGACAAACTGTCAAACGGAAAGAAATTCTCCAGCTGTGCGATATGAAGCTGCTTTGAAAGACATAGTGCTAATAGTCTTCCAGCGTCTCTACAAGCCTTGGCTTCGCTCTGATTTCATTTTCTATCATTCTCCTATTGGCCATCGCTTCCAAAAACTTCTTGCAGAAACACACGAGTTCAGTGAGCAATTGATCAGCGAACGACGTACACTCCTGCAGAAGTGTTCAGACAAGAATGATGAAGAAAACCGACGCCGTGATATGCTGGATGTTCTACTAACAGCCAGAGATGACGAGGGTGTGGGCTACAGCGACACTGAGGTGCGCGAGCATGTCGAATCATTCCTCTTTGCTGGCCACGACACGACATCATCGGCCTTTCAGTGGGCAATCCACTATCTGAGCCTGAACACTGATGTTCAAGAGCGCTGCCGTCAGGAGGTGCTGGCTGTGTTGGAAAAGTGCGGTGGTCTGGACAACTTTGCCCATGAGAACCTGGCTGAGCTGGAGTATCTCACACAAACCATTCAGGAGGTACTACGCTTGACAAATGTTGTCCCATACTCTATCAAGACGGGCACGAAGCCCACCCAAGTGGATGGCATACCGTTCCCTGCCGACACTGATTTCCATATTGACTTCATCGGTGTTCACCACAGCAAGGAAGTCTGGTCTGACCCTGACACATTCAACCCTGACAGGTTTTCGCCGGACAAGGTGAGCCGCTCATCGTACGCGTTCATTCCATTCAGCTGCGGCCCTCGCGCCTGCCTTGGCAAGCACTTTGCCATGGACGAGATGAAAGTGGTACTGAGCATGATTCTGTCCAAGTTCCGCTTTGTACCCGATCCACACGGCGAGAACCCCACGTGGCTAATGGGCCTCATAGCCAAGCCCGATCCCGGTGTACGGGTGTGTTTGGAGCTGGCGTAGGCAGACAGTTGTATATAATTATAAATGCGTGTGTGTGTGCATGTGTATGTGTGTGTGTGTGTGTTCATGTGTGTGATGTTCATGTGTGTGTGTGTTCATGTGTGTGTGTGTGTGTTCATGTGTGTGTGCGTCTGTGTGTGTGTGTGTGTGTGTGTGTTCATGTGTGCATATGTATGCATGTTTTGCAACGTTACCTTTGTGGTTCTCATCAGATGAGCTGACTCGCACACGTATACTCATATTCTGTTACACTGACATATTGTTCCTCTCGACCCTACCGCAACTGCTACACATTTTGTCAGTGAGAAATAGACATGAGTACGTTGTAGTGGTGCTTGGTCAATGGTCATAGTGAGTTTCCCAGATCATTGAATGGTGCCTCGGCGACCCAGCTCCTTGAGTCCTTGAGCAGATGTATGACAGTAACGTTATGAGTCTTATGACCTTCCGAGGCATTTCCACTCACTGGCCCTTCTTTATGACTGTGCGTGTGTGTTCGTGTGTGTTTGTGTGTGTGTGTGTGCGCGTGTGTGTGGGTGGATGTGCGTGTGTGTGTGTGTCATGCATTTCAACTTAATTTATTAATGCCACTTCGGGAGGGCATTTTGATCCTGTTGGATTCGACTCTCTAGCCATGCTTTTTTCCCGTTTGGATTTGCATTTTGTTAAATTATTGTGTGATTAACATTACTCATACAGTTGTTTATCTTTGCATGCCCATACGAATACTTCTCATGTAATTACTCCAGGGTCTACTGTGTCCAATCTCCCACTGACGAGTTTGAGCTCAGCTGCCTCCTGGTCTCAGGCCGGGGAGTTGCCCAGTGACTTGTTCTGTACGCATCCCCTGCAGCGATCCCAGAACTCCCCGGCTGAGCAGGGAACTGAGTCTGACCTGGAGTAGTTATTGTACAGACATGGTGCATCTAGATTTTATTTTTTCCAAAAACATTTTAATTTTAAAATCATGAGTTGAAAAATGTCTGGCTTTTCACGGTTGTGATGACTTGCAGCTCAGTTCTATTATAAGTATAGCCAAGAGTACATAAACCTTTTGTGTACTCTTGGTATAGCTCATACCAAGAGTATAATAACAACCCCCGGTGGTTATACTCTTGCTCATACGAGTTGCACAGATGAGGCGGCCGCACTGGCCGAAACTGTTGGACTGCTCGCCATATGCGTAGTGGTGGTTGCGTCGACGCACAGGCAAGTATCGGCCGGCACCTTGCGGCGAGCGGTATGAGCGCAGTTTGCAGCATTGAGTGAGATCCAGAGTGAATACGCTCCTTCACACTTGGTGATATCAATAGTAGTATTAGTAGACCGTCCTCCTCCTGAGTACATGGAAGTCAGTTACTGGTATGTACACTTGATGGTGCTAGTAGTAGTCAGTACTCTGTCACCAAGGCAAAAGCTTCGGGGGGGGGGGGGGGGGCAGGGCCACAGACTAGACAGACTCAGTGCACTAGTGACCATGGTGACCTGGTACCGTGACTATCGATCATCAGGTAGATCTACGTAACCATGGTAACGTTGTCGCACTGACTGTTGTAGGGATGACTGATGTACGACCGACAAGTTGGCGACAACCGTCAGTACCGTTTTGTAGTCCACTGACGTGACGTCTCCGCACAGTGCCACCCAAAAGTCAAGCATGCAGGGAGTAGACCTACTCACTCGGCACTGCAGTGTATTTGGCTCACTAGTCACAGCTTTCCCGAAAATGTCAAACTTTCAATTCGGAGCCCACGCTCTTCAGGCCTCCCAGGTGTTCTTTCAAACGAGACTCTCGTTCGCCTTTGTCAACAGGAAACCCGTGGTTCCGGGTCGTATCCTCCTCATACTGTAAAATATTTTGGTGAGTGCGCATTGTGACAGTTTATTATAAGCAATTTTGACTTGGTTGGAAATGAACTATTAAACTTTGAAGGTTATTCGTTCATTTTCTTCCAGCTGCACTAGTCAGTTCATTTGCGCTGTGCTGCGTGCATCCTTACTTTCGTTCCATTCATTTATTTTTTAATTGGTTGGTTGATTTTACATATTCTTACTTCAGTGCGCTAGTGCCACAGTACAGTATGTGCATACTGCATAGGTTGTGTTAGCTGCTATGTACGCGTCATGTTCAGCTCTCACTCCTCAGCCCTGCAGGGTGTAGGCTGGGATGGTGTGTGTGTGTGGGGGGGGGGGGGGAGGAGTGGTGGTGTACAGTAGCAGAATCAGACCAGTATGAACATATGAACATGGCTCCCCACTCTCTGGCTGGGGAGATAAGAGGGGGGGGGGGGGGGGGGGGCAGGTGTTACGCACTGTGACACTGCAATGTGGCTGAAAATAGCCTGAAATAAAAAAAAAACATGTACACCGCAGCCGCGATTCAAATCACTCAGAGAACATTCTGAACAGTTCAGGTCGCCTACACTTGTGTATGGGCCAAGTCACTCTTGAGGTCCTGGTGTGGTCAACGTTCGAAACTGAAGTTTATCCCATTCACTTTCTCTTTCTTCTTTCGTAACTTGTCTGTCCTAAAATTGTACTGTCAGCAATACTGAAATACAGTTAGTCTCGGAAAAACAAGCGAGCAGTCTTCTGGTTAAAACAAAACAAAAAATGAGCAGATCACCATAATTATTAGGTACTGGTGTTTTGTAGGAACAATCTTTAGAATTGTGAAAAAAAGACTCGCAAGTAAGGGGCCGTCCATAATTATCGATCTTTTACACGAAGAGAAAAAGTTTCATTTGTGGGTGGGTCAAGGGGAGTTTCGTTTTGAAAAATAATATTGATATGAGAGACATCGATCTCGAGGCATTCTTGCTGTCAAGTCAATCTATTTTTCGTTCAGGGGGGTGGGTGAGTGGGGGAGGGTCCTAACTAAACTTTTTTGTTTCGTGAAAATTATCGATAATGCCGGATAGCCCCTATTCCTAAAAGTGAGGCTGCGCTTGCGACAGGTTGTGTAGTGTTGCTACCTGGACAGATGACAGCTGACTCCGTGGCGCAACGGTAGCGCGTCTGACTCCAGATCAGAAGGTTGCGTGTTCGAATCACGTCGGGGTCAGATTCACTTTTTTTTCTTCTCAAATTTCATGCTGCTCTTAGAGAAACACTTGCCACTTGGGCTGCATTCGTTTTTGCCTGCTTTGCAGAGTAGAAAACCGGTAGATGTTAGCCCGAAACAAAAAAAGTCGGTAAATCGTCGATGTGTTATATAGTCCGTATTCACAATATTATTTACAGTACGCCTTGACGATATTTTGTGGAAAACAGCTCTCATGGTGGTACATACCGTACTCACTTGATTAGAAGCCCCTCTCGAATAAAAGCCCCTCTTGAATAATAGCCCCTCTACAAGGACTGTTTGAAAAAATACAAGCCCCTCTCGAATAGAAGCCCGGACTACTATTCACAAAGCATGGGGTGACCAGGTAGTGCCATGTATGAAGGTCAAGTGTGCAAAAAACACCCCGTGCATGTTCTTATTGGTACATGTCCTGGTTGACGTAGTGTGTGCAAACTAACTCAGGGCCGACTTGCTGTGAATATGAAAGTTTTAGTGATAGCTTGCATAGACCTCGGTCCTACCGGTAGGACCTACCGGTAGGACCATCATACACAGACATGCTGCATGGCCTCTGTTCTAACATTGACCTAAAACTTGACCCTAAACTGTTGCCAAGGGGCTAATGAAGGAGTCCACAAATTTTAGACGTGATCGCACAAGGCATACTACGAAATTCCATGGTAACAACCCATGGTAACCATGGAAACGGAGTATGGTATTATGCATTCCATGGCCTTGGCAAGCTAATAAAAACATTAGGACCTCACCACAATTGATGTGCCATGGTCAAAATTCACTTTGGACGGAGTTGCTAGCGCACCGACAGGATTATGTGCGGCCATTTTGACAATCGATAAAATTGCGCATACGCAATGCACTGGACATAGCCTTGCAATTTGCGCCATTACTTTGCCTGACAAAGACCTCATCTCAACAATTGTTTCAACATATTTCTCAACCAAAAGCACTTTTGCAGCTCAATTTCTTGGGTCCTACCGGTAGGCCGGTATGTAAGCTATCAAATTTAGAGATTCGATTGGAGTACTGGTATGGAATGAAACAATAAAAGCCCCTCTCGAATAGAAGCGTCCTCAAAATTGGTATTGAAAAATAGAAGCCCCCGGCTTCTCTAATCGAGTGAGTACGGTATACAGAAATACCATTCCTCTACCAACTTCTACCAGCCTCAAACCTGGTAGAGTGGGTAGGGGAAGTAGAATCTGTTTAGAGAATAGGAAAAAAGGAATACGTCTACCGAAAGAAGTACTTGTACTTCATTTGAAGTACATGGACCGTAGTTTCTACAGAAATCTGTAGATCTAAAATGACCCCCCCCCCCCCCCCGCCTTGGCCTTGGGCTCTGAATCAATCTCTCACTCAGTGATAGAGCTTTGTTTTTTTCTGTAAAAGTGTTTGTGTGATCAAGAATATCCCCCCACTAGGCCCTGCCTGTGCAAATTCTGATCCATGCCCATTGCTTTCCTCTGGGTGTGTATGGCGTGATCACAGACTGTATGCAGATGAGCACCTTCAATTTCTCGCCATCCATGAGTACTTTTTTTGTGGCTGAGAATATGCAGAGCTGATATAGGCCAGAACAGTCCGATACAAATACTAGTAAGGAATTTTGATGGAACGTTACCTAATGGAGTTGCACACTCTGGGGTTGTCATAGTTACTAATATCAAGGGTAAATAAGCTGCCAAGAGTGTGATACTCTGCATATGGAGTCTGCGACGGCGAAAACTCACATCACGTGTTCCAAGTATGACTTGTAGTACATATTCGTATGCCAGCGTGCGAGCAGTCCGGATATCTGCCATGATCATGGTAATGGCCTGCGTGAGCCGAGTGGGTTTCTTTTAAAAGGACTGCTATTTTAAATAGTATTTTTACTACTTCACTGCTCGCTAAAAACAGACTGGGTGTGTGTATCGTGAACACTATGCCACGTGATGTGAGTTCTTTTCCACCAGCGAAACCCATAGCCAACCCATGCGGAGTTGCACACTCTTAGGAGCTTATTTGCTCTTGGTTGCACATAGTATACGCTCGATGTGATCAGAGCTCCCATGTGTGTTCCTTGACCATGGTACAAGATGTGCTGGTGTCGCCGCGGCGTGTTGCTCCCAGGTTCTGTGACCTGACTGCCGAAGAGGTGTCAGACCTGTTTCTCACGTCACAACGCGTTGCCCGTGTCGTCGAGAAGGAGTACAATGGAACATCCCTGACTGTCTCCGTGCAGGTAGGCTGCGTGAATATGGAATATGGTTTAACGTTCAGGTGGGCTGTGTGGATCTTGGTCTCCGCACGGGTAAGCTGTGTGGATCTTGGATGGATCGCACCAGTGAAACTGCCACATTCAATCCACTGCGAGAGATGCTGTTTTGTGTTTGGTATGGCAAAGTGCCGTAAGTGGATTCACTACGCATGATTGGTCATTATTGTACAGTTTTTATACGGTAGTACTTGATCTAAAGTGAACAGTGATGCTTGTGTGTGTGTGTGTGTGTGTATGGGGGGGGGGGGGGTGCGTTTGTAATCCTAGCACAAGTTACTGTATCTAACAGTGCACATGTGTGTGTGTGTATGTGTATGTGTGTGTATGTGTGTGTATGTGTGTGTGTGTGTGTGTGTGTGTGTGTGTGTGTGTGTGTGTGTGTGTGTGTGTGTGTGTGTGTGTGTGTGTGTGTGTGTGTGTGTGTGTGTGTGTGTGTGTGTGTGTGTGTGTGTGTGTGTGTGTGTGTGTGTGTGTGTGTGTGTGTGTGTGTGTGTGTGTGTGTGTGTGTGTGTGTGTGTGTGTGTGTGTGTGTGTGTGTGTGTGTGTGTGTGTGTGTGTGTGTGTGTGTGTGTGTGTGTGTGTGTGTGTGTGTGTGTGTGTGTGTGTGTGTGTGTGTGTGTGTGTGTGTGTGTGTGTGTGTGTGTGTGTGTGTGTGTGTGTGTGTGTGTGTGTGTGTGTGTGTGTGTGTGTGTGTGTGTGTGTGTGTGTGTGTGTGTGTGTGTGTGTGTGTGTGTGTGTGTGTGTGTGTGTGTGTGTGTGTGTGTGTGTGTGTGTGTGTGTGTGTGTGTGTGTGTGTGTGTGTGTGTGTGTGTGTGTGTGTGTGTGTGTGTGTGTGTGTGTGTGTGTGTGTGTGTGATGCGTACATGTATGGATGCACGTGTATTCCATTCACCAGGATGGCCCAGATGCAGGACAATCTGTGCCGGTGAGTTTCTTTGTAATGCCATGAGTCACCGAATGAATATCTTGCGCAGATTCATAAGCACAGGAAATTCCACATTTCTACCGCCTCCGAATTTCGGAGAGCTTCAGAGAATCTCCTAGAATTTCGCGGGCGTTTTTAAGAACACACCATACGGAGGTGTTACTCAAAACGTTCGACCTAGCGCTTTTCCCGCCGACTTGACTTGACTCTTGACTGGCTCACTATCTGCCACCCAGAACGAACGACACGCCTGCGGAACCTTCGATTCGGCAACCTGCAAGGATGCACCAGTCCCTGCTCATTGCTTTGGGGACTTCACCGCTCAACAGTTGAGCTTGGGTAGGTTGTGGAACCATGTGCGTAAAGAGCACCATATCTATAGTGCTTGCCAGGCCCCAACATCGCCAGGAATACAAACTTCAGAGACCCTCCGTTTCCAGCTCGACAACCATCTCGCCGGTACCAGATCGAGTCCGAGTCCCCGGTGGATATGTACTCTGAAGTAGAAACTGTCGAGGACGCTTGGTTGTACGCAACCCTGTCACCTCCAAAGCAGCGTGCCGCAAGCCTGCACTGCTTCCGTGGCCTACTCGAGCTCGCCTGACGAGGGATGAATTCCCTGGAACACAGTGTATTGAGCTGGAGGAACTGATGCTTTTTTGCAGGTTTGTGAGCAAAAGGTTTCGATGGACGCCTTGGGGGGGAAGAGCTAGCTAGCACCCAAGAACCAGCTTTCTGATTATTGTTGTAGTTGTTGTTGTTGTTGTTCTTGTTGGTTGTTGTTGTTGTTGTTTCAAATCTTTATTCTCACGATAGCCAGTGGCCAATATTAAAGAGATAATAGTGTGAGAGAGGAGAAAGAGTGAGGAAGAATTGTAATTGGGTGGGTAGGGCCTAGGGATTAATGACTACTTAAGTGTACGGGCAGGGGTGGTCACTACACGTGCATACAGAGTTGTGGTTGTTGCTGTTGTTGTTGTTGTTGTTGTTGCTTTCTGATGGTTATCGCCGGCGTCTCTACCACTGACCAGTTGACCCTTTAGGGGTCATAGTACGGATTAATCCGTATGTCACACATGCAGTGCTTTGATCACCAATTGTCGCCAATTCTTTGACTTTCTTTATTGGATTTTTGGCAATTCGATTCTCAAGACATTTTTCTACTTGAAACCTGTGTTTTCTAGGTAGGTTGCACCCAACAGTTTTGAACTACAGGCACGAAGAAAAAGTTGACGTTCAACTGTCTGAGTATGCACCAGCTAAAAGGGCAGTATAACCTTGTTTCAGATTTGGGTCATTCTGTCACTCTTTGTAGGAAACCACGATCAACTCTGTCACACCAGATCACATTACCAGAGACTATTGGCAATCTGTTTGGTCCCCTCTAATCTTGGGTTGGGGTTTCCGTCCATTTTGCAAGCATTTCCTACATTTAGAGCAAGGGTCGGCAACCTCACATTGTCAGATTGAGCTCTGGTTTTCTCTATTGGATTCTTTTTTCTGTCCTTGTTCGGAAAATATAGGTGTTATGTTAGTAATTGTGAACGGTTGTTCGGATATTTGATACTTTTTAAGGCCACCTCAAATTTGACGAACAATCCTCAAAACAATTCGACCCCTAAAGGGTTAATAATGTTCTTGTGTTTGAGTGAATCTCTCTCTCTCTCTCTCTCTCTCTCTCTCTCTCTCTCTCTCTCTCTCTCTCTCTCTCTCTCTCTCCTCTCTCTCTCTCTCTCTCTCTCTCTCTCTCTCTCTCTCTCCCCGCCCCCATTCTTATGTGACTATCCTTGCATTGTTCACAGCATGTTCACGTGCACATATTGCCTCGAAAGGCAGGTGATTTCAAGCGCAATGATGACATTTACACAGAGGTAAGTTGGGTGATATTGTCTCATTGAGAAGTAACACAAGCTAGCTGATTACTGGGGCAGGAGTACTTCGAGGTACTGGTGCATGTGCAATTGTGCATACACAGGTAAGTACTGCTGTTGCGACAGTCCTCGATGTACACAAAGCTGTTCAGCTGTTGCCTGACGAAGTGATGATCATGAAGACTGGGTTTTCACATTTTCATTAATCGTACCTGCAGCAAACGGCTCGATGGCTCCTATGGCCACGGCCATCTTCGTCACCATTTGTAGTGTCTCAGCTAGAGACGGGGTTCGGTTTATTTTATGATCGAATGCATGGAGACTAGAAGAAGACCAACTACAATTTACAAGTAATGTGTCAACGGAACAAGAACCAGGAGACACGTGTGTCAATACGAAATGGCAGACATACCAAAATGATCTGCGCACTTGTGCGCAGGGTGTGACATCAATACGATCATGACGACGTAAGGAATATGATCAAATATCCATGAGTGTATCATCAGCACATACACTACAGCTTCCACTTATGATTGGATAGGAGAAGACTCTGCTTGGCTCACTACAGTCTACAGTACTTCGTTGTGTAGGTGTTATCAAGAGTATAATGTAAGTCTCTACAAGTGTGCAACTCTGCATATGGGGTTTCCGACGGCGAAAACTCACATCACGTGTCTCAGGTACATTTTGTACTACTCCAAGTACGTACAACTAAGGATAGCGCGCACGCAATCCGAAAATCTGCCATGATTGTGCTGGCGAGTTGCATACGCGCAGTGAGTTTCTGCCAGGGAGTGCTTTTATTATTACTCCGCTGCTCGCTAGAAACGGGCTGGAAACGTACAACTCAGACAGTACACCACGTGATATGAGTTTTCGAAGTCGGCAAACCCCTTAGAAACAGTCCGTGCGCCAAATTCAAAAAAGTCGTCTAGAAGTTGCACTTTTATTTGCAACCGCGGGAAATTTGAGAGGTCTGGAGAAGAAAATTCTCAATGGGACTCAAAATTGACAAACAAGACGACGACCAGCGCTCGAGCATAGTACCTTTTCGCCATTCCTTCGTGCATGATACCTATTCTAATTGATAAACACTACCCTCATGTTTCGTTTCATGCGCAACGGACGAAGCGAAGTGTCTTTTTTCGTCCACGAAAGAAAGGTAAGGAAATTGTAGTCTTCGCGACACCCTTCGGATTATTTAGTGGGGCATTGTGGGCCAAGGATATTTTTTCTTTTTCTTTACAACTGTCCCCAGGTACTGAGACGGCGCTGATATCCTAGGAGTTCTGTTAGTGCAAAATGCCAGGTTACTGACTTATGGCGAGGTTTGTCCACCCAAAAATATGGGAGATTTCTTGGATAACATACACACATAACACAGTGAATGGTATTGCAGTGGGCATCCAAAACGGTTGAACCAAACAAATATGGTATGATACCTAGAGGCTAGGCACACAAAAATCACTCAGGAATTGGACGCAAGTCCCGGGACCTTGGTGCGTCATTACACCCGGACATTGAATGTTTGCCGGCGCACGGCTTTTGCTTCACCACTTCATACAAGTTTACGCACTCACTCAATTCGAAAGACTGGAACGAGACCAAACCGAATGTGACAACTAAGAGCGAGTTGTGCATTTGTTGGAACAACGTTCGGGCATTGCGAGAAGGATATCAGCAGGGTCCAACAATGGCAGCAACAGCACCAGGTGATGATGGAGTACCAAGGAGCTTGTATCATGCACATTACAGTGAGCAACAAGAGAAACCGTACTGTGGTACGTGAAATCAGAGCCTGGGCAGGATGATCGACACTGTACACTGTGCTACAGCGGAGTGCTACAGTGCCTCAATTGTGCGAGAGAAAACAAACAGAACAGCAAGCACAGATCATGAACTGGTACACAACATTGACAAAGCACAAACCGCACAGCAAAGTTACAGGGCATAGCCGAGCGTTTTGTTGCCAATGAATTGCTTGAGAAGGGAGCAGTATTCCTTGTAACATTGCATGGAGTATACGAGAACGCAGAGTCAGAACCAGGCGTAACAAGGCAAGACGGCTACTGTACAGGGGACAGGCTTGACGATCACTTGCATACTCGCAATTTTGGTACAACTAGGAAATTAGGCATCACGTCATACCGAAGTGGCTTCGACACGCTACATTGCATTCATAGCTGTACGGTGAACCTGTTACACGAGCTTCTGTGAAACAGACAGCATGCCAATGACCTGCAAGCACCAACAAACGCAGCCGGTAAAACAAACACTACATAACTGCCCCACATAAACTTGTATATGCTGATGAGAAGCAAGAATGTGCTTGATGTTGGAAGTTATGCTCGCATATTCAAAAACATGCATGGAAAAACATCAATGACATTGTTCACGAATACAACAGAAACATCATACAGGGAGAGTAAGTAATCCTTCCTCCGTTTTGTATACGCGCACGCGCGCGCGCGTGGTAGATAAATCCGTTTGGCATGACTTTCGATCGAGGTTGCGTTCATCGTAGAGATAGGTGAACTCGAAGCCAACACCTCTCACTTTCGCTCTACTGCCCCTTTGGGGCCGGTGCGATCCTTGTGCTAAGTTGTGGTAGTGGCTCAACAGAACAGGACAGGTGTGTGTGTGTGCACACGCGCGCGTGCGCGCATGTGTGTGTGTGTGTGTGTGTGTGTGTGTGTGTGTGTGTGTGTGTGTGTGTGTGCGCGTGCGTGTGTGTGTATGTGTAAGTGTGGTTTCTGAACTTTTCTCACAATCGTATAAGTTTCAAATTTTCGTGAAAACCCAGCTACACTGTGACCGGTACAATCGCATGTCGTTTACTAGTATCTGGCGGTCAGTCACATGGCATGTCGGGTATCCAACAGCACCGCACTGACAGCTTATAGACCTTATCTTTAGTATTTATAGTCCTACTTCAAGTAAATGTAGACAGTCAGTATCATGAAAGTTGCCATTACGTAGAGTTAAATACAAGCCAGTCTCTAGAGATGAGCACAACTGTCTCAGGGTAATACTAGTGATAAATACAGGTACTTCGAAGTACTGTCTTTTTGATCTGTTAAAGGGGAAGTTAAGGCAAAAATTAAAATTTCACCAGTTGTAGTCTTAGGGGTGCTGAGTCGAATGGTCGTGGTCCGAGGAAGCTGAGACGCTCCCTTCCTACTTGAATCCCAATCGAACTCGCGCACTTCCACCGAAACTGGGTGACTGCGCCCTACTAGATGGGGATTTGTATGCAAAATGTCACTAAAAGCGCCATTTCGGTCTTATAAAAGCATGGATGACCGCGATTGGCCCATGTGTTGTAGTCTTTTGGACGCTGAGTCGACTGGTTTTTGTCTGAAAAGGCTGCGATGCGGCGTTCCTCCTTTATTCCCAATCGAACATGGTTGAAGAAGCGGTCACGTGCTCCTGCGTACACCAGTCACCTGGTCACCGTGCCTGCAGGGTACAACTTACTAGCCTGTTTGACCTTTTTTGGGTGCAGTCCTGTCACTCGAGTTGAACCCGAGTTGAACCTTGGTGTGAAAGTTGTCACCTGCTGGCGTGGTGACCAGGTGATTTGGGCACCCAGGACCACGTGACCGCTTGTTCAACCATGTTCGATTGGGAATAAAGGAGGAACGCTGCATCGCAGCCTTTTCGGACCAAAACCAGTCGACTCAGCGTCCCAAAGACTACAACATATGGGCCAATCGCGGTCATCCGTGCTTTTATAAGAACGAAATGGCGCTTTTAGTGACATTTTGCATACAAATCCCCATCTAGTAGGGCGCAGTCACCCAGTTTCGGTGGAAGTGCGCGAGTTCGATTGGGATTCAAGTAGGAAGGGAGCGTCTCAGCTTCCTCGGACCAAGACCATTCGACTCAGCACCCCGAAGACTACAACTGGTGAAATTATAATTTTTGCCTTAACTTCCCCTTTAAGTAACATAGTTAACACAAGATGGCTTTGTAGCTTCAGTCGTCCAGAATATTCATTTTATTCCGCGGTTGCCGCATAATCGACACGCAACTGTACTTGTGCAAATCTCCAAACGCTACGTAACTGGCCGACATTTACTTGTCCACGGTGATGAGAAGCACGGCTCCTAATTTTTAAATCATGAAAGGATTACATATGCAGGTACATGCATACAATGTGCACTATCCTGAAGTCGTGCGCAAATATTCAAAATCATTCACCGAACACAGAGAGGCGCACATACCGTAAAGTACCGCGAGAGCGCCCCACCTTGATTTTGCTGCGACAGATTTATATAATACAGCCAGGGAAAGGAAAATCGTATGGCAGAGTGCAACGAAGTTCGTACGGTGTGAGCAACTTAGTGTACTAAGGTCACACTAAGCAGGTTTTTGTGTGGAGCTCGTGTCCGCTCGAAGGCACAGATTGTCTGCAGAACGTGCAATATGTGTACAAAGTTCGTGTCGTATAACCTACAGACCGGAGACCACCCCACAATACGACCCCGAAAGGACGAGATGGTGGGGCGCTCTGGCGGTACTTTACGGTACATGTAAATACGAAGGAACCACATGCGCAGCAAGGAGATTAGTCATTACTTTACTTATGAGTTGATGGATAGAAGTTTCCTTTCAGCTGACCATTACCACTCATGAAAGCAAGAGTGAGTGCTGTTGTTCTGATTCACAGGTATGTATTCGGCACTTAGCGCAATGTGTTTTCGAAGCTAGGCACACGATTTGCATGAGGAAATCATGCAAAGATGTGGCATAAGGCCCTACAAACATGACCTAGGTAAAGGGATGCCATTATTTGCATTTGCAGTACTTTGGCATAGGATAATTTGTGGATGATTGTGTTGATCAATTTCACATAATTTCACGACAGGTCATAGTTTATTTAGTGGGGTGTTGTGGGCCAAGGATCTACGACCATGTCTTTTGCATTTCGAACAAGTAGACACTTTCAACAATTCATACAAAAAATGCCTTCAGTGCAAAACATACCGTTCGGACCCACCATGCAGTCCTTTCCAGCCTTGATTTTCAAGTGCAGACGTATCCACGATGACCTTCGAGTGAACTGCGGCTTGGAACACTTTGAATACGAACCACACACTCAAACTAAGTAGACCACCGCATAGCTAGTGTATTCACGGAGCCAAAGAAGTCTCCTTTTGCCTCCACAGGGTCTTGGTTAGTTCTCTAGAAGGGACGAGAGCCATACCTAAATTCAATAAATTCTCCAATTCCAAAAGCCTCAAATGAAGGCGTCTTGGTGACTTCGTTTCCCGCGGTTGCAAATAAAATCAGCCCTTGAGTACCCCTTGGCGCACGGACTGGAAAAGGGTATCAGGAGTTGCACACTCTTGGGGGCTTATATACTCTTGGTGTTATGTCTGTCTGTGCTTGTATTGTTGCTTGGTCGCCGGTTCATCATGCATGCGTGTGTGTTTCAGCTGGAGGGGCATGATAAGACGCCGAGCACAGATGTGTTCCGTAGCATTGATGACATGGCTGCCGAGAGCACGCGCCTAGAAGGACTATTCATCGGTGACAGCTGATGCTGGTGCAGGTGCAGGACAATCATCATTCTCATTATTTTTATTTATCTCCACATTGACTATTCACATTATTTTTTATTTATTTAAGGCTGCGTTCGTTTTTAGCCACCTGGTAGAGGTAAATGCACGGACGCTGTTCTACCGGATTAAGTAGTTTTTCACGATATGTACGTGAAATGTTTTCTCTTCTGTATGGAGTTGTGTGCAACTCCTTCATCTTGCTGGAAATCCCGTACTAGTACCTACTACCTCTACCAACTTCTACCGGCTTCTACCAACTTTTCCTGGCAGAGCCGGTAGAGGAAAATAGAACCTACCCATTTGAGTAGGAAAAAACAAACACCTCTACCGAAAAAAGTAGTTTCTACCCAAACCTATAGATGAAAAACGAACGCCCCTAACGACATTAGAGCCGGGAGGTTTCGCTCTACGGAATTACGTATGAAAATAACATAGGAACTGCACGTAATTTTCGTACGTAAAAATCAGTGCTGTTGGGACTCTCCACGACTGCTAAACTGTCCCTCCAGGAATCCGCGGCCGCGGTAAAATTCGCGGAATTCATGTTTTTTTTAATACCCCGCGGAATTCACAGTTTTCACCGCAGAATCGTGAAAAATCACGGTTTGGGGGCAATGCGAGCACGCGCTTCATATTCATCATGCACATGCACAGTGCAGTGTCCTGTCGCTATTATGTTGCATTCAAAGTCTAGGGAGTATTGCAATTTTACACAGAAATGCAATGGACAGTTCAGCAATTGTACCAGTTTTCTTTGTTACTGTATTGAGCCTATCGTGTGTTTTCGACCACTACATTTTTTATTGATACTTGTACATAGCATAAAGTCATGTCTTTTCGCCGGTGCAGCGCCGCAGAAATACCGCAGTATTGCCGCAGAATTCACGCTATCCGCCACATAATGTAGCGATTTGTGCCGCAGACTTCAAACTTTCTGTCCGCGGATTCCTGGAGGGACAGGCTAAACATGCCTTGTTGCTTTGGAGACGTGTTCCCTGCATGCACCACGAACCGAAACCGCGGTTTCCTATTATTTTGCACGTGGTGAACGGTGTGTGTACCTTATGTTTCGCGCGGCTTGAAAGTTGCCATGGATAATCCGGAATATGCAAAAAATATTTCAAAAAGTCCTACGGAGGACCGTAGCTAAACCCCCCCCTATTATCGATAATTTTCACGAAACGAAAAAGTTTAGGCGTGATCGCGTTTGATCAGATTCTGACGGTTGCGGGTCACGCGAGCCATGCCGTGAGCACACGAGCCGTAGTGTTATACCGGCCCAACCCACCAACATTGCCTTGATGTGTGTTCAGAACACACAGTTTATCCTCCTAGTGGAATATCATTATGTTGTTACATCATCAGCAAGCATGAAATACAGATACCGGCGGGGCATACTAGTAACATAGTAAGCACACGCAGTAAGCACACGCATGTAGTGCCGCGGTGTAGAAGAAGAGCACAGCGTGAAAAAAGGGGAACTAGACAAGCAGGTTTTCCGAACATTACAAAAAAACAGTGCGGGTAACAGCAAGTAATCGAGGAATAGAGCAAAACACGGAGTACACCATTGCATAGAGCAAGCCGCAGCGATGCCCGAACATAAGAGTCTACAAAAACGCAAGGCGTAGCAAGTAAGCAGCACGCCAGCAATTGTGCACTAACTATAAAAAAACACTAATGAGAGAGAAGCAATATATTCAATGTAGACATGGACTATTGCCAGGATTTCCTGGACAAACCAAGGGCAGTGTGGCACAGTAGCACTTTCACACTGTTTGCGGCCGCAGGTCCTAGAATTCGAATAATAGAGCGCCCAATGCCTTTTCACCAAAGAGTGTAATACTGGTTACTGATTCATGGCCGAATTAGCACCGCTGGTACTACGAGATGTTGACAATAATCGCTGGCAGTGTCATGACAGTAGCTCTAACCATAGTAGCTAGGAGCTGCCTGGGTAGCAGCACCCTGTGCAGGCATCATCTGCTGCTGTGGCTGCTGCTGTTGCATGTTGGACATCTGTTGCTGCTGCTGTGGTTGCTGTACATTAGCAGCTTGCATGCCAGCCTGTCCCATAGCAGCGGCAGGCTGCTGCTGCTGTTGGCCTCCCATAGCAGCGGGCTGACCATAGACAGCCGTCTGCGGCTGCTGCTGCGCCGGGGCTCGCTGCTGAGCCGTGCCATATTGGTGGGTCACGGGAGCACGGTTAGCCACTGAAAGGAAGGAAGCACCAACACCCACGCACCACACACAATCACTACAACAATGTACACTAGACTTCTACCTGTACAATGGCCGAGATGTCTTCCACCTCACACGTGTCTCCACTATCTTCGTACCGTACTTCCCCACATTATAATAAGCGCATGGGCTTATAAGTGAAAGTTTGCTACAACAAATATTTTTTGCTGTGGGAACATGTTCGTTTAGGGGTCGTCGCAAAAGTTTTTTGTCGTCCCTGAAACGAACATGATTCATTTGGGGGGGGGGGGGGGGGTGCGAGCCAAAATCGCAAGTCGACCGACACTGTACATATGACATGTACATGCATGCGATTTTCGTCGTCCAACATAGCAAGCTGTGTTCGTTTCAGAGGGAGGGGGTCCGAGTACGAAATGAACGATGTTCGTTTCAGGGACGACAGAAAACTTTTGCGACGACCCCTTAGAAGCCCATGCGCTTATATGTGCAATCAATGTTTGTCTGTGTCCTAAACAACGGTGTTATCACAATGCTTAGCAGTATATTCAGCTCCCAGGTGTTTCACCAATAGTGTTCACATATAAGCGTATGCACTTATGTCCGGACATAAGCACATGCGCTTGTATGTGCGGAAGTACGGTAATGCCGTGAAAGGGGTCCCTGGCCGACTGCTACTCTTCATGCCAGAAGGACTTGCTTCTCGTCACCAACGTGGTCACATTAGTGATATTCTGCTCTTCATCACGGATCGTAACGTAAAGGAAACCTGTTCTGCTCCACGTTCACGTAGAGAAATCGTGTGACACGTGTACTGGGAATTTCCCTTTCCAAATTTGGCAGTTTTCTGTCTGATTTGAATGATGTCTAACAGATCCGTGCACAGTTTTCTTTGCGTGTGCCACAACCTAGAGAACCTCATCTCTGCGTAGAAATTCGGACCCAAAACACGCGAAGCCGCAGACTCTAACCCAGACACCTGTTCTTTACATCATTTCTCTACATTTCACGTATAGCAGAACCTCTCTAGTGTGACACCGGTTGGAGGAGTTTGAATTGTCCCCGTCAACAAAACGTTTGCTTTCAGCCTCACCATTTCTATGGAATCATCATAGGAATGAGATTTTCTAAGCCTCCTCGTGAAAATGGCCCCCCCCTTACCATACGTGCAGGTTGTGTCATAGCTTCTACGGGAAACGCGTACAAAAGGTAGATTTCGCGGGAATACTCCAAGCTCTTCTAAACCAACCCATCCCTATACTTGCATGAGGTTTCGTGGAGTTTCAAGGAGACGGTCGGTTTCTGAAGAGGCGAAAGCCACCTCTTCAGAAAAACGAAATACATCGAAAAGTCAAGGAGCGCCAATTCGCACGCCCCCTAAAAGTCGTGCTGCCCGGCATGGTCCTGCAATGAAAATATGTACAGTGCCCCGGCCTGTGTTTAGGTGACAACCACCCATTCGTACACAGACAAACCACCGATTCAAACCGTCTCTCAAAGAACAGGTCAAAGTGTATGCCGAAGCAGCGGGATGCCTCAGATGACGGGTCTGGAAACACAGGTGGTCGCTACACACAAGTGTTATCGCAGCATGCTATCCATCATGATACAGTCTCCATATTGCCCTGTATAGAAGCGTGTCCCGGGTAGAAGCCCATTTCGAATATAAGCCTGACATTTCGAGACGGACCACCGGCACAGAAGCCAGGGTTTGATCAAGCTAGTAATGTCTGGATAGCTTATCCCTTGCATCGTCTGGTACAGGAATAAGTATTTTTTTACACGCAACACTGTACATTAATTTAAAAATCGATAAGTCCGTCTTCATAGTAATAATAGGTTCTTCTTTCGACCAGACGAGGCAACACGGCGTTTGCAGACACCAGCACGAATGAGTGCTGGAGTGTCGCTGATGTTCATGCTGGTGTCTGCAAGCATCAAGCGTTGTGTAGTCCCCATCTGGTCGAAAGAAGAATCCATTACTACTATTATACCACTCTCGTACATTGACCCAACACAGAAATAACACTACTACTATTGTACATTGACCTAACTCAGGAACACAAGGCACCACTGGTTAACTGAAATCATACCAACCACAGAACACAACTACGTACTCTGATTGGCTGCTGCTGGTTGACCATACGATTCTGCCTTGACAATCGTGCCATACCCACTAGTTGTGTTGTCATAATAGCTTTGTGCAGCCTGTGCTGGCTGCTGCTGTGGTTGCTGCTGTTGCTGAGGCTGTCCGTACAGAGGCTGCTGTTGCGATGCCGCCTGCTGCTGTGGTGCCTGCTGTTGCTGCTGAGGTGGCTGTTGTCCGTAGTTATTAGACGGCTGGAAGTTGGCCGAGTTGCCGCCGTAGCTGCCTGGTGGTGCACCACTGCCAGCACCATAAGACACTGCCTGCGGCCCAGCACCAGCACCATAGTGACCGCCACCACCGCCGGGAGCCCCAGGGGCACCGTGGCCATGCGGACCACCACGGCCAGCATGGCCGCCATAGGGACCACCACCACCGCCGCCACCGTGAGGACCAGGGCCACTATCGTCGTTCGGTCCATTCCGCAGGAACAGCTCAATATAGCGATGACCTGGTGACAGGCAGAAAGTAACAAGCATGACCACTAGTTTATCAGCAAACCAAACCAAATCAACAGTATCCAGCCATACACACTTAGAGTGAGTTGTGGTAGCTCGAGATAGTGCTTGATACACCTGGATGTGGAGCCGTATGCACATTGAGAGAGAGAGAGGGGGAGAGAGAGAGAGAGAGAGAGAGAGAGAGAGAGAGAGAGAGAGAGAGAGAGAGAGAGAGAGAGAGAGAGAGAAGGACAAATAAAACCGTCTTCCTGTAACTCTGAGTTTCATTCACAAGCAATCATCGGACAGCATATAATTCGCCCTTCTCCCTGTGTGTATTCAGCTATACACGTACAAGATCACAAAATACATCCTGATAAGGAGCTTCGGTCATTCCTACGCCCAGACTGTTGAACAGCGGAGGAAATGAAGCAAGAGTGACACAGTCTAAACGGACACCACGAGCATGTACACTGTGCAACTAATAGAAAATTTACTACAGTAACATACCACAGGAGCACCACACGTGAGAACTAAAGCAGCATGATTACATACCCATGGATTGGCGATCGTGGCGCATGGCTCCCTGGGCTTCTTCTGGTGTGGAGAAGCTGACATCAGCCATGCCAGATGGTCGGCCAGAGTGGTCAAAGGTGATGTTAATGTAGCTGGGGATTTCAGGCCGGAAAAATTCTTTAATGGATTGCTCAGTTGCGGAGTATGGGAGACCACGCATATGCACAGTGGAGGCATTAGGACCAGCTGGACCCGGGTCCATGCGGTTGAATCCACCTTATTGAAAAGAGAGAGAGAAATGGGAGAATGAATCCGTGTCAAGATCAATAAGACAAAGCTTCTGCGAACTACCGATGGCCAAATAACTGCATTCTCACTGTGCATGGGGATGGCATGGCAGGATAAGCAAAAATTCTCAATGCAACAGATTGCAAGTGCTTGTACTGAATGTCAAATATGCCACAGCATGACTGGGGGCTATGCTACTCTACCGTGCCCATGCTGAGGTAGAGAAACCAGTTCAAACCACGCTCGAAAAGTTACTCCAGGTCCGTACTCGTCGTACTCATCTGCATGGTGCAACGCTTTTCCACGTGTATGTGCACCAAATGCGTATAACAAAGAGTGTTACCCACGTACAAACGTCATGTTTGGCGAAAACGGATCCATTGGATCCAGTCAACCCTGCTCCCGGGGTAGGGTTGCTCGGATCCAAATCGGGATTCGACCAATCGATCTGGATCTGGATCCGACCAAACGACCACGGCCTTAGTAATTGAGCCGTCAGATGCGAAAACCGACCTTATGGGAAACACTGCACAGTGCAGAAAAATGCACTTGAAAGTTGGCGAGTTTACGCACTGGTGCGCATGGACAACCAAGCTACAAACCTTCGTATTTCAGTCAAATATCGGTCTTTCGGGACAATCCAAGTATGTAAATCGAAGAGAAAACTCCAAGGAATCCAATGCAGCAAGCCCGATCGCGGCACGATGCTGCGTTCCCCAGCTGCGAAGCCTGCAAGATACGTCACGGCACTTTGCACTTCTACGTGCAAATCAAACGATCCAGACCCGGGGTTTCCCCCTTTTCAAGCGACCTACGATCTCGGCAACAGGCTCAGAAGCTCTCAGTGTATCTTCACGAAAAAAATTGGGCGTCCTGGGATAATGGAGATGGAAATGGCGAGCGATTTTCGTGTGACGGCGCAAGTCCAGCGCTGAAGCGTTGTCTGCAGCTTGTTGCGCTGGTGCTGTGCTTTATTTGCTATCGGATTTGGGCCCAACGGGTTGCTCGTCGCCAGAGCTTTCCAGAAAGCCCAAGTTTGTGGAAATCGGTCAAAGGAAACAGGAAATATTCTACAAAGTAGGTGAAACAATTGTTGGTATTGCACCCAAAATTGAGATGCAATTTGAAACGGTCTCCTATTGTAGAGGCTATAACTTTACTTCCCTTGGTCCAAATCAACTCTAGTTTTTTGCATACGACTCCTGATGCTCCTGGCTTTCAGATAGTATCACTAACACAAATATGATTTTTTTCCCATAAGGTCTGTTTTCGCATCTGACGGCTCAATTTCTTCCTTTTAGAGTGATCGGGCGAGGCGCAATTTTCAAACGTGATGCCCGCACTGATTGCAGGCCCAATGGCTTAAAGGGGAAGTTAAGGCAAAAATTAATATTTCACCAGTTGTAGTCTTCGGGGTGCTGAGTCGAATGGTCGTGGTCCGAGGAAGCTGAGACGCTCCCTTCCTACTTGAATCCCAATCGAACTCGCGCACTTCCACCGAAACTGGGTGACTGCGCCCTACTAGATGGGGATTTGTATGCAAAATGTCACTAAAAGCGCCATTTCGTTCTTATAAAAGCACGGATGACCGCGGTTGGCCCATATGTTGTAGTCTTTTGGACGCTGAGTCGACTGGTTTTGGTCCGAAAAGGCTGCGATGCAGCGTTCCTCCCTTATTCCCAATCGAACATGGTTGAACAAGCGGTCACGTGCTCCTGGGTGCCCAAATCACCTGGTCACCACGCCAGCAGGCGACAACTTTCACACCAAGGTTCAACTCGAGTGACAGGACTGCACCCAAAAAAGGTCAAACAGGCTAGTAAGTTGTACCCTGCAGGCACGGTGACCAGGTGACTGGTGTACGCAGGAGCACGTGACCGCTTCTTCAACCATGTTCGATTGGGAATAAAGGAGGAACGCTGCATCGCAGCCTTTTCGGACCAAAACTAATCGACTCAGCATCCAAAAGACTACAACATATGGGCCAATCGCGGTCATCCATGCTTTTATAAGAACGAAATGGCGCTTTTAGTGACATTTTGCATACAAATCCCCATCTAGTAGGGCGCAGTCACCCAGTTTCGGTGGAAGTGCGCGAGTTCGATTGGGATTCAAGTAGGAAGGGAGCGTCTCAGCTTCCTCGGACCACGACCATTCGACTCAGCACCCCGAAGACTACAACTGGTGAAATTTTAATTTTTGCCTTAACTTCCCCTTTAATCGGGGAAAAATGGTCGATACGTTTGAAAGTCAATGGGAACAAGGCTACACTAGGTAGCAAGAGTTGTAACCTCCACAATATCGAGTGGAAAGAGGTAGTAGATGCAGTAGGTGTTGACTTCAAACTGGGTCCTTTTATCTGATTTCCAACGCAGAGTGCGCATATCATTTAGTTTTTTTCTCGGCCGGGCATCTTCGGGGGCTCCAGACTCCCTAGGGCAGAAAGATGTAGTACATACCTCGTCCATATCCGCCACTGCCACCACCACCACCGTAACCGCCACCTCCATAGCCACCATCACCACCACCAAAGCCACCTCCGCCGTATCCACGTCCACGGCCGCGATATTGCCGCTCGTATCCACTGCCGTAACGGCCACCGCCACCACCGCCACCGGAGTCCCAGCCTGGATCAGACAGGTAGACCAGACACCAAAGTAAATCAGCATACTCTATGCAGACAGACAACATAATTGTCTTTCATATGAGCAGCAACAGTTCAGTTGAGTTTAACTTTTTGAACCAATAGTAGTGTCACATAAGCCATCCATTGTTCAGTAAGGCTGTGTTTACGTGAGGCGCTTCAATCTGGGTCAGATGTACACAAAATGAATGGCATGTTTACATGACGCATTGCGCTTGACCCGGGTTGACATTTAACGTACTTCTATGCGTATGTCGCGCCAGGTTTGACTAGCTGTGCACAGGCAAATTTTGCGCGAAAGTATTCACGAGACCATACAGGACTCTAGAAGTGAAACTTTGGCGGCATATCAGTATTTGACCCGGGTCAACCGCCTTCATGTAAATGCTCACCTATTTCGTCTATTGTACAGACTTTCAACCCGGGCTGAACTCGACCCGGGTTGAAATTCTCATGTAAACACAGCCTAACTTGCTCAACAAACTGGAGCAAAGACAAATCACGTACCACCTCTTCCCTGCCTGTCATAGGGACCAGGACGACTACCACGTCCCATCAGCGGCGGTGGCCCTTCGTCAGGCTGGCGAGATGTGAAGCGAGTCATTTCTGCATGGGTGCTAGAGAAAACTTCAATGTACCTGAAAATAGAACACATAGCAAATGCGGGGAAAACAATTCGAAAAAGACCTTGCCAAAGACACACTCGGTAATGCAACGAGGCTTGATCGCTGCAAAAGAAGACTCACCTCGGTCTCCATCTTCCCGAGGAAGCACACGCTTTGCAAGCATACATATCACTGGTCCACCAGTATAGAAACAGTCACTACTTCCTTTTTACAGCTAGCAAGCAATCTGATGTTAGTAAAGCAAAAGCTTGACATGCATGCTTCTCAAGTTAGACTGGACTCATTCTATATGAAAAGAGCAACCAGCTTGCCTCTCAAAAATGGAAAAATGCACAACAGGCAAAGAAAACAAGGAAAACAACATACAGGAGATGTAATAGAGAGCAGATAGAAAGCCACTCAATTGAAGTTTAACTTGCTTGACCGATGCTCCACCAAAATTCTGTAGAGGCCACCGTGATGGTTTTCCAGATTTGGCAACCATCTGGATCCCTCCCACCCACCTGTGCCCGAGCGATTCCTTGTGTTTTAATAAAGCCTTCTCTGCCCCCTCAGGAGTTGTAAACTCCACATAGGCCTCCCCGCCGACGCGCCCATACTGATCCACAACCTGCGTTATCCCATTGGGAACAATCTCCAACCCTTTATACAACCAAGACAGCACACCCAACACACCACAATAGGACATATAGGAATATAAGCTGGTATAGTGTCTACCAGCTGCTAGAATGGTTTTCATGGAATGAAAGCACTCGTGGCCTAGTGTACAGGTCAGCTCTCTATTATGGCAGTTGCATTGTCTTCATAGCTGATCAATAGGTTGTGCAGTAGTGGGGGTTATAATGTACAGTGCTGGCATGTGAAACTCGACCACCGGCCCACTTGCTGCAGTCAGAGTTGATCTGCCCTCGACGACTTGCAGCAGTCTAATCCAGTTCAGTTCATATGTACACCATGCAATTGTTACTTCCAGCACAGTTCGTAAACGAGTGGTGAGATTTCACAGGCCAAACTGTACAGTAAATGTGAATTCACCACAAAATGTCCATTTGTATAAAGGACCTGGGATAGTACATGTATTATAAACAAGCGTGAAATTGAATGAAGGAAACTTCACCAGCTCTAAAAGTAATTTTGCATATTGTCATGGAATATTTCTGTTCGAAAGCTATCTGAACATGCACAAATCTGCGAACCAAGCTGTCTGGGAAATTAATCAAGCCACATCATAGCCCATGTCACTGAAGAATGGCCATAATCTATTTAAAACTTAAAACTTGTCACGGATATTATATTATAATGTATACACCTACTTGTATAATATTGTAGTTCAGATGTACTTTTCACGGGCATATGCGAGAACATGACCTTTTACAAGAATGTATACTGCTGCTGCTGCTGCTGTGTGTGTGTGGATTAGACAGTTATCCGGCGGTAGTCTTGATCTGTCTCATTCAGATCTTGTCCGCTATTGTTGCTATAAGAGAAAATCTGTGAGTGCATAACCAGTGCATTTGCAGATTTGCGTGCTTCTCTTGCGACAGGCGTATACATGGCACATGGTGTGTGTGTGTGTGTGTGTGTGTGTGTGTGTGTGTGTGTGTCCGGACCAATGCAACCATTTTTTTACTGGAAGGGTGAGAATGAAATTACTGAGAGGTAGAGGAACCAGGGGGGGGGGGGGGCTAACACAGGAGCTCTGTTTCTGCCGTAGAACTAGGCGAAAACCACAGCGGATACTGTTCGGAGATGGCTCTACTTTTCACATGGTCACCTATAATAGCTTGTGAAACCTGTATATTAAGTTCCCATTCCGCTCACTAAAAGCATAAAGACAAAGACGAGATGTGGAGCCACCTGTCAAAGCGGCAGAGACGACTGTTTCTGTTGGAGTTCTGGGAGCAGCAAACTCATTGCATTGTCCTCCAGAGCATGGGTGGAGGTACTGGAGGGGGGGGGGGAGAGAGACTACTGTTTCTTTCTAACTCCATCCACCTCTCACAATTAATGATTATTGTCATCAGGTGAAACTTGGCCAAGCGACCACTTCGTCTATTTGGTCTGCATGACCACGTTTTTCGGCACCGAATGTGCTGGGCATACAAATACACTTCATGTACGTACACGAAGAGAGTCATGTGCATACTCAATAAATCCGTACCTGAAAAGAAGTGAGCAATCTCCTCCTTAGTTACACCAAACGGAAGGCCACGAAGGCGTACAATTGACTCGGACTTTGAGGAAGTGGCCACATTACGGAAAGCCCATTCGAACTCAGACTTTTTTCCAACGAAAACTTCCACGTATCGTTTGCCAATGTTCTCGCTGCTGTGCGCCACTGCTTTCTCCACATCTTCAGCCGTCGTCACGTCAACGAAGCATTCTCCTGACGGTCTCCCATCCGGAGAGCTCACTATGTGAACTCCTGATGCACCTCCACGAATAGTAACATCATGGAAGAACTTCATGATATCCTCGACGGTTATTGACCATGGCAGGCCTCTGCAGCGAACAAGAAGTTCCTGCTCAGCAGCCTACATTGTACATATCAAGAAAATCACAGAAAATGGACACAAACTGATTGCACTTCAAATGACACGAAGAAGCGATACGAAACCCTGTGCTTACAGTTTCTTCTGACATGATTTATTATTCACAGCAGGCTGGTCCCTAGAAGCGCAAACAGATATCAATGTCTTTCAGAAAAAGCAAAATTTGAAGGTAAAGTGCTGAAGCGCCACAGAACTAAAATTACTTCGTAGGTATCGCTCTTGTCTTGAAAAGGCAAAAACTGAAATAGAAAAAGGAAGCGAAAAAAGAACTTCACTTCAACCAAGTGCGCGGCTTCGAAATACGTCCCACGTACCACATCATGGCACATGTGCACAGCAGACATGCAGAGAACGTGTCGATCGTCGAGTGGTGGCATCTTCAACGCGGTTCCGCGCCCAGAACCGCAATCCACGCGTACCGGCGCTAGGCGCGGGCGGAACTTTTTGGGCTAGCGCCGCCGAGTGTGTTTCGAACGTTTCAGTACGAGGAACAGAAACAGGATCTTGCCCTTTACTTGTTACCGGCATACATACTCTCTCTCAGACTCTGGCATAATACTAGTAGTACTAGTAGTACTACTACAATTATACATTATAGCCTCTACAGTACAGTACAGGGGAAAGGGAGACCATTTGCAAATCTTGTAGGATTTGCCCGGGTTCTGGCCACACACGCGCACGCACGCACACGTGCGCACGCACACACACACACACACACACACTTGTACTTGTTGCTCACTGCCAAAACTGATCACGTGGGTCTCCCCAGGAGAGGGGAGAGAGACTCAAAAGGAAGCTTGGAAAGATGACTTAATTGGCTATTGAACCACCCAACGGCCGACACCTCCTGAGATCCCCAAAACTCTGGGTGGACTTGAAAATGATCCCACACACACCTCAGTAAGTGGGTGAGGACAAGGTGCAGAAAAAGAATTGACGGCATCAGGGTATCCGTCCTGGGATCCAACTGCAGTTACCCCTCAGCGGCCCCCAGTGAAGGTAACACTTGCTACTACTAGTGTGGGTGGCTAAATCAGAGTGGATCTGATACAAGCTTCACTAGCACCATGATTACACAAGAGTTAACCTAGCCAGAAGTAGTCCATGGTTAACAGGTATGTATACTTCAAATAGAAAGTATATGAACCCTGAAACCAACAAAGGTGGTAGGTACCACATTACACCTTCAAGCAGCCGAGCCCGTTGGCAACAGATCCAACACTATCCGGCATAAGTGTACCCACCAACCGAACTAGCTACACACACACACACACACACACACACACACACACACACACACACACACCTCAGACCTCAGACCTGCCCATCGCGGAAGCGATGATAGCGAACAGCTATGTTAGACATAGCAACTTGTGCTGGGATTACACCATTCAACAGCTTGCAAGGCTGATGAATTTGACCGCCACTATTTTTAGCCTGGTATCCACCACACAGCTGATTGAAGTGACTTTTTCTGGCCAGTGAATCCCTATTTTTCATTTTTCCATTTTTTCTTCACACACACACACCACACCACATACTCCGGCATACACTGGCTGTTGGTAACCACCCAGGAGAATGAAAGAAAAGTCAGGAAGAGTCCGAGAAAGAGAAGAAAGACGTGTGCGACCATAATCGTCGGGAATTGAACCCACCCACACACACACACACACACACACACACACACACACACACACACACACACACACACACACACACACACACACAATACACTGATACAATATGCCCGGCATGCGGAGATAATAGCAAGTCCCAAAGAGACCAACAGTGTTCACGTCACGAGCAGAGTCAATTCCTTGCGTCGGCGATAACTCTTTCCACAACTGCAAACGAAGTCTAAGGTGACAGGCTCGGTAACTGTTAGGAGGAATGGTGCTGCATGCTGTTCTCCATGCTCTGCGATCCTGGGCGAGGTTGTACCAGCCCACTATCTGGCGGACATAACATTGTCCCGCCACCGCTTCCGGGGCCCATGACGTGGCCGAGTCTTTTCCAGTTCGCCGAAGAAGACACACTTTGGAATATCATGGGAGTCATCCATTCGAGTTACATGGCCTAACCAGCGAAGTTGACACGTTTTCAGTGGCTGCAGCTTGGTTCGTTCGAGGAGAGTGGTGTTGGAGATGTGCTCCTGCCAATGTGTTGCTCTGGGGATATCCAGCAGGAAGCGAACACAGCGGTGGTGAAAGGCTGCAAGCCGACGAACATCCACATCCTTAATTGCACAGGTCTCACAACCATACAACAGCGTCGACAAAACGACAGCCGAATACACATGCATGCACACACATACACGCACACACACACACATACACACACGCACACACACCTTTTGGACCTTTTTGACGCCCATCGCCGGAGGCGATGATAGCGATGCTGCAGCAGAAGCCACACACACACACACACACACACACACAAGCTCTCTCTCTCTCTCACTCTCTCTCATCTTATACAACAAACACACTGACTACCTGAACTACGCTAGAACAGGAAAATGGTTTTACAACACAATACCTCAAGTGGTCGTTAGGATTCGAAATATCAGACTGTAAGCATACAAAGAGAGCCAACTTCTTGTTCAGGCAATTCAAAAAGAAAATAACATAGCTAGAAATTCAAATCGAACAAGATAAAAAAAATATCCACCCGATATGGCTACGTGTCTGTACTAAACTTACATGCAGAAGCCATTTTCGCCCCGATACGGTAACTCTCTCTCTCCAAAATGCACTGCTCTGTGGTTAAGAGAAAGAAAGAAAATATAAGCCTGCTGGACCAGACACTAGACTGCAAACGTCTGCTTATCGAAGAGAATCAGTACATCAAATCCTGTCGCTTGGTTCAAGCAGAATGTTGAAGCGTCCCATTGCAATGCCTCTAAAACAGCTGATATCAATGGTGCTCAAAATATGGTTTCTGTGGGCCAGTCGAGCCCTGGCGCAAGTACACGGACGCACACATCAATTGTTCTTTTGCACACTCCCTGCGCATTGCGGGATATTCTGGCAGGAAATTCTGGATCACAATGTTGTATTGGGGAACGTAGCACAACGGCCACCAAGAACAGCGCCAGACTAGTGACAGTGAAGTTTCATCTGCTTGCGTAGGTACTGTTCATGCACATAGCTCGCATCGTCCCAGTCCAGGCCGCTGCGTGCCAAAAGGTACAAGGGCACACACGTGGCCAGAACAAGCCGGTCGACGGACATGACAGGCGCTGCCCAAACCAGCACCAGCAGTGGTATGAGTATGGGGTGACGACAGTGGCTATACAAACGCCGCACCGTCGGCGACTTGTAGTCCATGGGACATTCAAGATTTCGCAGCGAATAGTAGATCTGCTTCATGCCTAGTAGTTCGGGACAGTCCAGAGCCAGGCTGCTACACGCCATGGTGAACCAGGCCAGGAGATGCAGCGCAATCAACACGTACTGCACGCTGGATGATGATTCCACCTTCCACAGGTACCAGCTACCAATAGGCTGCCACAGTCGCATTAGCGCCTGCATCACAGCTGACGTGCTGGCCACATAGACAGCCCTCTGCATGGATTTCAGACCAATTCGATCGAACAAATTCTTAACGGATTCACTCGCCAGAACAGAATGTTGAAGTGAAAAGGCAGCGAGGAGAGAAAGGTCCACTAGAAAGGCATACACAACGTCTGACTGTGTGTTCCCAACACTGGTATCACCAGGAGGATACAGAAGAAATAGTGCTGCGTAAAGCAAAGTGAAGCATGTTCCTAGATACGTAGCAACTCCGACGAGAGCCAACGCCAAAGAAACCGCGAATGCCATGATCGCCACTCTATCAAATAATTACACTTCTACAACACCGCAGGCATACTCTTTCTACCAATCCATGAAGTTTTGCTGTTTTCTCCTCTGCCAATCAAGACATGGAATAAAATGCAAGCTACTGGCAGTACTGCTCATGTTTGAAATGGAAAAAAAAGGTTTGAAATCCCCGGACTACAGCCGGCCACACAGGTCTCGCTACCATGGCAAGAGGTACATGCATACGCCATGCATACCGTAGCGTGCGGGCACTCCAAGTCCAACTCCAAGTCCAAGAAGCACAAGTGCATGCATGCAGTACTGCAGTAGATCTGGCAGACACAGATTTTACCGTGCAGATCAACAGAGTCTGCAGTCTGCACTGCAGACTCAGTGCAGACTGGATGATCAACTGACTGACATAACATGACTGTGCATGTGGAGTGTGCATGTGGACGTGGAAGATGCAGATTGCATGGCTTCTATCCTGGCAGTTCTGCTCATCCAGGGCCGGCAGGAGATCACCTTGAATCTAGGATCGGACAGCAGGAACGCGGCTAGCTGCTTCTGGCTGTGATACAGACTCGAGTCGTAAGCTGAGGAATTCCCATCCTGTGCTCTCTCCTGCCTCCTGGTCGATTTTCCAGTTCCGTCGTCGATTCGGATGGTTTGTGGTTACACACACCCCAGCTGTCGTATAGTTTTTCTGGCTTTTTCGCAGTTCCTTTCGCTTGTGTCAGTCATAATAATGAGGATGTAGATCTGCTCTCCAATATTCAATAAATTATCTACTTCGCCCACTGGTTTTTGAAGTTTTCCATGCCAGGAAATGCAGCATGTCCAATGGTGAATCCGTTGATTTGGCGAAAGAAATCAAACGTTTGCGTTCTGAAAATGAGAGATTGTTATTAGAAGCAGATCATGACAGGAAAGTACTCAGTGATCAGTTGTTGCAGGCACGGGATGAAGTTCTGGTGGCTCAGCGCGAGAATGCAATGTAAGTAGATTTTCAGGAGCGTATGAAAATGGGCTGAGAATTATCTTGAGGCTGGAATGGCTCTCCGGAAGTTGGAACAGACAATATACTGAGTGTTTCAAAATACAATGCACTGTGACTACACATTATCCTGATCCCATCTTTGAGAAGTAGGACACATCTTCGCAACAATGTCAACACTGGTACACACACAGACATAAAATTTAGTTCAGCAAAACATTGCTGCTGCTACATTCACAATTAATTATTTCACTTCAGGGCCGCCGGAACCGGTCCGGTTGGTCCGGTGACAACCGGACCAACTCTGGCTCAGATCACCCGCTGGGATTCGTCTAAAACCGGGGAGGAAAAATTCTGGGTACATACATGTACATGTACATGTATTATCGATCATGTATACATGTACCCATATTTCCATAGTAGGCCATACATTGTGCATTGATATCCATGCAAAATTATTCCCTGTAGTGGGTACTGAAAACTTGTGAAAGGGCCAAATTCTGCTATTTTCGACCGGATTTGTCAAAAAATTCCCGCGGGAGATACCCTCCCCCCCCCCCTCAAACCAACTTCGCCCGCCTTCTGGCGGGCCTGCACTTGCTGTGACTTGGTATGTGATTTGCGATACTTGCGAAAACCCAATTCACAAAAAAATGGTTTTGCTATTTGGCAATGTGCATGGGCAAACATATGTTTCGAATGTGACTTTTCAGCGGAAAATCAAACTCAAAATGTCAGAGAGTACTAGTAGTACAGGGTTGGTACAATTCCTTGGTTTGATCAGTGAGTTGTATTGTTGTCTATGACTCCCTTGTTTGGGTGCTTGGAGTTGTACACACGACTTGTACTCCATCGCAGGTTGCAAGTAGCAAACGTTGAACTCTCCTCGACTCAGTCAGCGACCGCAGCCCCGTGGCTGTATACGATTATTGATGTCGCTTGTCCTGTCTTATGGCACAAAACACAAGTCCTCAACATATTGAACTTTCCACTTGGCATGCCTGCAAGAAAATGCCCCTCCCTGTGCACTACACAATGTTTCCAGGAATTCACCTCTCATCAGCTGAGCTAAGCTTGGGTGGACTAATGAAATCTGTGTTAGGAAAGCACTACATAATCCTTGCATACTGGTAGTGCTAGCCCAAGATACCAATCAGAAGTTTTGAATCTTCACTAAGGACACCAACTTACTTACTATTTTCTTCCTCCGATATGCTCAGTCTCCAGTGCAATGTCAAAGAGCTAGCGGAGAATAACTCCAAACTGGAGTCCTCACTTCTGAACGTGGTATGTGCCATGACTTGTTGTGTCCTGGTGTGTGTGTGTGTGTGTGTGTGTGTATATGTGTGTGTGTGTGTGTGTGTGCGTGTGTGTATGTGTATGTGCACAATACATGTGTGTCTGTGTCTGTGCGTGCATAAACTGGAATACATACTATCCTTGAGTGTTGCATTTCACACGTCGACACTACATGTACTGTGGCAAAGCAGACCGACTAGGCACAGCCACTACTTCGAAGTACTTCTTCCACGATTCATTGACCAATTGAGTAATCATTGTGTTGGGTCGGTGTGTACCCCTTCGCTTTCAGATCTCAGAGAAGAACAGCTTGGAAGAAGAAGTGCATATCCTGACGGACGCACTAGATAACACCCGCGACGCATGTCGTTCGGCGACTGAGAGTTATGTGAGTGCGCCAAATGCTTTTCATGGTTGTGGTAACCACACTTCCGTATTGACCCCTCGTAATAGGAAGTATGCGTACAGTAGAACTCTCCTTATTATCCGGGCGCATTGGGACCGGGCACTGCCGATGACCAGTAATTGCCCGCAACTCAGAACAAAAATGATGGATGCATGTGAGTTAACACTTGCCAATCAATATTTTTGGTGCTGTTTTTTTGTTGAAAAGCAATTTCGTTTGGGTTGTAAAGGTACCCAGTAGATGGAATTGCCCGAACCTGGGGAGTCTGGATTTGGAAAGTTTTACTGTGCATGGAATAGCAAGACTTTCTTCTTGCCTACTAGTACCAATACAGTCGCATGTTGGTTATCCGAACTTCACCCATCCAGCCATGTCGATAAACCAAACCACCGGCCTACAGCGAGGAGATTTGTATGGCGTCAGTGGAGCGTGTCCCAGTATGCCACGACAGTAAAAAAAATCTTGTAGCAGGGTAGTTCCACCTTGCGTCACTCCACACATTGGAATAACAAAGTTCATCTGAATTATTCACCTACTACTATCCCAATAGGGGCTAGTCCCCAGGTGTTTGGATATCCAACTCACGGCTACATGTACTAGTATGTTGGCTTTTTTCTTCCATCGCCTGATCCATTAGTATGCTGGTGTTTTTTCTCCAGTGCTGTTCAGGTATCTTTTTGTTTATTATGTTACTTTTAAAACTGTCGTGGGCAACTAGTTCACAGGGCGGTCCGGCAGGTCCGGCAGCTGCCGGACCAATATTCGGCCAAAAAAAAAAAAAAAAAAAAAAAAAAAAAAAAAAAAAAAAAGGGGGAGGGAGCTCACGCATGTGAGCAGCTCAGGATGTCCACCCATGATGACGATGTGTGCAATAAGTAGTATAGAGGTTTATACATAGTACTAGTAGTCCCGGTAGTAGACCTACATGTCGTCAGGAGTATGACCCTGCTGAAGGTCATGAGGACAGTCATGCCCGTGAATACTCCGTACTTCCTGAAACGTGTTCGGATTCTTTTCTTCCTCCGATTCTTTCTAGATAGGGCTTGTACCAAAGATATTCCATTGCAATACCCATTCTCCTCCACCAAAGGTACATTTTGGTTCTTTTATCACATGCATTTAGATGCTGTTGCTATGCCTTCACAGGCTTCAACAAGTTCTGTTTGGACGGACACAACATGCTGATGGCCTGATGCTCTTTTCCTGACTCATACAGAACGTCCTTCTTCCTTTTCTGGCCCTATCCACTATGTCACTCTGCATGGTCACGATTACGTACATGTACATACACGTACAATCATGTACATGTACATGATTGAGCATCAAAGTCGGATCTTGCCTGACCAACCAAAATGGGGCTGCTACGGGCCTGGTTCAACGACGTCTTTGCTCTTTTCTTTGTTGTTTCCAAAGACGGATCTGCATCAGAAAGTGGCGGAGAGTGGATTCTTGTATCACGTCATCTCGTGCCCGTCACCGATGCATCATCAGGTAGGGGCAACTGGGCGTGCCTGGCATGTTCTGCTACTTGAGCATGGTGTGTGCCTGGCCGATGCTGGTCATGACTTTCTGCACTAAGTGTTGTGATCATTTATGTGCGGCGGTAGTGCAACACCGATACATCTGCACTGATATGCATATGTCCTGCATGGTCAAGAGTGCGGTGCCCAAGCCACTGCCCCCCCCCCCTTCCCCCTACACACACAATAATATATAAAGTGCATGTACCCTGGATGTAGGGTACATTCGAAAGGGCTCCAATAGGGCTTGAAAGTGATGACGTCAAAAACGGCCAGGGAGTAGTAAGTTGACATCAGATTTCTATTTTGGATCCACTAAGGTGTGATTTTGCTATTGCCTCAGTATGTGGGTGCATAGCAACCCACTCATGTCGTATGCAGGGGTGACTTTTACTTCGCCACCAGTTGTAACCCCGCCCCCAGTAGCCAAATCAGTCAGTTTCACTGGCTACATCACCTTGCTGTGAGTAAGACCGCTTGAAATGTGCTTGGATCCATACAAAAGCCGGATCCAGGTGGATCCAGTTTTTGAATGTTTGAAATTGTTGCTATGCTGTGACGTAGCACTTTCAAGCCCTATTCAAAGCGAGTAATTCCATTTTGTGGAAATTTCAGGAAGTGCATTTTTTCTTTTTCTTTTTGGTCTGCACTGCAGCATCAGTGACTTTTATTGCGTTTTACTTTAGAACACAAACTTCAGGCATCATTTTGACTGGGATGTATCGCGATTTGACTCGTAAAACCGACACACAGACGTCCGTGGGGTGAAAACGAATTCTTTCGTGACAAAAAAAACCTCAAAAGCTCCGGTTTGGTCTTTATCACGTTTTGAATTGGAGCCCCTCATACAGTGTACGATTAGTGGTAACTTGTAAGGACTATTTTTGAAGACCCTGCATTATACTGCGCATTGGATACAGTGCACCTCAGCTAGAACGTACGTGTACAGGTGCTTACTGCCCTTGGAGGTACATGCACGTGATACTGAAGTTTCATTCTACCGGGGGGGGGGGGGGGGGGGGGGCACACACCGGCCTGTAGTGCAGGTTGATTCAGGATAGCATCTTTTTCTCTGTGTTCTAATCTAGTCCCCATCTCGTGAATCTAACGACAAAGACCAATCCAATTCCATGTACTCTAAGCCGCCGACCACGTATTCGCTGAAAGTAAGTCTAAACAAGAGATCTATTCAGTCCAGTTTAGAAGGAACCAACCAAAGTGCCGAAAATGAGTAGCACCTCCACAACCGCCTTCCCACTACACTCTCCCTTTTTTCACTGCTGAGAAAGATTGCACGGGTGAACATTCCCGGCAAGACTTTGTATGTCAAAAACAGTACTGTTATCGTCTTGATTTGCTCGTAACTTATCTCTACTTTCTTAACCCCGTCGTTTCTATCTTGATTGACTATTTTACCAGTCTACTGACAAGCCAATGCTGGCACTGTCTTGCTTTTGTGCTGCCCGTCTGCTTTGCTTTTGCATGATGAAAAAGTTCAATGGAATTCCGTTTTCGCATGGTACCGTTATATGTACTAAAATTATCCTATGCGAAATGGATTTCCATTGACAGTCAACACTGAACAGTGCTACTAACAGCGTTATGTCCGTATCATTTGGGACCAGCGTGTTTGAACCTTTCTTCTGCCTTTGCAATACCATGTACATACATGTATGTGTGCAGTAACGTTATCTATTGTTTTAATTCCACTAAGCTGATCTGCTTGAGCGCGCACTCTTATGCTCGCGGCCCAGTGCATGGCACCTATTGTCAGCGTGCGTTTCGTAGCACTTGCACTCCTGTTCAGTGTTCAGTGTACAGTGTACAGTACCTGCTGTTGATGTTTTCGTTCTCCCACTGTGACTTGCCCAGTGTCTCTGCATTACACACAGCTCGTGTCTGACAAACCTTTTTTTCTTACCCCGGGGCCCTGTCCCATGTTGGTTTGACTGCTGCTTTTTTTCTTCTCGTAAGTACGCCCCACCCGGTACTGTTCTCCGGCGCACAGGCAGTGTGGGAATGCCCCTGTTCGCCGGCGTATAGGCGGGTGGAATGCTCCCCGTTCCCCCGAAGTATACGCAGTGTAGGAATGCCCCCGTTCTCCGCTGTTTAGGCAGTGTAGGAATGCCTCCCCCGTTCTCCGCTGTTTAGGTAGTGTAGGAATACCCCCAGTTCTCCGACGTGCAGGCGGTGGTGGAATGCACACCGTGCATCACGTTGAAGTGCAACGCCAGAACGTTGTTCATGCAGCATCATTTCAATGAACGAAAGCGAGACTGGCCTGACGCCAAACACAGGGCAAAGCTTGGAGAAAACAAAAAGAGAAAGAAAATTATGCAGTGCGAAGAAATGTTCCTCTGACTGACAAGGTGCTCAATCTACCTAATAAGGAAAGGGATGCAATGGCGTTAAGATGTTGATTCATTTCAAGATGAAGAAATTCTCCGACTGCTTGAGTGCTCAATCTACCTGCCCGACTTAGTTATTTCAGAAATTATTAATTGCAGAATTCAATGCATCAAACTGCAGGCACTGCATCAGGATGGGGGGGGGGGGCAGGATGAGATATTATGTTTTAAGTAGTACAATGTGTTCCTTACTTGAGTGTATGGGCCTGTTTACGTTGTGCACGTGTGTGGGTGTGGGGACGCTAGCCTACGGGTGCGGGGCTGAGAAAGAAAACAAAGGTCGAGTTAGCATTGGTTCTCAATAGACGATTGTATAAAGTGCACAGACAAAGTAGCCGGTGTGATGGAATGCATATGCGTAATCCAGTCTTTACAAGGTGTCCATTCTATCCTGTATCCGTTGAGTGCACGCTTGTTATTAGCTAGGTGTCGGTTGCAGCAGGGCGCTATCAATAACTCTGGTGATTATTGCACGAGTTCTAGCTGATTTCGATACTCAGTTTTCGACAACAATGCTAAACCCAAGCGTATGTGAAGGTCATTAATTACTAGTCCATGTATTCAGTGTCAGAAGGCATGTATGTTGGGTGGCGCCATCAGTGAACCAACATCAAGCTATTACTCCTGGCTTTGATCGGATGTGGTGTCTGTGCTGAAGTAAGGTGGCTGACGTTGGTGTGACTGTAATTGAGTAAGGTGGCTTACGGATGCGGTGACTGTAATGGAGTAAGGTGGCTTACGTTGGTGTGACTGATGGAGTAAGGTGGCTTATGGACGCGGCGACTGATGGCGTAAGGTGGCTTACGTTGGTGTGATGTGTGCCGCCGGCGTCCACCTGTCCACCAGGTCGGCCACGTGAGACGAGCCAAACTGTCCGCCGAACTGCATTGACATGGTGAGCTGGTCGGCCTGGTGCATGCCGGCCATGGAGACGTCGGGGAACTGCTGCAGCATGCCCAGCCCCCGGTGATCCTCGAACAAGCTGCTCACCGGCATCGGCATCTGCGTTGTTCCGTTGCCGTGTACGCTGGGCGCGTGTGCGGTCATCGGTGACGAGGCCTGGATTGACACGGTCGACGGACTCTGCACATTTTCACCCTACATAGAGAGAGATAGAGAGAGAGAACGAGGCAGGGAGAGATAGACAGACAGAGACAGGAAAAGAGAAGAAATGAACGCTTTGTCAAAAGAATAATGTCTCCTGCATGGCACTCAGATTTACGTGAGTACTGGCTGTGGTGTGTCCTGTGCATGGAAGATTAACAAACAACTATTAACGTTACTCGGAAGAGTAAGAAGAGTGTCTTATACTAAGTTCAGTCGCAATGTTTTCAGAAATATAAGTATAACAAGACAGAAAGTGAATCAAAACAACAACAACTACAACAACAACATCTCTTATTGGCCGCCCGCTATCGTGAGAATAAAGATTTGAAACAACAATCTCTTATTGGCCACTCTACAACAACAACATCTCTTATTGGCCGCCCGCTATCGTGAGAATAAAGATTTGAAACAACAATCTCTTATTGGCCACTGGCTATCGGGAGAATAAAGATTTGAAACAACAACAAAATTAACAACAGCAGCAGCAGCAACAACAACCGTAACAACAGCAGCAACAACAGCAATAGCAGCAGCAGCAACAACAGTTGCACGTTTTGTTGGACTTACTGAGCTTGGTGTGGATGGATTGCTTTCCAGAGTGCTGCAGAAAACAGGCAACAGCGTACATGTACTAGGTTATGGCACAAGTTGACAGGCAAGACACACACTAACCAACACTACAGTGCTGCTCAATGAAATCCAATCAAGCGAGTGAATGCCACGTCGGGCGCTGCGCAGCCCTAGACCTGCGAATACCGGGATGTGAACTGGCGCAGGGCGCAGCCTTGATTCACGCGATCGGACTTCATTGCGCAGCACTGTACTTGGAAGTGCATGTTCTAGTATATCACACGTGTGCAGGGACGTATTAGAGTGAACGGTAGGTACACGACAAGAGCGAAACGGCGAGCTGCATGCATGGGATTCATCCATTCAATAGTACTAGTATGGAAACTATAGCACGATAACCACAGCTGCTGTAGGCCATGTCAGTGTTCCATGCACGTTGTGGGAATTAGATGGGGATACAGTGGTCCCTATATAACCCAGCACCATTTGTGCTATGGAAATTCTGCTGGATTATGGAGGATGCTGGATTACAAAATCTGATTTTCTGCTGCAATGTGCACGAAGAGGACATTTTGGTTGCTGAAAATTATGCTGGTTTATAAAGGGTGCTGGTTTATAAAGTGCTGGATTAGAGAGGGACGACTGTACCACGAAATCCTAAATAAAAGCCTCCTCAAACTTGGCATTGAAAAAATGGAAGCCTCTAATCAAGTTACATGTAGTACGTTACGCAGCAAGCGGCTTTGTTCGTCCAATCGGACTTTGAAAATTGAGGACTCCTTTACCAATAAGGTCTGGTATTACCAAACAAAAGGCCATCTTTGATAATTATAAAAACTGGGGATAACCATTTTAGTGTTCGGCGTAGTTCAATCTGTAAAATTTGATCAAACGAATTTCAAAATTGGGCAATCCCCTATAACAAGAGTACATAACCCCCCAGAGTGTGCAACTCCCACATACCCTGCTGTCCCGACAGAATTTCAAGTTGACGTCATTATTAATGACGCAATGCTCCTTGCACCAGTGATTTACAACATGTGTACGGGTGTCAACGCATCACACGTTTTTCTTTGCAATAATTGGTACAGGATCGATCGGCTTCGGTCAACCACAGGTTCCGGATTCGTCTGATAATCCGTGTACAGTGCGCATTGCATCATCAAAATGACGTCAACTTGAAATTCTGTCGGGACAGCACCCATAGTGGAGTTGCACACTCTGGGGGGTTATGTACTCTTGCCTATAATTATACAGTATAATCCTATAATTATTAGTGCTGAAACGATTATATCGATTACTCGTTACTTACTCGATAAGAAATAGATCGAGCGGTTATTTCGATTTTATCGGCTAAACGAGTAGAATGGTACTTACGCTCGGCACGGGACTTCCCCCCTTTTGGGGGTCGCACAAAGCGTGCATGCACCGAAAGTGTTGCGAATACGACATGAATATGTACATGACTGTACACTTGAAACATCGATGTACATCGTGTAAAAGTACAAGCGCTATCTGAGAAACATCGACGCGATCACCTTCGCCGTCTTTTCAGCTGACTACTTTTCTTACATACAGCATGCAAGACTGGCAGGCTCAGTACGTGTCTAGCACTAGCTGCTGGGGCTGGAATTTCCCCCACTTGCGAGTAGTCTTGAGCTAAAGACAGTAAAGTGGTCTTCAGTTTCGTGTTTTCCGATTTGTCGACGGTTCCCGAACCAGTTTGCTCGACGACGAGCTAGGCCTGGCGTCTGGGCCTATTTTGAGCATAGACAGGAAAAGCAACTAGTTACTGGTTGGCGCGCCTCAAGTCAGCTCATCTGTCGAAATCCGCCGATATGCACCCCTGGCCGGCTTCTCTGACTTCCATCGTCGGAGTCAGCGAAGTCACAGGCGAAGGGCACCAATCCATCAGCTCTTGGATTGCAACCAGTGCGTCGCCTCTGTCTTGTCTGCATTCGTCAGGCCAGTCCGAACAGCTGACCGACTTGTTGCGGGATCATCGGATCTATGCGCCCGCTTTCCGTCGTTGTCGATGTTGGACTCGTAAAAAATTTGAAATTCACAGAATGTACATGATTGTACTGATGAAGTTACAATAATAATTAATCGTTTAGCCGATAAGCCGATCGTTATGGTATCAGCTAAGCCACTAAGGAAAATACTAGGGCTCAAACGGTCACGGTTTTACCCCCAACAGTTAACTGCTAAGCTAACGGTCGGTTTAACGGTTATAACCTATAAGCCACGGCAATCCTGCGGACTCTTTTTTAACCGTATATTTGGCTATACTTATTCAAAAAATGTACCCTATTCAGTACAACGCACACATGTATATTCTCTTGCATGCTCATTCATACATACTCTCACACGAAGAGACCAGATATGACCGAGATGACAGCCCAGAAATTGCGTACGCGTGCGACAGCCTGCGAAAGTGCATACTTTGCAACGACCTGATACTTGAAAAAATTGACTGAAAAGTTACTGCGTAACCGTTATCTTTATCGGTTAACCGTTAATTCTTCGTAACCGGTCTGCAACCGGTTAATCGGACTAACCGTTTGAGCCCTAGAAAATACGTAATCGTTTCAGCACTAATAATTATATAGGATTTGAGAGGCAAAGAGATAGTTCTTGTGCAGCATGCTTAGCACTGTACTGTGACGGTCTGCCTTCTTACCCGCCTGTGCCGTTGGTGCTGTTCTTGGTCTTGCGCTTCACCTCGAGAAATGTAGGAACGTACTGCCCCTCTTCGCCTGCGATAGTTGCACACAGAAACAAGAGATGGTGTCTTGACCAACGAGAATGGTTTGGAGCGGCATGCTGTGTGTGTGTGTGTGTGTGTGTGTGTGTGTGTGTGTGCGTGCGCACGCACGAGCGTGAACGCGTACGTGTGGTGGGGAGATGGTGCACCCCCAGCAAATGGTTAGACGTGTTGCTCTGTGGCGGTGACAGTACACTTCTGTTTTCTTACCCACCCAAAGAAGGGCTACAGTAAGGATAACAGCTATTGCCGCCGCCTGTTCTAGGCACATGTAGTCCACATACCGGTACACGCATTGGCCATTCTCAATCTCCATGACAATTCTGTATATCTAGTCACGCCTTCATCTACTTCTTGCCAGAAGAATGCACTGGGAAAAGGGAACAACTTTCTGCATCTGAATTGCCGCTTTAGGCAGGATGGGAAGCTATGCACTACCAGCTGCAGTAGAAGACAGCAGCTAAAGCCATAGCTTGCTCACACTGCGATCAACAATGTAAGTTACATACCTGAACCGGTCGACAGTGTATAGAACTGCGAGAAAGCGCTGTCCTTGGGTGTGTTTGGATAAAGCACATTCAGGAAAGCAAAGTCTCGGATTCTGTAGAGGACAAATACATGCACAGAACACATACACAGGAGGCAGCCACATGCACGCACGCGCACACAGGGAGAGGAGAGGCCATCATTGGCATAGTTCGCTCTGTTAATCTGGCATAAACAATAGCGCAGCAACCAGTTTCAATTTCATCCTCGATAGCCCGGTCAAGATGGCTGGCTCAGGTCGTGGGCGGGCAGAGAAACACAAGTGGTACGTCACATGATGTGCCCTGTTGAGCCCACATCAAGCATAGCCACATACAGCTATGAATGTACTTCAAGTATATTACTTGGTGTACAACGATTTATGACATTGTGTGTGAAGCATGCTCCAGAGACGATAGTGGATTGTTAGTACTGTAAACCGTGAAATTATTGCCATGGTCTAATTTCTGCAAAATTCGCGACCGCGTGGAAATCGCGAAATTTAGACAGCGCGAACAGGAGATCCATGGAAGGTGTAGCATGAATGCCACAGTAGCAAATTCTGCAATCGCAAAATTAAAACCTCGCAAACCTGTCCGGATTCCGAAAATGCGAACTAAAAACGCCGCGAAAATTTCACGCTTTACAGTGCTTTCTATCGTACTGTAGCGCCGTAGTACTCACCGGTTGGCCAGCTGTAGTGTGTTCAAGTCATGCGCAGTCCACGGCTGCAGGTGATCCAAACCACGGCCACCTATGCACAAAAACAAGACGTGCCAACAGCAGTTGCAATTTAACTATGGCTTTGTCATAACCTTCCCCATCATACAGTATTTGCAAAAAGTCCAGTGTGGAAAAGGAGAGACTGTGGTGCTGCAATCGCGTCACCAGGACACCAACTGATCAGAGATTAAGTAGGACATCTACCCTTGTAGGGAAGAATAAAAATTAATAACATGATCATGACCCTGAGTACAAGGATGCAAGGTTACCACCCTAAACAGGCTCCAGCCCATACAACACATGTCAACAGTGTTATTCCTAGCCTCCCCTCTCTCTCTTTCTCTCCCTCCCTCCCTCCCTTCATCCCTCCCTACCTCCCTCCCCACCCCCCCCCCCCCCTCTCTCTCTCTCTCGCACGCATGTGCACACACACACACACACACACCTTTGGCACTGTCAAACTCGCTGAACGCCACAGTGAGGCCTCCTTCAGTTGACTCGCTGAAGCGAATAAGGAATGTGTCTTGTCCCTGCTGAGTGCGTAGCTTTTCCTCAGCCTGCTCGCGAGACAGAAAGCCTTCAATTAGTCTGGAGACAAGGCAACACAACAGCTGTATGTTAGTATTATTGAGCAAGGGAAACACCCTAAGAAAAGGGAAGAAAGGCAGCAACATATTCGTATGGGCTATTGAGCTGCTAGTGTTTCTAGCTTCTCTTCCATCAAGCACTGACATAGTTTGGTGCGAGTAATCGTCATGTGCCTGAACCCATTCTCCACTGATGTGCCACCTGCATGAGTCATGTGTTGTCTATCGCTGCCCCAGGCACTCTGCTTTGTGCACTCAGACTCCCAGGGTCATTGCTAGGCCCGTGACGGGCATAGTCAAGGTCAAGCATTGCTACAGGTCAGTACAACTAGGATTGCAGTGGGATGGTCTGTGCATTGTTCAGTCATAGCAACAGTAAGTGCTCACTGTCAATCTCTTGTATTCATTATCATTCTTTTTACTTTTTTTATTTCATAGCACCCAGTTGTTGACAGGCCACATGCTAGTATTGCTACAGTCACTGACCCTTTGGACCACATGCTCAGTGCGTGCTTCTTGATGATGTCGGCGGCGCTGTAGATCCATGACCAGAACGTGAAGCGACGGGCCTCCATTTGTTCCTGTCAATATTGAACACCACAGCAGCCCACGTCGATAACAATGCTATCACCAAACACTTTACGCCTTGCCCAGTGGAGGCAACAGAACTTCGTGGATATACGAGTCATAGTTAATGGCAAGTTTGCGGAATCCACACTGACGTTAAAATGGAGTTCATTCGTGTTACAGAGCAATCGATCTTCGTTCTTGAATCAACAGGCCACTTCTGAAGATAATGATGGTAAACTAGGTTTCGAATGGCATGGGATGAACTATCTAACCACCCACAAGATAAGTACGTCACACAAACTCACCCTGTGGAATTTATTGATGTGGAAGTTGGTCAGCTCGTTGTACTCTGCAGAAAGAAAGCATACACACACGTACAGCACACATGTTAATTGTACTCCACTCGATTATTCACCAGGTGATCCACCCTATGGTTATCTCCTAATGTGTCACACTTCGCTTGCTGGTCCAGGTTATAAGTATAAGCAACCTGCCTGGTGAAATGCTGAGACAATAGCCACATATTACCGGCTCCAGTGTATACCAGTGGACAGATACCGGGCCAATGCAAACGGTTACCATTGGTTGTGACAGGGGAAACTCCCTTCCTTTGTTGCAGCCGTGACCTGCACGGTGAAAGAGGGGAAAGATAACCTAGCTCACGTTGATGTAATGCGCACGAAGGCATTGCATGTAGAGGGGACGGTTCGATACCGGAACGGTTTGACAGCAAAATTTGTATAGACCCAACCCGATCATCAGCGTGGATTGTTCACTCGAAATATGTTTGGAAGGAAACTGGCATGTTGAAGTTTGCTCTGAGGCCAGAGTCAATCGAACTGAGCCACTCCTTTGTGTTGGCCCATAGCCTCCAAGTTGCCCAATTTTTCACTTCAAATCAGAGGTGGCTCCAAACCGGAAAGGTTTTAGAGTGCACGTCAAATTCACTCTGAGTTCTGAAATTAGGTAATCGCTATCGCTCCACGACGGCCAGGACAGAGTAACAATAAGCCTTGTGTGTGCTTCCATTAGTTTTCATTGGTATAAGGTGCTTTATTCGCGAGAGGCGAGCCGCTGTTTACCTGCGACAAGAAGTTGATTTTTCGAAAGACGTAAAACTCAAGTCGCAGTGCGAAGCAACACGTCAAAAACTCACCTGCTTGGTATGGCGCTTCTGGTCATCGCAGAGCAATGAAATTTTGGTTCAGAGTAAAACATCGTAGTCTCACTGTGACATATGTTTTCTAATCAAAATACCAAGAGAGAAAGTGAATATTGAGACCGTTCCGGTTTGCAACCTATTTCCTATTTGAAACCGTCTCCTCTACCCTAATGTTACTCAACTTGAGTCTGAAGCATTTCCTTGGGGTTGTAAGCACAGCATCACAACGGTGGTGGTTATGGCATGTGTCCTTTGGCTGTTAATGCCGGAGACTGCGAGCATGTAGTAGTGCAGTGCTTTCAGTCCGCCCTACCTTGCGACGGGAATGCTTTGCTGTACAGGCACCGCAATTGACCGCTGTCCACACCGCGCTCGCAGTTCTTGGCAAAGTACAGGTTGACTGCTTTCTCCATCTCCTGCCATTCGACCACCTCACGATGAGCAAACGTTGCCTGCAGGCGGGAAAGGGGAAGAAACCAACTTCATCATCAAACGAACAACCGTGGTGTCTGATCTGTGAGTGCCATGATCTTGTGCCAATGAATATACTTCGAAGTACTCTGCGGGACTGTGTGTACGTGGGTATTAGCAAGAGGAGGAAACCTTGAACTGGTGCTATGGCACCAGAACAACAAACTTGACGACTAGACCTGGTGAAGCATGGATGCTGGATGCAATACAATGATACCAGTCACACCGCTGTCACGATCAGAAACGGTTCATCACCTACTGGCACTGCACATCATCATCATCATGGTTATGCACTGCACATCATCATGGTTATGCACTGGCACCAACGTATGTCTTAGGTGTTTGCGCCCACACAGAAATGCTCACACCAACTACAAGTATTACCATTTCCCTTATGTTTGCCAGCTGTGTCACCTGCCTCGTGCATCATTCGCTCCATGGAGCCATTATCTATTTCAATGTAAACACTCAGTCACTGAGCTGGTATTAGTGCTGGTATTAGTGGTGCAGTACCCAAGTGCATGGGAGAGAGCACTGTGGGTGTGTTTGAAGTGCTGCGTCTGGGTGCTTTGTTCGTCAACACTGTCAGGCTGATCTTTTCTCTTGTTATGAGTTCTTTCCGATCATCAAAGTATCTAGCCAACCACTGCACTGGGTCACAGAGGACTGGAAGAAACAGGATTCCACTTACTGGATCAGAGAAGGCACTATCCCAGAACATGGTGGCTTCAGCAGCTACACTCTGCGTGGCGTGCACAATGACAACCAGCGGGCATGAGATGGCCTGCAAGACGCAACAAAGCAGATGGCTGATATGATTGAAGAGCGGCGATACTAGATTGAACCAGTCACAGGTCTGTCCGTACTGCAGGACTGCTAGTCTGATGGACCCGGAATGCCATTGAGGTGCACATGTCCGAGTCAGCAGTTATCAATGACCGTATTCAGTGAAGAAGCCACATGGTCACCCGGAACCACCACTCCACACCCCACCAACACACACACACACACACACACACACACACACACACACACACACACACACACACACACACACACACACACACACACACACATGCACACACACACACACACAAGATACACTCAAGATACACAGTGGTGCCGGCTTTGCTCCCGCCTGTGTGCCCTCAGCACGATACCACGATATCCAATGCATGTCCACTGTCAAATCTGGCCATTCGCTCCACTGGATGTCACTGGTGATCAACAGAAGAGAAGATAAAAGCCCGGCTTACCATGAGCGGTATCTCAATGTCTCCATTTCCCAGCACGCACTTGGCGATAAACACCAGGCAGAATTTCTCCTCAGCAACCGACTGCGGACACAGCACAGAGCAATAGAACACTGATGTTAATACGTTATAACTGCACATTGTACCAAAGGTTGCCATTGTCCAGAGTTTAGTGCAAAGATATACTAGTATCTCAAGCCTTGGTGCTGTGCAGTGAGTTTGTACATGTACACGGAGAACAGGACATGGGTGAGAGCGAGAAGAATTCTGCACACTTGGTGCATGTCGTCTGTTGAAGGTATACACAACTCGGTACACATACCAGATCAGCGTGGCCGCCGCTTCTACGAACTGGGGGCCGCCTCGGCAGAATCTGAAACAAGACAGACAGGAGAGAAGTTGCCGGCACGTTGACACATTGTTCTACACTATGTCATGTGCAACTAACATGCATATATTCAAGGTACGAGACGCTGACCATCTTAACAATGCGAAGAACCCCAAGAGTCTCGACACCAAGACTCACGCATGAGCAGAAATACAAGGATTAGTCCCAGAGGTTTTGATATCAGTTGTCTGATGATTGCCTCGGCATGAAACTCTGATTTATGACATAGTTCAATCGAACCCTCATTCTGATGTGCATGTTCAAGCTATACCTTCCGCCGATGCAACTGATACTGACTCATGATCACAATCAGTAACCCGCATAAGGCCCACAGGAATGCCAAGGCAGTGATCAAGCAAGCTACACTACTCTCTCATGACCAAAAGCCAAATACATTCTAGCAAAACTCATGCTCCTAGTGATGGTTGGATATGTTCGTTCTACAACATGCAATGTAGTGCAGTTTATAGTGGGCATTGCGCTGTCGACCCCTCGAGAACCAGCATGCACTACCACTGCCAGCAGCACTACCAGGCACCAGCACCCCCACCATTAGCAGCAGCAGCAGCACAGGTTGGGCCACCACACTCATGCCTTACCATGTTGGTAAAGTCAGCACCAAACACCTCTGTGCTGCGATCATACTCCATCACCTTGGTCGTGTTCTTCAGGTCACTGCGATTGCTTGGAAGCTGCACACTACTGGGCGAACAGGAAAGTAAGAAGACTGATCAGAGACGTAGCACGCAGTCAAGCTGGTCTGGTATGGCCGGTGAGGCCTTATTTCAAAAGGGTTGCCCGACTAATTCGTTCAAAACGGATTTTCATCACTAGAACATTTACTAAGTATTTCTAGTCAAGTACCCCATTTGGCCGGACCACCTGAAGTCCCGGCCCTGGCAATAATACTAACACTAATTTTTGGCCAGGCATGCATACATGCACACATTTACAAAATTACAGGTGTACGTTCACGCACGACTGAAGCACTTGTCATACCAGTACAAGCAGGATAGCTTTAACGGTAGCTAACTCAACAACAACAAAAACTGATTGGCCTGCTTCCATAGTAACTGTGCTGACGGTAAGTCTGATGTTCACCACTTTCATCACAGAATATGGCTTCACTCAGCAGCTACTCCAGCGATATACTCGTACAGAGCCGAAGCACTTACTAGTTTGGCTCGGCTATTATTGTCCGTGCAAGCTGGGTACTGGATAGGAAGCATAGGCAAACGTACAACAGTCAAGCAAATGTAACATAAAATAAAACGCCGTCACCGCAAGAATGACAGCCGATTGCTGTGCTGATCACGGAGTCTGCAGGTGCTAGCTAGGCTGCATGCAGTGTGCGAGCTGTACTGGAGATGCCGGTGGCAGCCAGCACTCGACATTCGAGTGTATAGTACCACAATGGTACACGGTGGACGGCGCTATCAAGAGTGCTTACGGTATAATGTGGGCCTCCACTTCCATGTTGATCAGATGAAGCGATAGCTTGGAGCCTGCCAGCATTCTGCAAAGTGACAAGGAGATGAAAACCAGAGTTTGAAGTCACCGTCCATTACTGAGGGAAAGTGAGAAAACCATTGCCTCCCTGAAGCAAAGCATTTTCCAATGGTACAATACTGCACACGCTTTTAGAGAGCAGCCTTGCTACACCTTAGCCTTAAGTTGTGTGTCCAGCCTATGTCAAATCAAGCCGGCGGGAAAGTGCGAGCTCCGGTGTGGGAGCAATCAACTTTCCAATAAAATCATTGCCGAAGAAGTCGCTGCCACTGTCACGATGATTTAGCCTTATTACACACCCGGGATTAACACACCTGCTTGCTCTGCACCATGCAGCATGGATTCGGTCGCTTAACACACCACATCATTTACCTCACAGATGCTCCAAATCTCGTGTTCGTCTTGATGACTTGCTGCGGCTGGCGCTCGACAATGAAGGACCTTGAGGGCAGCAGCAACAAATACTTATGATTAGCTTAATTCATCAGCCAGCAAGGAACCCAATGATAATTATTATATCAAGAAGACCCGCCCCTCCTGTACGGAAGCTGTTCAAGCACTCAACCCATCGCGACGGGATTTTACCGCATTCTTCACTCCGGATGCACCTCTTTATTTCCCAAGCATCCGTCTATATCACAAGCTGCGAGTGAGTCGTGTTGGTGGGTGGGTGGGTGGTTGGGAAGCATCCAACCATAGTGGTGAAATAGTGTCTATGCCTATGGGAGGTCATCAGTGTTTACGACGTAGTGCTTCACTGTGAAGGAAGTCAGTTTAGTAAGGCACAGTGTTACACAGTGCTGCATCCAGTGCAAGCATCCAGTGTTCTTGTGCATGCATGCATGCTTTGCTCACTTTGTCATGAGCTGGTACAGCAGTCGACGGCAGAGCAAGTCCAGGTCCGGTAGCTCAGGGTCAGGCTCTTTGTTGATCTGCAGCTGACTTTTCTGGTGTTGAAGCTGTAGAGAAGCACCAGACAATCACCATGGCAACACAGCTAATGCACATGCCTGGTGTTTGTATCACAGCAAAAACAGGCAAAGAGCCCCCCCCCCCACACACACATGTGCTTGGTCATCAGTTCCAATACATATTTTGCCTGGAAGGTTAGTCCATGTTGGCACACATGGCCATGCCAAATGAATAACACTACGTACACTGTGTGAATCTCAACACTGCTACAGACTCTACCCAGGAATGCAGACTGCCGTAAGACGCATCAGAAGCAGAAAGGCTGTGATGACCATCATTGCATCAGAAGCAGAAAGGCTGTGATGACCCGCATCATTGCTGTAGACGTAGATGTGATAAGGGCCCATCACAAGGCGCATGCGCGCCTGGGCTCGTGGCGGTTTTGCATGCTTGCTGTGCTGGACTAGACGTCCGAGAATGTGAGCTCTCTTTCCTTGTCTTTCAGTTCCTTGATCATTACAATAACTGTACGAACCTGTGTAATGCTGTGTGTGGGCTCTTACAATCAAGGTTAACATCTCCATGCTCCATGCATCTCCATGCTCTTACATGGTGTATTGTTGAAGACTAGCCCACGGGCATTACACCTCTAGGCCTAGACATTGTACTGTACAGGTATAGCGGACGTATACCATAGGCTGTTGTTCTTCTTACCTGCTGCACTTGTCGCCGGCACGTCCACAGTATATCAGCCAGCGCTTCGCACCTAATGAACACAATAGTAATTAGAACATAGTTGAGTATCTCTAGTAAAATACAAAGCCAACCAACCAACCGACCCGGTTTAACTTGTATTTGTATGGGAGAGAGATAGATAGATAGATAGATAGATAGATAGATAGATAGATAGATAGAGAGAGCGAGAGAGAGAGAGAGAGAGAGAGAGAGAGAGAGAGAGAGAGAGAGAGAGAGAGAGATTGTGTGTGCGTGTGTGTCCGATAAGACACAACTACGTGTAAGTCTTCGTTCCGTTGGTTTGTGCTTGAACCCAGCAGCATTTCGGATCTCTGTAAATATAGTGGCGAGCTGTCCAGTCTTCTTTGTCCGCTTTCATGCACAAACAGTGCAAGTGAAATGAATGCTGAACGCTTGGACTTCTCGGCCATCAATACGTTGTATGTGGTCTTGCAGCAATGATTGTGTGCTGTCTCTGTCATTCACTGCTCTTACCATTTCTGGATCATGTCGAGAGGCCCAGGCGGCGGTCCACCACCTCTTGCTTTGTACTGCAGGTACCTCCAGTCACTCAGCTCCTCCACTATACTCCCTAGCGTAGCAGCGCAGGCGTGGAGTAGGTCGTTCGTCTTCTGGTACACCATCTACACGAAGATGAATAACAGCGTCAATAACACTAGCATTCATGAGTTGAGCGAGCTGAAAAGAGAACACTAGCCTCATTTTTTAACCCTTGTTTCCCGAAACAGATATACAGTTCCATACCTGCACCCTTGCCTCAAGCAACAGCAAGCCACTCTCGCCGTATTTCACCAGACCTTACCCGAGCGCCAAAGGCTGAACTGTTGCAAAAAAAGGCACCCCAAGGACTTGCACTCTTTGAAAACCATAGCTTCAGAACACCAGCAGATGCACACAATAAACATATTCTTTTGCCCAGAATCGCCGATCCAACATGAAGAATCTTGAACAACATGCCCTTACGGATCTTGACGTCAGTTGCAGAGTAGCAGCATTATGCAGCTCAGCCGATGTAGATGTCTCCAGTTGCCGGACTGCTGTCAGTTCTGCCTGTGCCGGCACAGTCTGTGTAAGGAACATACAGCTTTCGTTATGGAGGTATCAACTCATAGTCAAGCAACGGGGAGCCATGATGCCATACCCAATTACATAGCAACGTGCGGCGCAATTAGCCCCCCCCCCCCCCCCGGCACTGTTTTTTTTTTCAAAGTCCACCACAGACGGGTCACTGCGTTATTCAATAGGGGGCACTATTCAAAGAGAGGGTACTATTTTTCCATGCTGGTACAGTTACGTCATCCAGCATAAAACAAAGAAGGCAAGGAAAAACAGAGTGTAAAGTTCACCAATCACGGCTCAACAGAAGCTGCAACGAGAACTGTGATTTTGATTCTGAAACAACCAGTGCAACAATGACATGGACAAGAACCTTAGCAAAGCAACACCAAAGTAGGAAATGCGTTTGATTGCAAGCCGCGGGGGGGGGGGGGGCACTATTCAAGAGAGGGCTCAAATCGAGCGAGTACGATAGTCGATATGCATACATGATTATCATAATGCCTTCCCTTGTTGTGGGAAATACACTGCACGCGAGTGCTGGCTGTAATGTGTGAGCGTGTGCAACCGCAACAGGGATGTCAATATAGCAGTGTATCGTTTCAATGATTCATGTATGTGAGGCTGACCTGGCATCCGGTTCCCAGCGCTTGTGTCATATTTTGCATTGACTCTAACCAAACAGGACAACATGTGAACAAGTGCGGACGGACACACACACACACCACACACACACACACACACACACACGCACACACGCGCACGCACACGCACGCACACGCACACACACACACACACACACACACACACACACACACATGCGACACAAACCCTTGTCCCGCATGGTCGAAAATATATAATGTTGGAATGTTGCTACGGCATTGCCACGTGCACTCAAAGATGGAGAGAGAGAGAGAGGTTTGGGCTACCAGCACAATCAAGAGGATTTGCTTACAACCCCCCTTACATGCCGTGCTAACCGGCTAACACTATGACACAACGCTGGGCAAACATACTGATTCAGTACTGCCACATCTAGACCCTGGGGCAAGTCGCATGACACAGCTATCATTGTGTTCATAAAACTACAACCGCGCTACACTCCCCGGTATTGTTGGCAGGAGACCTTGACCCCGGTGCTAGCACTGACCCATGCCTACTAGATGAAGCAAACCGCTATCGGTTCCGTGGGCTAACGTAGAACTCAACATAGTATTGCTGAACCTGTCTAATGTGAATAACGGAAGAGCGGCATGCTGTACTTAAATAAACTATTAGTGTGTAATAGTTGACCGTTGTGACGAGGAAATCACATCACGTGGATGGACATGCTAGTGAACATACCTCGAATTCTGGCCAGCTCCTGTCCCAGTGTAATGATGGCCTCCTGCTTGGCCTGGAGTGTCCGTACATCACATGTTAGTTGCTGCACGGGGAAAGAAGAAACCAATTTCCAAATGGAGTTCCAGCAAGTTGCAAGAATGGTACCGTAAGTAAGTAATATGTCTAAAATCTCGAGTCCCGTGGGATAGGCCACATCTGTTGAACAAGCTGTAAACTAACTGCATCAGTCCTCATGATCATGAAACTGCTTTTTCTACATGCGCAGCCTGTACTAGTGTATCCATAATCCATAATATCTAGCCAAACAATTGGAGTACTCATACGTGTACATGTAGGCTGGATGTGTGGAAAGATAATTACTCAAACGCAAGTAATTTGCATGGCTGATTTCCAAAGGCAGGGTTCCTGTAGCTTGTAGCTTGACACATGGCGGTATGCATACTAGTACGCATGCCTCTATGCACACACGTGCCACCAGATGCACAAGTATAGAACGCAAATGCAAACACAAGCACATACACACCACGCACACACACACGCACACACACACACCTGCACACTCTCTCACATCACATAATAATATACAAGCATGCTGTCCGCAGATTGAGTACTTTCGCTCCTGCTCTTGTAGTAGTTGAGCACTCTCATGTGGGGTAGTGCCTTTGCTGTTTGCATTACGCAGAGCTCGCTGACTTGTCAGTTTGAGCACTCTGGCAAGGTATGTTCGGGCCTGATTGGAAATTTTTATTTTCATTGCTATCAGGTTCGGCCTCATTTCCTCTGTGCTGCGCTGATGAGTTCACAAAGAACGAAACAGCATGCTGTCCGCAGATTGAGTAATAATATACAATGTATATACAACCATAACAATTACCTCGACCAGACTGTGACCCTGAGTCAGAGTTTGTTGTATAATGCTATGTCGGCCGTTCATGGCAGCTGGGGGAATGCACTGGTGTACAAGTACAGGTAAAGCATATGGCACAAGACAGAGAACAACAATGTAAGACAACAGTGGCATGGGAAGGTGTATAGTATCTAGTAGATACTATACAAGATACTATACACCTTCACTATATATAGTATGCATGTCATGATCTGCCAGTCACAAAACCTCCGCGAGTTACTAGACTAGATTGAAGCCAACATGAGTCACGGCAATGTCACCAGAACACACAAGCCAATGCCCAGTGCCCAACCCACAATAGACCGTACAACATTGCAGTAGTGGGTAGCGTACATGTTCATGTACATTGCTAAGCCTTTGCAGCGAGCTATCACTACAAAGCTTGCCCTAAAATCATGTACACCATTATGATAGTAAAGGTGGGGGGGGGGGGGTACGTACATTTTCGTGCGCACTCAGCATCGCCTGCTCCCGGTTGAGACAGTGATGCACGGTGCGAACAAACTCCAGTGGTCGCTCACCGTAGCGCATCTACACCAGGACAGGAATCACAGCAATAACAGCGGCATTAACTGTTAGACAGCATTGTGCAAAAAAAAACGTGCACTCTAAAAGCACAGTGTCATGGCTCAGTCCATTTTTGCTTTGAGAAAAAAAGTACTTTGCGTTTCTGACTAGTGAACGTACCTGCAGAAACCTGCTGATATCGAATGATGATATTAACACCAACCAACCAACCTAGCTGTGCTCGATCACTGGTACATCATTTCCAAACATGTAGCTAGCACATGCATGGCTGATTTGCATACACCGTATATACACACACACCGGCAAACACACAGAGCGGACAAGACAATCTGAGTGATGGAGTGAAGGCCAACGACACAGTCGATCAGTTTCTGCAAAGAAGAGGCCACATGGAGCAGTGCAGCCGGCAGGCAACACCGTGACCATCACACCTTCTCTGCCCGCTTTTTTGAAACTAGGTTCGCGTCACCGTTATGAGTACACAGCGGCGGCGGCACACCATCCAGCACACACCTAGCTGGTGTGGATGTCAAGGACAATGGGCAGGTGGCATCCAGCCGTGGCCACCATCCAGCACACACTGATCTCGCACTTCCGGTAGCCCCTGTGTAGATTTGTATCAGTCTGTCAACAGCATGTCTGACAACCATGGCTTACCATCAGTTGGGAGTGGAGCTTTTCAAACTGCAGCCGCATCACGAATTCATTGTTCTCGTTACACTGCATCGAGACATAGACGCACACATATACGCACACACAAAGGTACAGACAGACAGACAGATGGACAGACAGGTACAGACAGACACAAATATGCACATGCACACAGACACACACACACAGAAGGAGAGTGAACGACATTGGTCGGCGGAACCAGATGTCGCCTGCAAATGCACAGACAACATGATGATTGTATTCGTGTAGCCAGGACGATAGTTATTTGAAGTACACCAGTAGCATTGAAACCTTTACTACCGCTACATGGACTGCTCCATGGACTGCTACATGCCTACAGTACTACATACTGCCGGACGCCGAAGAACGGAGCGCCAAAGAACAGCAAGGCTAGAATTTCACCAAATTTTAAGAACTGTCTAGGCTGGATTTTCTGCAGATAAGAACGGAAACCGTAATGTACTCTGTAATGTGCACTCAGAACTTCAGTCAGAAGCATAGCTCTGCATAAATGTACATGTACGTCTGTACCGTCAAACAAGAGCGGACCTGCTGTGTTCGCGAAAAATAAGAACGGGCTAGGCTAGAACCCTGAGCCCCGTTCTTCGGCGCCCGACAGTACTGTATAGCATACAGTGTGTAGTAGTCTATAAGTGTGGTAGTGGAAGTTACGGGTAGATACACTTGCTGACTGGCTTTAGGGCCTCGGACAGTACTTGTCCACATACAAGCAACCCTCTCAGTTGGTCATGCCCCACAGTGACTACCACACAGCACTGTATGACCAAGTAGCAGCTCCACCTGCTAGCGTTGCATGAGATAGCTGACACAATTCAGTTGAGTTCACCCCCTCTTGGGCCCATTCCTCCACCACTGCCAGAAGGTTTGGTGGAAACACATGAAGCAGACCGTGATTGACACACAGTGTCAACATGCCAACCTATATGGATGCTCCGGACCAATCAAGGCAAGGAGAACAACAAACTCCACTCTCTCAACAAGGGACATTGATTACTTTGAGCTACGACTTTTTGGGCCTTCTCATAAGAGTTATTACAGGCAAACAACGAATACAGTGAATTCAATATACAGTAGGTATCGGTTATAGCGTGGGTGTTTGAAAAACGACTTTCTATTCTTATTTCCGAAATTTCTTACACACGATACATCAAGTGTGACCTATCATAGGCACGTGCGCAGGGGTAAGAAGATCATCGTACATGCAACATAGTGCTACTGTGCATGGGGCTGGTCATAGTCCCATAGGCTATGGTATGTAATGGCCATGCCCAATGTTTGTTTTTTCCTGGCCACAAATTTATTCCATACATTTCCCTTCAGTATCCCTAGGGAATTATCAGCCACTGAAATAATACTCGGTTGTGAATCTTTTCATAATGCTTCTGCGAAGGTGATGGCAGTTTCACTGTAAATATCCTCTTCCCATTTCAACCCCTGTGTCTACTCCTCCCCACATTTTGGTGCACTGAAAGTGTCGCTGAAGCCGAGACCTCTGGTCGGCGGAGATGCTCCAGTTTCACCACCACAGATGCGACTGCAGCCACCTCTATCATGCAGTATTTTGTTCTCGAGGTTCGTGATTTCTTGTAAAAAAAATGTATGAGTGAACTTTCCATTGCCCCGACTCGATTAACCCCATTATTTTTTGTTGCTTGCATTTGCTTGTGTGGATCTTGGCAAACTGTACCCACAGGCTGAGGTACAGAAAAGATTTCTGCAGTTTTCCAACGCCCACGGCAATACTATCCGGGAGTAGCCCACATGGAACTTGAACTGATGGGGAGCAGAATCTGCAGGGATTCATCTGAACTCTTAGAGGAAGTGCAGGTGTTTTCAGCTCGCCAACCCGCTAAGTATGCGACACGCTACAGAACAGGGCATACTGGCATGGGCACTCTAATTAACTTCCCTGGCTCGTTCCGTTTTCCTTCTGGGTTACTGGTCGCTGGCGAGCAGAGTTGATTAGCGGAAGGAGGAAGTTCACCGGCTCTCCAGATAACTCAGATTGTAATGTAATGGTAGTGTTACACCTCCCTCAGGGTACGTGTTTCACACCGGCCGCAGTGTTCCGTAGGCAGACATGGCCCCAAACTAATGAGCGCTCAGTGTGTAGTGATTTTTCAAAACCCACTGAGCTGGCATCCCGAACAATTTGACGAACCCATCAGTGCATATAGGGAGCATGTAGGAATATTAGGAATATGTCTTCAAAGCACTTCATACAAAGCCTGAGGACATGAATGCAATGAAAAAAGGTGCAGTCTACTTCTCATGAGCATTGGTAGCATGTCAAGTCGTGATTTCGTAGGGCGTACACACATGATTTCCACAAGGGTCTGCCGTTGGTACGACATGCCCGTTGGTCGATAAGAGACGGTTGGAGTGATGGTTCGCTTGTGTTTGCGCCATCCCCTTTACCATGTGCATGCAAGTCCTGCAATCGTGCCAGTGTGATTGCTAGCCACGGGTGACATCCTGTATGCCCGACTGCCGTGGTTCTCCGGTCAGAGTCTCTTTGTCCTACAGAGGCTAAAACGGTGCCAGCTAGTCAGCCTCAGTCACCGCTCGGCATCACCATTCTCTCCACATTAAACGGACGTATTGAAGCAAACATTCGTTCTGAATGCATCGGAGCAAGAGAGTACATCTGACTGCAACCTCTACAATCTCACATGCCACGAAAGTGGTGAGAAATACACTGAGCAGAATGAACAGCTCCTTCAAAACAAAAAAACTCAAACTTGAAAGTGTAAGGTTTCCAAGACAGTCCTCTTCCCATTATTGACTATCACATTGGCATCACAAACGCATGTACTTCAGTACTCGAGCTGTGACTATTAGTATGTTATTAGTTGTGTCACAGTCTCTTCTGCTGAGTCACCATTGTGCCACCAAATGAATGACTTTGTATGCAAAGAAGTCTTTTGAGTTCCAGGCCTTCATTTCCTTTTCTTGCTGGTCAAGAATGCAGAATCTGACGTTATGCTAGGATATTCCGGATTTTGCTGCATCAGGACAATGGAATGATTTTGACACCGCAAATCTGAATGACAATTTGCCATACATGTACTAGTCAATGTCACAGTGCAATGTTTCGGACTTCAACTTTCCTTCGTCCCTGTATTGTACAAGCAGACATATTCATCTGGGATTTAACCTCGCTGCTTCGTCCCAAGAGGTTTCAGACTACCGGTACATTTTATTGTGTGGTACAAACTAAGCCGATTTGACGGTCTAGTCTGTCAGTACATTCCCAAATCCGTAGACGAAATTTTCAACAACACAAACTGCCTTTTTTGGGAGTTGGATGGAATTTTCCCCCAAGAACAATTTCTGCTCACACAGTGTATGTACTTCAAAAAATAAGAAGTACATGTACATAATCATTGTACTAGTGAGACTAAGAATGAGCTCATTGACATTGTACAGCAGCAAAGGTAGATGCTTACCTGGCTCACGCGCACCGTGATGAGATCCAAGAAAGCTGAAAACAATATCTGTGCTTGTGGTATATCCTCCTCCAGATTCACTCGATCCCTGTGCGTGGGTCCACGTCGTCGTCGGGTACCGGCCGGGTGCACAGACCGCAAGCCGATCAAGAAAGATAAACACAGCAAATATTATTATCCACACTCGCCATGCATGGCGTATGTGTGTACTGACTACAGTTGTCAACGACCAGGCCGGTCGCTTCATGGAATCCGATAGTCAACTAACAGGCAACATTGCAGTGCACTGCTTCTAATTTTAGAAAAAGGATTCGTTTACTTACGCTAGCACTCACCAAGTTTGATCTTCAAGCCAGTCGCAGAAATAGTGACGAGCTTCAAGCGGAAAGAAGTCGCCATACACTTCGGCCAACTGGCGACTAATGTCGGAGCCCTGTACTTTGGCCCATTGGCCTTTGAACGCCATTGGGATTCGATAGTTTACCGGAAATTTGACTTGGTGATACTCAGTTGCGAGGCTCGTTTGTTGGTCTACCACTGCTAGTGGAGGGAAACGTGTTGTCCTACCACCCTTCCAATTGTCCTGGGTCGGTAGCCAGGTAGCGATGGTAGGAGACGTGTCCAGCAGTCTGGTGCGTACAGAAATGAAATTTCCTCGCCTTCAAGGACGCACCACGTCTCATTCACTCACGTGGATCGAAATAATTATTACACTAAGTCCGGGACACTGGGCATTCCTAGTCTGACAAAGCAAACTCCGCTCTCTCACCGACTGGGTGAGTCGCTGAACAACTGCGAGGGGTCGTCTGGGATGCGTGGCTAGCCAAAGCTGGTTGGAGCTGCAAAAGAATACACGATATCCACGTCCGGAGTACAGGAGTCACGTGTAGACGCAAGTCGCTCCCCGTTCCAGACAAACCGTCGAGACGTCACAAGTATTGAAGTAAGTCGCAGCTTTGGCAGGGCCTGGCTTGTGGATTCTAAGGGGCCGACTTACATCCAAAAGAAAATGCTACAACTAACTTTTACTTGAACTGCTGCAACACGGTACCGAGCCGCTTTGTCTTCTTCCAGAATGGAGGATGAATTCTTCTGTCAGTTTCTGGTGTTGTTTCTAACGCTGTGGAGGTAATGTGCAGGGCTGCAGCAATACGGACTCGGTACAAATAGCAATTATTCCAAGTACAGGCTACAGTCCTGCCTGGCGTTAGCAACTGACTTCGATCCTGGTATAATAAGGCGGCTAGAAATGATCAGTTTGTGTTAACTGTTATTCGTCCTTTACGCCGGTCTGGAGTTGGCATTTACATCGCCTTCTCCCGGTCGCCTGTCAATGCCAAGACGGAGAAACGGAGACGTGTGGATCGCTTGCGCTTGACTACAGCGCATTTTTGTACAGGTGCGAATAAAAATGACCTTGATGACACGCCGTGGGCCACTGGTATCGGCATACAGTATATTATTGTCTCTTTATCAACCAGTTAGGTGTCGATACTCGACAGTTTGATAGACGGCACTGACGGGTATTGCCGCGTGAATAACAAGGAAATGCGAGGTTTTCTGCTGAAAAAGTCCCACCAATCACCCAGGTATGCTGGCCACACATCCAAGGAGCCAACATTAGGCGACAATGTCCGGGAAATCGGTGACGTTTGGCAGTGCCACGTGCGTATCACTCAGCATAGCGCTAGCTCGGAACGGAAGCCTGAGCTACATCATAATGCTCTCCTCATACATGTAATAATATTATTATTATTACATGTACATGTATGAGGAGAGCCATCAGTGGAGGTGTAAAAAATGCTGAACACTCACACAGTTATTTCTCAAGTTCAGACTGTTCAGTACACATGGTACAGTGCTACATGTAGTGACCAAGCAGTTACACAAGGTATCAAGAGTACGTCATAACCCCTTATGTACTCCATGATTCGTCATGAAGAACGTTACAACTCTTTACTCAACTTCGCTTCAGTTTAAAAACTCTGCGCCCGGCCGCCTGCGGCATGCCAAGTACGTCGTTAAAAGTGCCAGTGTGTTTGATGATTATTTTGTCTTTTACAAGTAGTTTGGGGTCAGCATTTCACAGTGGACTGGCACGGTGAAAAATCAAAACTAAAGAAGCCATGTCCTCAGATTGTAGTTCGGTGCAGGGATCCCAGGAGCTCCGGAGTCGTTTAAGAACCCTTTAATACAGCTGTATAATCATGTCTTTATAAGCGACTCCCTGGTTCGGAGATACACTTGTCTTTGTACAGTGCAGTCGATGGTACTTCTATTCGTACAATCAGTGATAGCGGTTGAGTGGTACAGTGCCAGTGGCAACGGTGAGGAGCAAACAAACAAACTTTACTTCAGAACTGCACATGACTACCGGTAGTAGTAGGTAGTAGCGGATGCTGTGTTGTGAGGATTTCCAAGTAACTGCATACATGTACTTAGTTTTGGAATGAAGGTCTGAAGATAATTGCATTAGCAATTCCGTCGAGTGTCCACAACCTGGCCATCTGACCCCACCACAGTGAGTGTGCTGAGCGCAGACAGAGTGTCAGTAGAGCTAGCTTGCACTGAGCAATGGGATCCATGGCCACCATGGCTACAGTCACAAGACATAATCAATAATTATTATTATTATGATAAGCATGACTGTTGGGCATGACTCAATTACAAGCACTATTACTAATGATTATGATTGTGTAGTTGAACACTTCTTTAGTCCTTGGCATGCTACTAATCTGCTGCTGTCAGTCTGTTCAGTGTTGCCCCTCGTATCGGTAGACTTTCGAGTTTCACGAGAAGTACAAAAGTGGCGAGATAACGCGGCTGAGCGTCTACCGCATACACCCACACTGGGCCATAGCGATTGCATGCAGTATTTCCCTATCCGGAGACCCGGCGAGACTGCTAGTGCGACCTAACCTTAGCCCTGGCTACTTCTCGTAACGTTACTTGGATAAATCTAGGGGTTGGTATGTTGAGTGTTGTCAAATTCTAGAACTGCTGCTTTCCTTGATGTTACGAAGTGCATTGTGCAGTTACTAAGTATACCAGGGAGTCCATAATGATCCCGATGCGGAGTCAACACCTCCTGGCGTTAGTTACTTCGAAGTAGGTAAAGCTAGTGCAACATATCACGGCTACTTCAGGCAGCAGCCTAGTGAGTGTAGAGACTAGAAGATGACGAGTTCTGTGAGGAAACGCTGGTTCTGACGTTCTAAACGGTTTGTAGGACCCTCCTCTACTAGGCTATAGGCTCTAGTCTAGGCTCTAGCATTATTGGTGCTGTCGTCCAACCGTCGGTGAGAGAATACTAGTAGTCGTAGTACTAGTAGCTTCAGAGTTTAGTCAAAGAGTCCACCATCACTGGCATCAGTAGTCTAAAAATACATGACAATGTACATGCAGTCCTGGGCCTGGGGCGTCATGGTTGCATGTAGCCAGGCGCCATCCATCACTAGAAGTAGTACGAGTAGACGCCAGAGCGCAGCTGCGGTGCAGACTGCCGCAGCAGCCAGTCACTGTCATGTTTCTTAGTCTATTACAGTATTAGTATTACCTTGGCAGACGTTTTTTATGTCCCGCCCGCACCACACACAGTGCGCGTGCATGTATGAACGTGGTGGATACCAGACTCCAGAGTACGAACTCCGCCGGACTTGGACGTCATACGCGCACGCGTCATGAGCGCCTATACCAGTCTACTGTCAGTACTGAAGATTTCTCCTCTTTAGACTTTAGTTTAGTAGTCAATGATTATGTAGTCGAGAGCCCCACTGCAAGCAGTGCAGGGGAAAGAAAAGAGAAAGAAGCAAGTTCAAACCACAATCTACATAATTATGTACAGTACATGTTTTCTGGCTGTCTGAGCCGCACACAGTTCTCGTACATCGCTGGATATCCACAACAGTCGCTCGCTGTAAAGATGTTTCACCTCCGTGTAGATGCTTGAGCATTGTACAATGACATTGTACAATGTATATCTACATGTAAATTATTGTAACGACGTTACCAAACCGGTCTAGCAAAGCACTCATCGCCCCGTCCATAACCAAGATAACCAGTCGGGGAAAGAGAGCTACAGTGTACATACAGTACAGAGGAACACAGTACTACTGTACATGATGTAGCCAAGCCGTGACCGCGTACAGTGATAGTTATACTGGTAGTGGCAGACATACACTGTCCCATACCAGCCTACGTCCGTCCACTGGCAGACATGATTGACTACAAGTACAAGTACAAGTACAAGTACATTGTATAATGATATTGATCAGGGAGTCGTATAGAGTCACCCATGATCCGCTGGCAATACCAACATTATGGAGCATCCGACACCAATTTGGTCTGCACGGGGAGTCGGACGTATTCTGTCCGGATACAACTGCTGTTATCGAGTTCCTGGCGCTGACAATCTCACCTCCGGAGCATTGCCAAGGGTTACAGTATATCTACTGTCGAGATGGGGGTACCAAAGAAGAAGGTCGTTCTTGTTTTTATGTACTGCTACTGAATAGGTCTGCAATTCATTATAAATATAAGTGCACTACAGTCTCTGCGCAGTTGAGTCACCGTGTACTACATGTACCGGTAAGTCTATGATATCGTCGGTATGCTGTGCTTGGTGAACTAATTACTTGAATTCTAGTCTGTTACTCACTGTGTTGGTTCTTCGGCGCTCTGTTCCGAAGTTCGGCGCCCGACAGCACTGGACTAGACTGACTAGAGCTATAGAGACTAGTAGAGTATGGCGCAGCGGCAGTCTCCGCAGCTGGGAGTCTTATTATAAAGTTAAACGACTCCCTGGCAGTCCCTGCCCTGGTGCATAGGCATTGTCAAGGATAGTGCTTATCCTCACCAACCCGTATTGTTGTGGTTAGGCACACTTGCATCCTCCGCCTGGTTGTAATAACTGTTGTTTTAAATATAAAAGTAACTTAGTTAGATTGGAAATCCCTGCGGCAGGCATAGCACTTGGCACTTGCTCTGCATAACAACACAATGTCGTAGATTTGCATTGACGTGGAGATCCAAGCACTCCAGCGTTCTGAGCCCGCCCCCGCCCCCGTCCCCTCCCACCCGCCCCGAAAACAAAGCAAGATACGAGTAAGTGGTTGTAGATGTATCATGTTTTTTCCGGTATCAATCTCATTCTGCTACTACTAGTACAGTGAAGACGACCGCTCAAGGGGCCTTCAATAATTATGGTCTCTGCCATCAGGTGGTTGCCTTATAATTATCCAGGGCCAATTGACTGGAAATAGCGTCCTGGTTGCAGTGGTCTTCTAGGACAGATGGTCGCCTTATCCGAGTGGTCGCCTTGACAGGTTTTACTGTATGTGAAGAAGAGGTTGGTGCGACTTGGGCGATACTTGGCTGCTAACTGAACTACATGTAATTTTCTTCTCCTTTCTTTGTTTTGCATTCTATCTCTACATGTAGCTCTGGTTTTCCTTCCACCGACCGGCACATCTGAATTTGTAAAAGCCAAGATCATTCACAGAACATGATGGCCTCCTCAGCAGTAAACACACGTTGGTGGCCAAAAAGTTGAAATCACGTGACCAGCTCCACCTCCGGCATTTCAAAGTCTATTGCCAGTATTGGCAATGCAAAAGCAGCCGTGACAACCCTCATCGACTGTGACTTCATACACCACTGCGGCACACAGCTCGGCTGCAACAGGGGCCTAGTAATATATAGGGGTTCGAAGGTTCGGCTACTATTCGTTTCCGAATCCCAAAAATGGAAAGTTGCACTCGTAGGAAGGTTGGAAACAAGGTTTCTGAAAAGTTACATGATTGTATATCTACGTGTATGCCATGACAAGTACTGTGAGATGCTAACAGTCATAATACTAAACAATCAGAGGATGTTGGAACCAGGGAGTAGTACAATACCATATATACGTATTGTACTACTCCCTGGTTGGAACATTCGTTCATTCCGATTAGAAGGTTTCTTCAGCCATTTAGAATACTAGCACCGGTATCCGTTGCAGGCCTACAAGTAAGCTAGTTACAGCAATGCTGCTCGCAGCATCACGGGTACAACAGGTACATACTTGTACTACATTCTAGGCTGTAATAGTGCAGCAGATCCTCCATCACGGTTGCAGCCAGCAGGACTTTGGCCACAGAGACCATAGCAACACTCATGACAAATCGAGTGATGATCTGCCACTGGGCTGAGGATTTATTGCAGATTTTGAATGCACAAGGTGGGTACAATGCATGATGGATGGCACAGAGGGTGAACAAAAAGCAAGAAAGACAATGTATTCCGATCAGCACACATGAAGGAGAAATAGAGTATAGCAGAAATGAAAGACTTCAATATGAGAAAAAAGAGGATGGTATAAAATGCTAAATGCCGCTCAGCGAAACGGGCTGGAACACAGCTAAAATACGTGTGTTTTGTGAAAAGAATCTGCCCCTGGATGAGCCGTATAAGCCTTTATAAGGGCATCAGCATATAAATTGGTTCTGAAATGATAGAAATATAATTCAGGCTACTCTAGTGTCATGTGACTAAAAGTGTAGCTCTCAGCTCAACCTATTACTCGTACCTACAGCATAGTGTATGCTCTACCTGGGAGCCGAAGCCATTGTGACAGAGCTGTGATGAACTGGACACTACACTTGGGATGTATGTGCATGCGGCAACGTGTTCTGTGTGTGTGTGTGCGCGCGCGCACGTGTGTGTGTGTGTGTGTGTGTGCGTGGGCGCATGCATGCGTGCACATGAGCATGTTCAATCACGTTTCTTACGTGTCGCTGTGACCCGTTCGGCATACTTGTTGTAGCCTGGCCGATACTCTAGCTCTTTCAGATTGAACGGATTGCCCTCGAGCGCCAGTGTAGAGACGTTTGAAACAGCTAGTATGGCTGCAGGAATGCCATCGAGTTGCAAACAATTCTCTTCCAAGCGCAGCACTTTAAGACGTCGGCACTGCGCCAAGCTCTCAGGCAGCGCCGCGACCTGATTACGGTTGAGGATTAGCTCCACGGCTTGCAGCTGCTGCATGTCGTCGGGTAGTGCCGTGATGCGATTGTCAGCCAAGTCCAGTACCTGCAGCTGCTTACAGCCCAGCACGCTGACGGGGAATCCCGTTAGCTGATTGCCGCTTAGCACCAATGTTTTCAGGTGTGCTAGGTTGCTCAGAGATACAGGAACTGACATAATGCGATTGCTAGCTAAAGATAAGGTTTCCAGCTTCACTAGAGTGCCGAGCTCCTCGGGTAGTCTTTCCAATCGATTCCCAGTGGCCGTCAGAGACTTCAGTGCTGGTAGAGACGCAATGTCGCCCCGCAACTCAGATATCTGGTTGCCACTGATATCCAGGCTTCTGATATTGGAGAGCTGCAAGAGGCTAGGCGGTAATGCTTTCAGCGACATGTTCTGCAATGAGCATACTCCACTGCGTCTGGCATGGTCCAGGTGTTCTTGGACGCTGCCACCGCTGGAGCTATTTCCCATGATGAGCACAAAAACAGATCACGCAGCTAACAGTCCTCAAAAAGTCATACGGGTCTTGCTGTACTCTTCTGAACACTCTAACCAGACAACACAACACTGTCAACAGGCTCCAATTGTATTGATCGTTTAGTTGGTTTCTCTGCACAGTCGATCAAAGACATGAAGACATGAAGTCAGAAAAGCCGATTCAAAAAATGAAAGCTGAAGTCGTGGAAGCGAAAGCGACGTCATCATTACGGTATGCATGAGTTCAAAATCTGGCGGGAATGCTTTCTTGGATGTAGATCTGAGCTGAGCTAATCATTATTCTTGGCAGCCAAAGCGGTGCACACCTAGTACCTGGAGTGAGAAAGCTTTGCTTCACTCGAACACGTTGTGTAGTTATGTTTATGAAAAAGTTATTGTAGCTTCGTTTGCATTTCCACGCACCAGGAATGAATCGGAGAGACGAACTGATTGCCTCTCTGGAGAAGGAGACTACTACAAGTTTCTTGGAGCTTGCTGTAAAGCACGTAAGTGGGAGCACGCAGCAGTTTCATACCTTGTTTCTCCCAGTTGTTTGGGTTCATTGCAAAAAAATATTTGTTTGGGGTTGTGCTCTCCTCAGTATTCGAAAGCTGATCCGTACAACGTCCAAGAGATTGTCGAGGGTGCCAGCAAGGATTGCTCGAAATCGTTATGGCGAAGTGCAGAGTCGTTTTGTAAAACCCACCTACTGGATCGCCATTTGCTGGGTTCTGAGGATGATGATGTAAGACTTGTATACATGTGCATGTATGAATTGTTTGGCATCACAGTATGAATGCATTTATGGTTGCAATTTGTAGATGTAATGCTATACATATTTGCACACTTTATTTGCACTTATCGTATGTACGAAGTGGTTTTGTATTCGTTGCTGTGAACCTACTGCATTTCCTCTAACATTGCTATGATTAGTGATACATGTAACAGCATCCACACCTTATGGTCGCTGGTATTGTCCTTTGCACCATCTGAGCTGCATTCTCCTCAATTCATCAGTGTTGGACTGATCGGAATCGTGGACACAAGGAAAGTTTCTGGAGGTACAGCTGCGCTTCTACAGTCTATCACTGGATCTCCACGACACGCCTACTTACGATATACAGCAGCACATGTGTGTGTGTGTGTGTGTGTGTGTGTGTGTGTGTGTGTGTGTGTGTGTGTGTGCGTGTGTGTATGTGTGTATGTGTGTGTATGTGTGTGTGTGTGTGTGTGTGTGTGTGTGTGTGTGCATGTGTGTGTGTGTGTGTGTGTGTGTGTGTGTGTGTGTGTGTTTGTATGCTTACGTACATGGCGTCTTCGTGCCATCAGGTGCAACAAGAAGGCGTCGCTGTCCTGCGTGGCCTGGCTGCACTGCTCAGCAGTGTAGTGGCACTGGGAGATAAGGATAAGGCTACTCAGGCCATTCCGCTGCTGGAGCTACTGCACGGTGAGTGGCACTGGTGTGTCATCCAGCACAACACATGGGAGAGTCAGCTGGAGGTGGGGAAGCATGATAAAATAAGGCTTGGCACTGTGATGCGACAAGAATTCTAATGGCAAATTTATTGAAATTTCTAAGTTGGCTGCGATTGCCCTGCCCTCTGGTCCATGCATGTATGCGGTAGTGTATAACTGCTGTTCAGCTGGGCATGGCCGGAGTTAGTTTGTATCTGGCTTAGCATGGAGCACATGGAATACTCATAGTGGGGTCACTTGTTGCAGTTGCTGTATATGTACCTGGCAAGCACATGATCCGAGTCTACTTGGTTGATCTGCACGAGTACTGTGAATCATGCATTGTGGAAGGGAAGTGACACTGGCACGTCAAACACTGACATGTTTGTTGATGAGTGGGCTTGTAAAATGTTTTTTGGAGGTGCAACACGGCGCTGTGTTGCTTGTAACCCTATCGGTACATCTTCTTCGCTGCACTGGAATGGACACTGAGGGCTTACTGAACTATAGTTGTGCTTGCTTGTGTTTTGTCATGTTTTCTGTCAGGTTTGCTGCCCCTCATACCCAATTCTGGCCAGGAGGTACAGAACAGCATTGCAAAGATCTTTGAGAAATGGTAGGTAGCCCACACCTCAGATGCCGCTTGCTCGTGCCATCTACCCTGGCAGCCATCCCCGTTTTGTAGATACTTCAATTTGAAGTAATTTTCAGCAGCAATCATGTACTGGAGTTGAGGGGTTGCCTGAGGTACTTCTAATAGTTGATTTTGGAATACTAGTCTGACTTTGAAGAAATAGCTCGGCTGTCGTCACCGCATGTACCTGTGGAAGTCTTATGATACATCCTATGAGAATGATGACTGAGATTTGTACAGATTCACTGGGATACAATAATAACCATCACGGGACGTCTGCAGCTATTGGCGGATCTTTTCTGTCGGGATGTATCTTCCGTTTCGGTTTCAGTTCATGTGCCAGATTCTGCTTTTCTATCACCTTCATGCTTTGCTCATTGGGGTCTGATGTTTTGGCATGCGGTGCTGCTGCTGCAGGTGGCAAACTGAACTGCCTTTGCGCGAGCACGTTGTGCCGCACACAGTACCTTACTTGATCATCAAGACCATCGTCCATGGCAGTGTGGTAAGCAATTGACCATAAATGGTTGCCTAGTGGCAGCATGCACTTTATACTGTCCGCATTTGCTGAGCACTTGGCCTTGCTTCAGCACACTCACCCAGTCTCGGTGATAAACTTCTGCCATGCTGCATCAAGCACACTCACCCACTCTCAGTGATAAACTTCTGCCATGCTGCATCAAGCACACTCATCCAGTCTCGGTGATAAACGTCTGCCATGCTGCTTCAAGTGTGACACATATTACGTAACAAGGTATGGGGGTGACAACAAGGTATTAGTTGCATTTTCTATTCATTGATCATGATGGTATTTTAACTATTTTTGCCCATACAAGATGCTTGACACAAGGTATGGGGGTGGCATGTTTTCACACTTTACTCTTGCATGTTTTACTCACGTTTCTGCTCTCGCCTGCTCATTGGCTTGTTTGTGTTGTTGGTGCCCTAACTTGAGCTATATGGTGCATCTTGAGTTTGTTTGGGCTCTTTCCACTCCTGGAGCCATCATGCCGCCTAGTATGTGTGCTGAGAGACTATATCATGTGCTGTAGGTCGCTGTGGTAGTCCGTGTGCTGAGAGTCTATGTCATGTGCTGTTTGCGTATGACACTGTGGTAGTATATGTGCTGTATGTCCCTGGGGTAGTATGTGCGGTGTCAGCCTAGTAATGTGCTGTATGTTGCTGTGGTAATCTGTGTGCTGGGAGTCTATGTGATGTGCTGTATGTCGCAGTGGTAGTGTGCGTGGGGTCACTATATTTCACACGCGCATGTTTGTGCTAATGCGTTGTAAGTATCATGTATCCTTTTCAATGACCTTGTACTGTTGGTATCCAAAGCTGTCGTCATTTGCTACACTTCTCTGTTGCTGGGCAGGTATCCGATATTCAGCGGCTGTGGGCATTTCGCCAGGCTATGCTCATACTGGACTTTGAGGATTCGAGCTCCGATCACCTCAAGTCCCTGCTGCTGCAGTGCTTGATTCACCCGCTGTACATACAGACAGAAGAGGTGAATATGTGTGCTAGCCTATGACTCACTCTTATCAGCGCTCTCATTTCTGCGGAATAGACCATTGTATAAGTTCAAAATACATGTACTGTACATGTACTGAGTGAATAACATTGTGTATGTTTGGTCCTTTTCGAGCTCTTCAAATTCCGTCTTCGGTAGATGTAGATTCACTAGAGACCCGAGCCAGTGACTCGAAGTTGACTATTGACTATGCTAAGTCATACACTGATCACACGGCAATGAAGCAAAGTTTTTTTGGCTTCATTGCTGTGTGATCATTGTATTACTGGCTCTGTCCACTGGACATAGAGCTTTATACGCAGCCTGAGGACCTTAGACAACTGACTATGCCAGGCATGTACATGTAACGTTTTAGGCTATGCAATGCCGTCATTGAGGTGTTTTTGTGTGGAGTAGCATTACAAGCACTGGTTTACTGCTGCACACAACACGTATATCTGGTACAGTGTATACAGTGATACAATTTGATTGAACTCTATGGTGTCCTATTGTAATGCAGAATACTTGGACGTAGTTCCTCCTTTCCACTGAAAAGATCATCCAATAAGACATTCGATTGTATGGTCAGTCAATGTTCCGTGTTGATTTTTGGATAGTGAATTATAAGGGATCACTTGCACGTATGTGAGTGTTTTGTCTGCTGTTTGTCGTACTGCTGTGCAGGGGAGACGATTTTTGAGCTTTCTTTTTGGCCTCCACCCGACGTTCACCGACCTGGTTCACTCCACGATAAAACAGAACATACCCAACTGTCCAAGGTAGGAAACATGTCAGGCGCGTAGCTCGTGCATAGTCAGTGTACTGCATAGTCGAAATAGGCAAAATGGTGGCTTTGAGGTTGCCGGTGGTACATGGTCACCACACCATCGATGTGCGAGCTACACCCCCTGCGTGTCCACTTGTCGGCTGCACCAATCTGCATCCGTTACAGTTGTGCTACGCTGACCTTCCCTGGAATATGCTTGAGATTGTTTGCGTCTTTCGTGTCTATCTCATTGTTTTCCTGCTTTTTGGGGGGTTTTTTTCAGGCCGTTTCTGGAGTCCTATGGCGAAGTATACTTCCGTGCCTGGCGAGCGTCAGCTGGTGTGTATTTGGAGGTGGGTTGTCTCTACACTTGTAGTATATTACTAGTAGATGTAGTGTACGGAGGAATCACGGTAGTCCAAGTTGTGTCTAGCGGTGGCCGCCTGCTCAGGGTTCTTTGCACCGACATCCATTCTCGTCTTTTGGAGCTGCCCTGCGCTATCGCGCATGCTGAGATTACTCTCTGTTCCAACCTTCAACTGCTGCTTTGTGAAGCGCTGTGTAGAGATTCTAGAACACAACCTTACCCACTGGCTTTTGCTGATCCTACACGGCACAAGGCTTTCTCAATTATTCTCTGTCTCTCCCAACAAGCCGTGTGTCAATTACCGATTGCCTGTTGAGGTCGAAGTGACAGTTTGGTAGAACTTTCCTAGCAAGCACGGTGTCACTTGTGTATCTGTCTTCACATGGTACTGTTTTTGGATTGAATGAATAGTGTTGTTGTTGTTGTTGTTGTTGTTGTTGTTGTTGTTGTTGTTGTTGTTGTTGTTGTTGTTGTTGTTGTTGTTGTTGTTGTTGTTGTTGTTGTTGTTGTTTTTCTTTTATTCTTTTAACGTTTTTCTGTTTCCTCTGCCTCCTGTGGTTGTGCTTGCCTGTGCAGAAAATAGAGAACGACTGCCTGCAGGATTTGATGCACCATGCCGTGCACGCTCAGCGCAGTGGACCTAATAACATGTCTGCTGCCCTGCTCAAGGTAAACATTAGATGATAGAAATTCCCAACTACCAACAATTATTTGCTTATTGAACTTTCCCACTTTGATGTCCTGGAGTATTTGAAATAAACGAGAGAGCTTGGAAGCTCAGGGCCCTACGCTATGCTTTTTTGCCTTGATGACCTAGACAAAAAAAAAGCATAGGGATGTTATAAATTCTTTAAAAAATTCCTTTTTTTAGACATAACCTGGGATTCGAACCCGCACTATCGCGCGCCCTGCATTCATCCCCCGATGCACTTCGCATACATACTAATTCTTCCAAGTTGTTTCACATTGTGATCTTGCATTTGAAAGCCCTATTTGAGTTATATGCATTGTGGCCAGCCGTCTTTGATGGCACGGTACGGTAGGGGATAGGGACGGGACAGGTACGATCGAGGGTAATACGACACCGTCTCCAGTACCGTACCGTACCATCAAACACAGCTGGCCACATACAGCTTCCCGCAATATTCAAATAGGGCTTTCAAACGCAAGATAATAACGTAACGCAACTTGGAAGAATGGGTATGAATGCGAAGTGTATGGGGGAATGCATGTAGGGCGATAGTGCGGGTTCGAATCCCAGGATATGCCTGAAAAAAAGGAGAATTGAAAAATTTATAACATCCTATGCTTTTTTGCCGTCAGATACGGATAGCGCCAGGCGTGACACAAACAAACACACAAAGCTGTGTGGACCCTGGCTAGCGCCAGACGTTACTGAAGTAACGTCTTCTGCATAGCTACGGGAATAATACAAGGGACTGCTCTATTTGCTCAGTTTCCTGTGCCTGTAACTCTGCATTTGTTTCTATTTTATTCTGTTTGCTCACAGCTACTGGTCCTGGAGTATTTGAAATAAATAATACAAGGGACTGCTCTATTTGCTCAGTTTCCTGTGCCTGTAACTCTGCATTTGTTTCTATTTTATTCTGTTTGCTCACAGCTACTGGGATTTCTTCATCAGCAAAAAGTGTTTCGCGGCATGGACAACATGCTTTTGCGCTTGTATGACCCGATTCTGTGGCGTGCGCTAAAGGTGCGTGTGGGGGGGGGGGGGGGGCAGTTCTTCTGTACAGCCACCCTGATAATTACTTTGAGTATCTGCCTTGGTATGTTGTTGCCCATTGTTCTTAATGAATAGTTGATATTTGTTTGTCCCCTGTTCTCTCTGTCTTCCTCAGGTTGCGAATGTGTGTGTGCGAGCCAATGCTGCATCCCTGCTGATTGATGCGTTCCCACTGCAAAACTCCGACTCCACTCGTGAGGAGAACGATGAGTTGCTACAGAAACAAATAAATGTTCTCTTGGTAGGTGGTGCTACATTTTCTTCTGTCAATTGATTATTATAGTTACGGCTGTTGCTTTGGTTTCATGAGCTAACTGAATGCGCATGCGGATGCATGTACACTGTACAGCCAGTCTTGCGAATAATGACCCTCGATCCTGCATAGAAAAGCGTCGTCATTCGTTGTCGTTATTCGTGAGATTGAGAGTATGCAGTTGAATGATCACTAGGTCTGAAGATTGTGTTGTTATTCGCAAGTTGTTGTTATATCTAAGGGTGTTGTTCATGAGGTTGGCTGATCTGCCCAGGGCTGTCTATTCTTCTGATTGATCATTGGTGACCTTGTCCTCAGCCACCCGCATTCTTTCTGATAGCCATATATCTCTGTTGCTCTGTCGTTGTTCTGTAGGATCTATTAGCTGATCCAGCGCCGCTGATCCGGACCATGGGAGTGACTGGCATCTGCCGTGTGCTGGGTATTTACTGGGAGCTGATCCCGTCGGCCGTGCTACAGACACTGCTCAAGAGGCTGATCAAGGACATGACGTGCGACGTCAGCGCCAGTGCAGTCCGTGCTGCCGTCTTTCAGGTACGTTGTCATCACCGCCCTTCGCAGTGTGTAGTAGTACTACTGTACAGTGCAGTCCGTGCTGCCGTCTTTCAGCTACTGTAAAACCGGAAATTTGCGGTCGTGTAATCTTTTCGGTATTTCCCCAAAATCAACTGTTCAGTAGCACGAAAATTTCGGTAAACCAGTTTTCCAGATCCGAAAATGCATTTTGCACACTGTGTGGCATGGGCGTTGTTGAATTTTAGGTCGCGTTAAAAATAATTCTCCACCGAAATTTTCCGGTTTTACAGTACGTTGTCATCACCGTCCTCCGCATTGTGTGTAGTACTGTACAGTGCAGTCGGTGTTGCCGTCTTTCAGGTACGTCGTCATCACCGTCCTCCGCATTGTGTGTAGTACTGTACCGTAAGATATCAGTATAGAGAGTACAGTCATGTACCTTTGGGTTTACAATGTACATGTAACAAACTACTCCCTTTGCATCGTATGTAAAGCTATCTTTGCAGACCTTGGGTATCCGTTGGGTATTACAGTCATTTGACCTTGGGTACTGTATTAAAAGTAGGAAACTTGCATGTGCTTGCACGTGTGTGTGTGTGCGTGTGTGTGTGTGCGTGTGTGTGTGTGTGTGGATGTGTGCGCATGTGCAGGGCTTGTCGTTCGTTGTTGAGAATCCGCTCAGCCACCCAATCATGGCCAAGGTACTGCCGGAGCTAAAGCTGCACATTCACGATACGTCGGAGCGCGTTCGGCTCTCTTTCATCCAGCTTCTCCTCACTGTTCGCAATGTCCGTACGATAAAGGTAAGCGACCGTGTTGCTCTTGATAATTAAGGCTTGGGCCCTTCTTCTTTGTCTGCTATTGTTGTCCAGCTCAGCCTGACTGCACCTGGAACATTCGCAGATCTCTTTCGCTTTACTGGCTGGTTGAGAGCACCATTGGGAGTTATTGCAGGCTGATATGAGGCTTTGTTGAGCTGAATAACAATACCATCATGGTGCATCATTGAACTGAGCGGTAATATCTGCATCGTCCAGTACATGAGTGTATTCCCTATAGCAATGGCGATGATAATGCATGTCATAGGACATGCGGCTGGGCAGTACTTCCACTGCATTGATAACTGTGTCATCTTTTCTCACTCGAACGGCATCCGAAACCTTTTGTGCAGCATTTTCAGACTGGCACTAAGCTGTCTTTTGATAACCATGCTTCTTGCCCAGCTTCAACTTTCGACAGAAGGTGCACTCTTTCCTTCCAGGCTTCACTAGCGGGACAGACTTTTCCTTGTGTTGCGCGTTAGCAGTTCTCCAATCGGAGGATTCAAATCGCGATTTTCTCGACTTTTTCTACAAAAGCTGTGGTCATGTTTTAGCGCGCTCTGGCTCATATCGTACGTGATACTATGGAATCTTTGCCCTACGAATATCACATGTTGCGAACCAAGCAAAGTAAATAATATGACATATTATGTACATTGTACATAATTATTATGCACGAAATGAGTGTCAGACAACTTCAGCTGGACTGCGATTACCATTGGGTCTGTAGTTTCTCCAACTCGATGCCTTAGATGTACAATTCTGATTGCATATATTGATCATTTTCACATGTGCTATGTCTGCGTCTGTCTGTAACTCTGTATGGTGTATTCTGTCTGCATCCAGTTCTGGGATGTTGTTCCCATGGAGCACCTACTGCACCGACTTGCGGTTGATCGACCGTCGATTGTTCGTCCTCTTGTCAAGCTGTTGTACATCTCGTATCAACCTGTTAGCAAAGAGGGGGAGGTGCAGGTGAGGATGTTTACAAGGGTAGATGGGTTGTCAACTGGCCTGGAAATGAGCCCAGAAGCCACGTGTCTTGCTAGATAGTAGAAACGTCGCCGTATGCTGGTCATCGACCAACACGGCTTAGATACACTAGATCCTATCAGTACGTCTTTACCAGCTACAGTGCTGCCTCACTCTGTTTCTATTGTCTCCGTCATGATTGACGGCATGCCATATGTACTGGTACTAGTTTGAGATTGTATGGCCAATCCGGGTGAATACGAGTACAGTAGCTGACTTTGGGTGTCCGTCTGTTTGTTTCTGCAGTTGGCACGGTGTGTTGAGCTTCTGCGTGCCAATCCGGCAGCAGCACGCAAGTTTTATCAGTTTGTCCACCTGCACATGTCAACGTCACAAGCTGGTTAGTGTGTGTGTGTTCATTGATCAGTACTGGTATATCAAGAGGAAATAAGCTCCCAAGAGTGTGCAACTCTGCATATGGGGTCTCCGACTGTGAAAACTCACATCACCTGTTTGAGGTACGTTTCGCACTACGCACAACGAAGGATAGCTTGCGCTCAATCTGGATATCTGCCATGATCATGGTGGGGAGTTGCATATGCGGAGTGATTTCTGTCAGGAAGCGCCATTTTTATTACTCCGCTGCTCGCTAAAACGGGCTAGAAATGTACAACGGGAACACTACACATGATGTGAGTTTCGCCGGCGGCAAACCCCATAGAAAGCGTATCGGGAGTTGCACACTCTTGGGAGATTATACTCTTGGTGTTCTTGGGAGATTATACTCTTGGTGTACACAAGAATCAAAAGCGTTTTTGCCGGAACTCTGAGCTTCACGGTTTTATACCAATGATCAGACAGCAACTTGACTACAATTTTCAGAAGATATGGTTGATATAGGCTGCACGCTTGGATCATGGCACGAATGAATGATAGGGGTTGATAGTGTTACAGATATGAAAATGAAAATGATTGCGTGAGTTGAGAGTGATGGGGTGCAAACATAGGCGCAAAAAAGAATACACTTTAGGCTTAGGCTCATGCAACCACATGGTCTTATGAGGAAGGCGATGAGAAGAGCAGTGGGATAATTGTGACCAGCACCTCACCTGAGAGTAGTGAAAAGGTTATGTGACGGCTGATGGTGAGAATTTTGAAAGGTAGTACTTATTTTCATGCCTGCACTTTGTAGCGACCTGACTCACTGAGTATTACGTCATTCTACATACGCATGCGCAAGAAATAAAATCATTCTCTTTGGTCACAACTTCTTCGTTGTCCGGTTGGCCAAAGTAGCCGTCGTCTAGGGCCCGACGTAAAACCCTAAATTGGTGACCCCCGACGCTGCGCTCTTCGGAGTTTTGAGCATGCCATCCCTGAGCTCGGCCCGCCGCAGTTTCCTGCTCGCCTCAACTCTCGGGATCCCGTCAATCGCCGGCCGTTGACGTAAAACTTGAGCCTCACCACCACTCGCACTGGATCCGCCTCGGAGCTGCTGTGGCCCCTGCCACCCTCCCCGGCCCACCTGGATACCCCGCTATCCTGCCACGGCATTGTCCAGTCGTCCGTATCCGTCCTGGCCTCAAGCTGGAAATTGGCCACCTCCACCCGTCGTACCAGCTCACTCACTGTGCACGCACGCAGGCACACGCCCGGCACCGGACCCCATGGAGCTGCGCTCGCCTCCATCTGTCCCCGCCTCACTCGGCATGCCTCGCATCAGTGCAGCGCTCCTGCTGGTACCCGCCAAGCCTGCAACATGCAGCCGCTTCTGACACGATAATACTCCTCTGTCATGCGTACGTTTCCTCTTGTCTTTCTTTCTGCCTCTGACATGCTCTCCACCTCTGTCACGTTAACACACCTCTGACATGTTAACCCGCCTCTGTCATGCATCTCTCTCATTTCCGCTTTCTGCATTTTTGATTTTGTTTCGGCCTTGGTTGCCACGTCTCAAACAAATTTCATACACGCAGCGCTCTCGCCTGTACATATGTATCATATTATTATATTTTTGCCTTTCCGCCTTGTACATGCTGCGCTTTCCTTTCTCTTCTCTTTCTTGTTTCTTGTTTATCGTGCTTCGCTCCTCCCGACCTCACCACTGGCGGGGGAGTACTGTAGCGACCTGACTCACTGAGTATTACGTCATTCTACATACGCATGCGCAAGAAATAAAATCATTCTCTTTGGTCACAACTTCTTCGTTGTCCGGTTGGCCAAAGTAGCCGTCGTCTAGGGCCCGACGTAAAACCCTAAAACTTGCTGACAAGCTCCGATCTTTTGTTGACTCTTGGTGTATGTATGTGTACGACTTCCACTTTAAATCTGTGGACTGTACAACACATTGTCTTATACCCTGGAGAGATGACAGTGTAGCCTAGGTTATTGCCACCCATTTGCTGCGGAGGTTTCCTGATATCTTCCATTACCGTCTACACATCATCCTGAAGAGCATCTAATATAATAGTAGTAATTATTATACCACTCACTGGGTGCGATTTGAAAAATAGAAATGCGCACAGAGCTCGCAGTCATCCACCTGAACTTAGCTGAAGTCAGCGCCCAATTGCCCCGTACTTCCGTCCTGTCAACAGGTGAAAAATAAGCCCGGGCTTATTGTTCTCATGTTAGCGGGCCTTGAACAGTGATTGTGTAACGCAATTTCAGCTGGACGTCGTGACTTGTTTGAGTACATGTAGGACACCGTGCTGCTCACCCAGTGTGCTGGTAGCGTGGCCGAGTGGTCTAAGGCGCTGGATTTAGGCTCCAGTCTCTCCGGAGGCGTGGGTTCGAATCCCACCGCTGCCACTGATCCATTTTTTTGCCTCCTCTCACATCTCCCGCATTGTTCACTGTGGTACCAAGACTGTGTGTGTTCCGTCATGCAGACATGTACATGTATATTTTTTTCTTGTAAGCAAGTACAGTCTATGTACGACGGACTTCAAGGAACTGAGCAAGTTTGTTTGTCTTATCCGGAGTTCTTCTTATCCTGATCTCACAAAAAAAATGATATGCATGTCTGACATATGGGTTGTATTTATGTGAAGGTGCATGCTGTGGCACATGTAAAGCATTTATTCATAGCATAAGCCAGCAACAGGCAAGTGCAATGCATGACAGTATGTCCTCCGTCTTGTAACATGCTGTCTTGCCCTTACAAGAGGCCTCGACTATCAAAGAAAAAACTCCAGCCAGCGCACGCACGTTTTTTTCAAATCACGCTTGAAAATAGTTCGTCTTCACGAAAGTTTGCCGTACAGGAGTTGTCACAAACGAATAATTTTGACTTGATTTGACGCCTGGCCAACCATAGGATTGGCCCGAGTTCGTACTAATGGAAAGCTCGCCTTATCAGTGTTCGTCCTAAAGAGGTTTGACTCCAGGGTGCTCCACTGCTTGAGTCACTGAGTGCTCAATGGCCTTATAAGGCAAACATATCCAGTACTATCCACACAGTAGAGAGAGATGAAACTCTGTTTGATCTGTATTTTGTTCGTTCATTTTGCTTTCCAGGGAAATTCATCCTATTTCTCTGTCGCACTCTCCGTGGAGCCGTTGAAGGCAATGATGAAGCTGATCCCGAACCAGAAGCACCGGCCGCCGCAAAGGGAAAGGCAGCTAGCAGGAAGGGGAAGAAACCCCCCGCTGCCAAGGGCAAGGGTCGTGGAGGTGGCCGGTCGCGCAAGGCAGTGCAAGCCGAGGATAAAGACGAGGAAGTCGATGATGATTCAGTTGTGGCGGCATCGACGTCCAGTGCATCGGACGAGACCAGTGAAGAGGTGTTGATCAGTGGCAACGATGAAAGTCTGGTATCAGGCCTTCTGGAGTGTATGGTGATTGTCTGGCAGAGCATCTTACTCAAGCTGAAGAAGGTACTGCTTGTGTGTGTGTGTGTGGATAGGGGGGGGGGGGGGGTGTGCACATGCGTGTGTCAGGAGTACTTTACTCATACTGTATGTTTCTTTAGTCTTTGTTGTTTCTAGCCTACTGCACAGTAGTATTCTCGTGTTATTGTTCTGACATGTTGGACTTGTGCTGCAAAGAGAGTTGGTGCTCTTTGTGTTAGTGCAGTGCATTCTGATTGTTCATTGTTCTTGTGCCACCACTCCACTCCTGCATTCTGATTGTTCATTGTTCTTGTGCCACCACTCCACTCCTTGTCTTCACTGTGCAGCCTGGTTGCAAAACTCTCTCGGCGCGCCTGGAGAAAGAGTTCTCAGCGGCTCTGCCCGAGTTCTTCAACAGCTTCAAGGTGAGCACCGTAGTAATGCCGAAGATCACTGCACACCTGCTCAGTTCATTGCCCCCAACGGGCTGGGGGTGTAGAACCATGGGTACTGGAGCACTATAGCCAACTGACGTCTCACTTAATCTGCTACTCAGACTAAGTGGCTTTGGTGGTGGTGTTGGCCACATTCGATCTGTGTTCGTAAGCGGTTACTTATCCGCGCGTGGCGTCTGCATAGGTTCGTTCTGTCACAAAGTATCTCTTTCCAACGGTCCTCGGCAGGAGTCTTACCCGCGCTCGTATCATTATTACGTGGCGTGGAACTACGAGTCGCAAACTCTGGCAGCGGCGGAAACGCCATCGACGTCGTCGCTGACACTGCCAGTCGAAACCTGTCGTATCCGGCTCGAAGGACAAAATGTTTCACCGGTTCCGTCGCAACCCACACTTATATCAGAAACAGCCGTCGGAGGCATTGATCTATTTCGAAGACTGTAATACAATGGACATGTTCTCAAAACTCCATTGAAGGACCAACCAAAAGGAACAAGGGCCGGACAGCTGAGGACGCACATACCCGGCCCTGTACCGGACACACAACCAAGGAGGATGACATCGTAGCGTCCCCCGCGCTTGACTGGCAAAGAAATCAGCAAGCGAGCGCAGTTCAAACATTTGAACGACACACGCAAAGCAAAACACGTGATGTCATCAGTACACGCGCGAACTTGCAAAATGGTCAAAAGTGAGTTGCGCAGAACAAGAATGTATTGTAGAGTTCCACGTTCCTAATACCGTAGTAACGCACGTATAGGCGCATGGGCCTGTATTCGGATGTAAGCGCACTCTCACTTATAAGCACATGCTCTTATAGGCGAAGCACTACCAACATTCTCATTGTGACACAATCACAGATAAAAGTCTGAATAATAGCATACAGGAACCATGAAACTGACACTACAAGACCTAGTCAAACACAAAGACTCTGGCAAACGAACTCTGATCGCGCATGCGCATTTAGGTGAAATATTTTCATTTTTGAAAATTGGATTCGTAGCAAAAATTCACTTATAAGCGCGTGTGCTTATAATAATATAATACTGTACAGACAGAAATTTTCGTCAGTCAATAATTTCGTCCAACTCCAAAGAAAGGGAGTTCATCCGGTTGTAAATTTCGTCCATGGATCATAAGAGTGTATTGAAAAGCTGGACAAATCGACATTAGTCTGGCATTTAATTAATTATTTAGTCCAAATGCTCCTTGGACGAAAAAGACGAAATTAAATTCCAGACGAATATTTCTGCATATACGGTATGTGCTTATGTGTGCGTTAATACGGTAATATGATAGCAAATACCGGAAGATGCTGGCAACCACCAGACGGGTGGTTGCTGCCCCTGTCAGAAAGATAGAACGAAAACTGAAGTAGAGAGGTGTCGCGTTGCAAATAGTGAAATGCACGAGGTAAGAATATTCTAGCCAGGTCCCATTATGAAATACTGAGTGATATGCATGTCAACGGAGACAAACTATAACTAACGGAGAACGTTCTAACACCGACCGCTCCAGGGGCCTTACAAACGTGGTCCCCGTGTACAGTCTCCTTATCCAGGGTCGCTTGACTGGAAATATGATCCGTCGGTCCTAGTTGTGGTGGTCATCTGGGACAGGTAGTGGCCCTATCAGGGTAGTGGCCCTATCAGGGTAGTGGCCCTATCAGGGTAGTGGCCCTATCAGAGTAGTGGCCCTATCAGAGTAGTGGCCCTATCAGGGTAGTGGCCCTATCAGGGTAGTGGCCCTATCAGAGTGGTGGCCCTATCAGAGTGGTGGCCCTATCAGAGTAGTGGCCCTATCAGAGTAGTGGCCCTATCAGGGTAGTGGCCCTATCAGGGTAGTGGCCCTATCAGGGTAGTGGCCCTATCAGAGTAGTGGCCCTATCAGGGTAGTGGCCCTATCAGAGTAGTGGCCCTATCAGGGTAGTGGCCCTATCAGAGTAGTGGCCCTATCAGGGTAGTGGCCCTATCAGAGTAGTGGCCCTATCAGAGTGGTGGCCCTATCAGGGTAGTGGCCCTATCAGAGTAGTGGCCCTATCAGGGTAGTGGCCCTATCAGAGTAGTGGCCCTATCAGGGTAGTGGCCCTATCAGAGTAGTGGCCCTATCAGGGTAGTGGCCCTATCAGGGTAGTGGCCCTATCAGGGTAGTGGCCCTATCAGAGTAGTGGCCCTATCAGGGTAGTGGCCCTATCAGGGTAGTGGCCCTATCAGGGTAGTGGCCCTATCAGGGTAGTGGCCCTATCAGAGTAGTGGCCCTATCAGGGCAGTGGCCCTATCAGGGTAGTGGCCCTATCAGGGTAGTGGCCCTATCAGGGTAGTGGCCCTATCAGAGTAGTGGCCCTATCAGAGCAGTGGCCCTATCAGAGTAGTGGCCCTATCAGGGTAGTGGCCCTATCAGAGTAGTGGCCCTATCAGGGTAGTGGCCCTATCAGAGTAGTGGCCCTATCAGGGTAGTGGCCCTATCAGAGTAGTGGCCCTATCAGGGTAGTGGCCCTATCAGAGTAGTGGCCCTATCAGGGTAGTGGCCCTATCAGAGTAGTGGCCCTATCAGGGTAGTGGCCCTATCAGGGTAGTGGCCCTATCAGAGTAGTGGCCCTATCAGGGTAGTGGCCCTATCAGAGTGGTGGCCCTATCAGAGTGGTGGCCCTATCAGAGTGGTGGCCCTATCAGAGTAGTGGCCCTATCAGAGTGGTGGCCCTATCAGAGTGGTGGCCCTATCAGAGTAGTGGCCCTATCAGAGTAGTGGCCCTATCAGAGTAGTGGCCCTATCAGGGTAGTGGCCCTATCAGAGTAGTGGCCCTATCAGGGTAGTGGCCCTATCAGAGTGGTGGCCCTATCAGGGTAGTGGCCCTATCAGAGTAGTGGCCCTATCAGGGTAGTGGCCCTATCAGAGTGGTGGCCCTATCAGAGTGGAGTGGTGGCCCTATCAGAGTGGTGGCCCTATCAGAGTGGTGGCCCTATCAGAGTGGTGGCCCTATCAGAGTAGTGGCCCTATCAGAGTAGTGGCCCTATCAGAGTAGTGGCCCTATCAGAGTAGTGGCCCTATCAGAGTAGTGGCCCTATCAGAGTAGTGGCCCTATCAGAGTAGTGGCCCTATCAGAGTGGTGGCCCTATCAGAGTGGTGGCCCTATCAGAGTAGTGGCCCTATCAGAGTAGTGGCCCTATCAGAGTAGTGGCCCTATCAGTAGGGATCTCAGCGCGTGCACTGCGCATGCAGTTCGCGCATGCAGCCAAACGCGCATCAGAAGTGGCATGCAGAATTTTTGCCAAACACTGGCTATTTTTTGCAGAAAATTGAGACCTTGAACGAAGGAGAAATGGCTGAAATTTCCTTGCAAGGAGATGGTGGTTACAGGCTACCTGCTTACCAGAATGGGATCTTGTTTGGTATGTTGGCCGCCCATGTGTTCTGGAATCGATTTGTAGCTTTCGTTGGAAGGCGCGAAGCCGTTTTCGTTCCAAACGACAGGGTTCTTTCAGAGCGGAAAATGGCGACCATGCCGATCGTTGCCACGATCTCCGAGTTGAAAATCTCTGGATTTAACCGGGGAAAAGCTCTGGATTCAATGGTAAACCCGGCAGAAATACTTGATGTTGGATGTTGAGAGTTTGTAGGAAATTTGACCGAAGCGTTCATGCTCCACGTGACGGTGTTTGTTCTTGTGAATTTCTGCATTTATGATATCGCCGTGCATACGGGCCGTTGTTCCAGAGACATCGATTGTCAGGTGTGGACAGGGTTTTGTTCGAGTAGTCGTGTGGAGACGTGGTTTGGTTCTCACAGGCAACAGGAGCGGCTCCTCGGGATGGCGAAAGCCAAATCTACCCAAAGCCGACTTCACGATCGCCGATCTTCTGGCGGCGCATTTTCACTTATGCTCTGCAACAAGCGGCACAAGCTGTGGAAATCGTCAGATGATATTAGCCTATCAGTGTGCCCAGAACTTCTAGTGACTCTACTGAAGCATTAGCTTGAGTAATCTTTCTTTCTAGCCCTCTCTTTCTCTCTCCCTCTCTTTCTCTCTAAAAATGTTCCAAACTTCAAAATCTAGGTCGAGCTGCATCGGGGAGTCGTCAAATAGCGACTCACTGGGCCGGTTTTTGGCGATCGCCATTTTCTTTCAGTCTGCCATCGCCGCGTTGAAAAATCGATTACATCATTGAATGCGCAAAGCCCTGCGCAGTGTCCGCGCTGACATCCCTACTATCAGAGTAGTGGCCCTATCAGAGTAGTGGCCCTATCAGAGTAGTGGCCCTATCAGAGTAGTGGCCCTATCAGAGTAGTGGCCCTATCAGAGTAGTGGCCCTATCAGAGTAGTGGCCCTATCAGAGTAGTGGCCCTATCAGAGTAGTGGCCCTATCAGAGTAGTGGCCCTATCAGAGTAGTGGCCCTATCAGGGTAGTGGCCCTATCAGGGTAGTGGCCCTATCAGAGTAGTGGCCCTATCAGAGTAGTGGCCCTATCAGAGTAGTGGCCCTATCAGAGTAGTGGCCCTATCAGAGTAGTGGCCCTATCAGAGTAGTGGCCCTATCAGGGTAGTGGCCCTATCAGGGTAGTGGCCCTATCAGAGTAGTGGCCCTATCAGAGTAGTGGCCCTATCAGAGTAGTGGCCCTATCAGAGTAGTGGCCCTATCAGGGTAGTGGCCCTATCAGGGTAGTGGCCCTATCAGGGTAGTGGCCCTATCAGAGTAGTGGCCCTATCAGAGTAGTGGCCCTATCAGGGTAGTGGCCCTATCAGAGTAGTGGCCCTATCAGGGTAGTGGCCCTATCAGAGTAGTGGCCCTATCAGGGTAGTGGCCCTATCAGGGTAGTGGCCCTATCAGAGTAGTGGCCCTATCAGGGTAGTGGCCCTATCAGGGTAGTGGCCCTATCAGAGTAGTGGCCCTATCAGGGTAGTGGCCCTATCAGAGTAGTGGCCCTATCAGAGTAGTGGCCCTATCAGAGTAGTGGCCCTATCAGAGTAGTGGCCCTATCAGAGTAGTGGCCCTATCAGAGTAGTGGCCCTATCAGAGTAGTGGCCCTATCAGAGTAGTGGCCCTATCAGAGTAGTGGCCCTATCAGAGTAGTGGCCCTATCAGAGTAGTGGCCCTATCAGGGTAGTGGCCCTATCAGAGTAGTGGCCCTATCAGAGTAGTGGCCCTATCAGAGTAGTGGCCCTATCAGAGTAGTGGCCCTATCAGAGTAGTGGCCCTATCAGAGTAGTGGCCCTATCAGGGTAGTGGCCCTATCAGAGTAGTGGCCCTATCAGAGTAGTGGCCCTATCAGAGTAGTGGCCCTATCAGAGTAGTGGCCCTATCAGGGTAGTGGCCCTATCAGGGTAGTGGCCCTATCAGAGTAGTGGCCCTATCAGAGTAGTGGCCCTATCAGAGTAGTGGCCCTATCAGAGTAGTGGCCCTATCAGAGTAGTGGCCCTATCAGAGTGGTCGCCTTGCGGGGGTTACTCTACATCATAATACCCGGTTTGCTGTTGCTGAACCTTGCGTACACTGACAGTGTTACGTTGCCATTGCTGCTGTCTCTTCTTGCCTGCAGTCATCCAGTGCACGTGCAGCTATTCTGCTGCTGTCCAGCAACGTGCCAGCCGAGGCGGCATCGGCTCTCAGGTATGTGTGCTGCCGGTCTGGTTGTGTACTGCCCGTGCAACTGTTGTGCCTTAGTGCCTTCTGCGTTAGTGCGCATGTGTGTGCACTGTGGAGTTTAGTCAGGATATCACCCACCGTTTTACTGCGGTGCAAGACGAGAGAACACCACAATATTCGTGTTGTGCAAGCCCTGTATGTGATCCATGACGACAAGGAACGTCTAGTAGTATTGAGTTGAAAAGATGAAGAAAAACAACAGCTAACCCCTACTTATTCTGTCAATCTGCCATTGTATAATGCCATTGTATAATGCCCTTTGGTCTTTGTTTCTCTGTAGCGTTGGCTGCTTGGAAATGTTCCGTGTGATGCAATCCACCACCCAGCATCAGGAATACGCACCCATAGTGGATGCATGCTGTTCCTGGGGACATGTCGGCGACTTGCTAACAGTGCTGCACGCATGGTTGAAGAAAGGACTGCATCCGGATGCAACAGTAAGACGATCTGTGCATGTGTGTGTGTTTCTGTCTGTCTGTATGTCCCTCTGTATGTCTCTCTCTCTCTCTCTCTCTCTCTCTCTCTCTCTCTCTCTCTCTCTCTCTCTCTCTCTCTCTCTCTCTCTCTCTCTCTCTCTCTCTCTCTCGCTCGCTCTCTCTGTGTGTGTGTGTGTGTGTGTGTGTGTGTCTCTCTCTCTCTCTCTCTCTCTCTCTCTCTCTCTCTCTCTCTCTCTCTCTCTCTCTCTCTCTCTCTCTCTCTCTCTCTCTCTCTCTCTCTCTCTCTCTCTCTCTCTCTCTCTCTCTCTCTCTCTCTCTCTGTGTGTGTATGGGTGTGTGTGTGTGTGTGTGTGTCTCTCTCTCTCTCTCTCTCTCTCTCTCTCTCTCTCTCTCTCTCTCTCTCTCTCTCTCTCTCTCTCTCTCTCTCTCTCTCTCTCTCTCTCTGTCTGTCTCCCTGTGCATAGTATACTGCCTGTGCTGTGATGTTGTCCCCTTGTGACCAGATAACCAGCCCCTATCCCGTTCTACACCCACGCTTCTTGTCCGCTTTGGAGTACGTGGAGTTAGTCACTCTCGGTACATGTTTTCGTACACAGAGTGAAATGGTAACTACTGTTCCTTTCAGATTTTTTCTCATTGTGCATGTTGTGTTCTTGTTACTCATGTAGCTGGCTGAAGCAGCTACGTCTCCTCAGGCAACGCGGAAAAAAGGCAGTGGGCGCAAGAAGAAGACCCAATGTGCCGTCGAGAAGCCAGCGTCTATTGCCGGACAGGAGCCTGTAGCGCAGGCTTGCTTTGCACTGGACGTGCTGACATGGATGCTGGTAAGAATTGCGCTGGCATGCTGCTGTACGTTGTCAGGAACGGTATGGTCAGTACTAGTACCCACTTGATACTGTAGGGGTGATGCTTGCACACAGTAACCATGATGCTGTTTTGGAAGACTCTCTACGCACGCATCGGGATTCTACCCAAATATGGGTAGAAGGGCGCATTGCCCCCCTGTGAAAAATACCCACCCTCCTACTGGGTACTGGGGATGTAGTCTCCAAGGGTCCATAGTTATTTATCTGGGTATTTTTCCAGCCGTCACACTATACCCAATGTCAATTGCTTGGATAACATGGGTAGAGTGGTACTGAAAGCAGAACTTTTCATCTCACAATATGCGGGTATATTGATGATTTTGGTCTTGAGACACCCCCCCCCCCCCCCCCCCCCCACGGCTGTTAGCTGCACTTGGATCGCGGCAACTTAGTTTTCTGCACGTGAACCATGAAAAACCAATGCATGCTCATGCATGTTCATGCATAACCAGTCAGCTGGCCTGCTCGCCCACGCATTTGACAGGTAACAATTCCATCAAATTTGAGATATCGCTTCGTTCTAAGTCTCAAAACAGTTCTCAAGTCACCAAACCACGCTGGTAATCGATGGCTATTCAATGTTAACATCTTCAGGAAGACTTCAGCCGTTTCCCGAGAGTTTAGGCATCGTTGCCGTTATTTTTCACGGTGTTCTTCTTCCTCCTGTCTGGAGCTGCAATTGCATCCTGGAATTATTTGAAAGGTATTTCGTGCGGGCTGTGGGAGGTTCCAACAGGCATAAACTGACATCGCTATAGGATAACTGGTAACTTTCACCCTTCAAGGAGGTAGAGCAATGAGAATTTTTTTGTGGCGGTCGTGGCTGTATTTGTGCACTTCCAAGGCTTTCATTCTGCCTGATACATCTCTCTACTGTATGGGAATCGTTGTTTAGGCACATGTAGCTGTCTTATTTGGTAGATCTGCTGTTTCAATCACTTGGGACACTTTGTATAGCCTATTTGTCTTTCGTTCGTGCCATCTATCAGTTTTGTGGGGTGCCTTGACCTGTATTTGTGAAGTTCTCGAGTAAAGACCCTAATTCTTGACTGGAGTCACGTCTTGAATTATTTGCTGGGCGGGCCCTCGTTCACGCAGTTGTCCTTATCGTAATAGTCAATATCTGCTTGCTGGACGGACTAGCGGCTAGAACAGGGATGACCAAATGGTCCAAGTGTGTACTAGTACACGATTATTGTTTCCATCATCGTGAAATGAGCGTTGTGGAATTGCAGTCGTCTGCCTTTGGCACTGAGGACATGAGGAGAGTTGATTGTTACTTCTGCTCGGCAATGAAGCGATCATCAGCTCTCTTTGTTCTAATTATTGAGAGGACATACCGGCATCGCGATCAAGTAAAGATTAGGCAAACCTCGCCAACCTCCAAAGAGAGTCGAAGATATTTTCTCCAAATGCAAAGACGATCTTTGTGAGTTTGTGACTTGCATTTGCGTGCATACATGAGCAAGTCACGGACCACGGCACGTGCGCGGTTACCATGCCATCTCGAACCGACGCCATCT